GGACACGAAATTAGGAAGAGGTGGACACCACTGTCCACTGCTCTCATGGACAGAGGGAACAACACCAAAGTGCAGAATAAACGCGGAATGCCCTAAAGATGTGCAGCTGTGACTATCAGGGTCCCTACAGTGTAAGGGACCTGAGGACACCATCCACCTCTGACAGCCCCGGCCCACAGCCCAGGCAAGGCCAGGCTGCAGGCCACAGAGGGCTCTGGGCAGGCTCTGGAAGGCAGGAGAAGATCGTTTCCAGCATAGCTGTTCACAGATCCCTTCGTGTTCCCTGAAACCAGAACAGGGAGGCTCTAGGTTTGATGACAATGAAAGATTCCTGCTGAATGCAGAAGCCCCTGGGGTTAGCAGAGAGGCTTTCCAAGGGACCCAAAGCCACAGGGCCACCCCTCTCTTTCCTGTGCATTTCCTGGGAGTTTCTATGGGCACTGTCTCTACTGCAGGGAATCGAGAATCCAGCAGAGGGCAATTCAGCCTCCACCAAAGGGGAGGGAGAGGGCAGGGAAACAGCAGTGTGGGCCGGAAAGGGGAGTTCCCTCTGCACTCCCTCCCCCCCCCCACCAAAGCTCATGCCTTAAATTAACTCTGTGCCACTGCTAATTATTAATAATAGCTATCATTTATTGAGCACATACTATGTGTTCAGCTATTTACAAGCAATATTTCGTCTAATCCTCCAGAGAGGTAAGTATTATTAGCCCCAATTTACAGATTAGGAAACTGAGGCCAGGGAAGGAAGTTCAACAACTTGTCCAACCAAATTCCCACAACAATTAGGATTCAGACGCAGCCCTGATTCCAGCCCATCCAGGTTCAAGAGCTTTCTACTGGTCGCTCCAGAGAGGGGCTGGAGCAGGCAGGCTCTCTCCATCCAAGCAGTGATCTTCCCTTGCGCTCAATAACCCCCTCAAATACACCAATCAGATGCTCTTTGCCCGATACCTAAGGCAGGAGGGCTTTTTTTTTTTTCTGATACCTGTACCTGTATAACTTGAATCCTTTTTTTCCCATTTCCCCCTCCTCTCTTCAAGCCCTCTTCCTTCCTTTACAAAGCTTTGTTTTCATTTCATTCTTCTTTTCTCATTTTTTTCTTTTCCCTTCCTTTCCCCATCTACCTCTCTAGTTCCCCTTTCCTTCTGAACAATTTCTGTTTCACAATTTCTAGTTTACATTTTGGTTCTTATTTATACTCTCAGTTTCTCACACCAGAAGGAAAATGCAATATTTACACACGCATATCCGACTTATTTCACTTAAGAGCATGGTCTCAAGGTAAATCCATTTAGCTATAAATGTCTCAAATTTATCCTTCTTTATGGCTGACTAGTACTCCATTGTATTTTTTAAAAACCCACATATTGTATCCATTCATTGGTTGATGGGCATTTGGGTTAGTTCCAAGATTTAGGTATTGTACATAGTACTGCTATAAACATGAGTACACATATATCACTGTGGGACAATGCTTTTAATTCTTTTGGGAGGATATCAAGAAGGGGAATAGCTGGGTCAAATGGAACCGCTAGATCTAGTTTTTTGAGAATCTCCTCACTGATTTCCACAGTGGTTACACCAGTCTACACTTCTACTAACAGTGGAGAAGGGTTCCTTCTTCTCCACAGCCCCGCCAGCACTTGTTATTGCTTGATTCCTTAATCCTGGCCATTCTTTCTGGGGTGAGGTGGAATCTCAGTATTTTAATTTGCATCTCTCAAGTGACCAGTGATGTTGGACATTTTCTCTTATATGTTTCCTGTTTGTGCTTCTTTATCGGAGAAGTGTATGTTCCTCTCAGATGCCGATTTTTGGATTGAGACTTTGAGGAGGTCATTTTGTTTCATTTTACTTTGTTTTGTCGTGTGTGTTTTTTGAGACAGGGTCTTGCTATATATTCCAGACCGGGCTTGAACTCACTATGCAGCCATGGCTGTCTTCAAACTCACAATGAGCATCCTGCCTCAGCCTCCCAAGTGCTGGAATCATAGGCAGCACCATCATGTCTTACTAGGGGTAGTTTTTGGAGGGTGCGCTCTGTCTTGGGCTGTGTGATCCAAGGTGAGTCAGTTCTCTGGGATTCATTGTAGAATGAGTAGAGCTTCAGCTTTGAGAATCAGGTAGGGGTACAAATCAAGAATCACAATCCACAAAGACTGCCCAGGGAAAATCCTAGACCCAGCACCACTCAGGGGCTTCTGTATCCTCAGTGCAAATTAAGGGTCAGGTTTCTGATATCTGCAGAACTTCCCAGGTTCTGATCCTGTCCCCCAAGGGCTTGGAGGAGGTGAGGTGGTGAGGTGGCCAAGCCAGGGTATGAAGTCATGGCTGAGAGTGGAAGCCTTCTGACAAGCAGGAGCTTACAGATAACTGAGCTGGGGACAGGCACCAGGGTGAGCACAGGTGAGGCCACCGCTGCAGGGCCGCTTCTGGACACCTCAGCAGGCAGGCAGGCTGGAGCCGGAGCGCAGGGAGGCCTCCCCTGGCTGACACCTGCAAACGAGCAGGGCTGGGGTCCGAGCCTCCTGAAGCTGGGTGGGCGGGAAGGGCTAGGAAAATGGAGCATGGGGCATTAGCCAGTCTCCACTGGGCTGCCAGACCTGAAGCAGCAGAACCATCAGGAAACTGTGGATCCTGGGGCAATAGGTCACATTTGGCCGGGGAGCCAGAGGCATGGCACGTGTCCTTGAGCATTTTCCTGTGCCAGCACTTTGTATTTCTCACTTAATCCCTGGGGGACTCTGGGGGGGTGGGGTCCACGGGCCACTTTTATCAGATGAGGAAAGTGAAATTTGGTGTGTTTGAAGTCATATGCCCAGAAAGTAACAAGGCTGAAACTCAGTCAGGTCAGCCCACCTTCACCGCGCTAACGGTGTCCCCTCTCCAGGTTACTGAGCTGGAAGTCTGGGGAAAGGTCCCCAGCCTTGCCTCTGAAGGGGGCGCCAAGCCAGCAGCACCACCTTGGGGAGGGGTGTGGCAGGCACTCCTGAGCTGTCCAGGAGCTGTCCAGGGAGCAAGGGCCAGGCTGGGGCGGTCATGCGGAACCGGAGCTGGGCTGCCTCTTACCTCAGGCCCCCTGCCTGCTCCCTCGTGGTGTCCAGTTACGGCCAGCTCGGCGCTTCCCCGTCACGCCACATTTAGCATTGCCGAGTGAGCAGGCGCTCGGGACATCGAGAAGGGGAGAGAAGGGGCGGTGGGGACTCATCAAGGGGCGGGAGAGCTGTCCACCAGGTTCCCCCAGCTAGCGGCTCTATCCTGGCCTGATCCCCTGTGGGACTTTGGGCACACGCCCTCCCTTCTCTCTTGTCCCTGGGTGAAACACAGGAAAGGTTTATTCAGCCGCGATGTGTTGATGCCTGGCTATCCTGGGGCTTGTAGGAAGAAAGGATAAATTTAAACCTTGAATTTCTGCCAATGCCTGACCACCCCCCGCCCAGCGTACCCTACCAGATTCTGACCCACGCCAAATAAAGAAGCCATTAGAGGAATGCAGACTCCAGCTAACCAAGTCCGAGTTCCAGCTCTGACTCTCAGGATTAGCTGTGTGTCTTGGACAAGCCTGTTTTTTTCTTCTAAAAGAAGTAACACACCTTTCTCACAGACTTGTTCTGATAAACCAAAGAAAGAACCATTCAAAGCATTTACACAAGAGTCGGCCCAGAGAAGGCTGTCAGTAAACTGAAGCTTTTTGTTGTTGGGATGTTTTGTTTTGTTTTGTTGTTTTACTAGGGATTGAGCCCAGTGCCTTTGCATTGAGTTACATTCCCAGATGTTATTTTTTTATTTCAAGACAGGGTCTCACTAAGGTCCTAAGTTGCCCAAACTGGGCTCAAATTTGCAATTCTCCTGCCTCAGCTTCCCAGAGGGTTAGGAGGAAAGATATATGTCATTACTGGGCATGGTGGTCCATGCTGTAATCCCAGCATTTGAGAGGCTGAGACAGAATGAGCACTGAGTTTAAGGCCAGCCTGAACTGCATAGCAAAACCCTGTCTTAAAAGACCAAAGGAAAGGTGTATGTCACTGCACCCAGCTCAAGTTGTAGCTTCTAATCAGAGACCACTGGGGTACTGGGGAGTGAATTTAAGAGGTCCTGCCCCTAGCATACTCACACAGCCCTGTGAACTATGTCCTGTCACTAGCCTTGTGTTGCAGATGCCGCTGCTGCAGGGCAGCGACCTTTGCTGACTCAGCCAGGAAAGAAGGGCTGAGCCTGGCCTCCTCGTCACTCCACTGTGCTGGGCTCAGGGTTTTCCTCCTATAATTCCAGGTGGGAACTTCAGCTCTGTAATCCAAGCTGCTAACTTTTCACAGGGAAACAGAAAATTTCAGAAAAGAGCAAATGGCCAGGGGTGGGAGTGTAGCTCCGTTCTTAGCACACGCTTAGTCCAAGATGCTAGGCTCAACAGGAAGGAAGGGTCCCTGGAAAGAAGAAAGGAAAGAATGAAGGAAGAAAAGAAAGAAGGAAAGGATGAGAAGGGGAAGGAGGGAGGCAGTGGTTGGCATGGTTGGAAGTAAGAGGATGAAGGATGTAAGTGAAAACAGTACTTTCTGGATATTCCATGGTGGACTAGCAGGTCACTGTGCCACCAGGACCCTTCGAGTCCCCAACGCAAACTGTGGTCATGCCAGCCAGGCCACACCCCTTATGGTCACACCACAAGACTAGCCTCTGCGTAACTGGAGATACCACCACTCCAGGCCTAGGCTTGACCTGCCCTTGGCTCTCAGGGTCTGTTCGGCTGCTGAATCAAGTCACCTAGCCTGGCCCCCCATTGCAGACACGGGAGACCAAGCACAAGGAGACAGATGCAGGGTCTCATAGGGAGCTGAGGTCTCCGCAGAGGACTCTTAACCTGGCTCGCTTTGCTCTCTCTCAGTGTTTCTTCTCTTTCTTCTCAGTGCAGGGGTGGGGTGGGAGTGGAGGTGGTGGTCCTAGGGTCGGTCGCCCCTAGATGTTGGTCCTCCTTCTCATCGCAGCCGGCTTTCTTCAAGGCCAGGACCGGGTGATGGTGTCACTACTTCCGCCGCAGTCTGACGTCACATTGCCGGGTCCCACCAGACTGGAAGGGGAGCCACAAGGGGACCTGATGCAGGCTCCAGGCCTCCCTGGCTCCCCTGCCCCACAGAACGTAAGTGTCTGGTACCCAGGGCCCAACAATGGACATGTCCCCTTGACCCCACGGGGACCTCCCTGGGTCTGTCTTATGCCTTCCATCAACAAACAAGTGCTTCAGGACTGTAAGATCCAGAGGGGTTCAGACATAAATCTCTGTTCACTCTGGGTTTCCTATCAGCCTTGGGGCACCCCAGGTTTAGGGGCAGTATGTCCTCATCAGCCTTCCAAGGACAGGCGGTGTCTTCTGCATTGTTTTGGTATTCCCCAGAGCTCAGCCACAGGACATTTTCCCCAGCACACAGTAGTGACCTGTCAGGGAACACAGCCTGGTCCCATCTCCACTCAAGGACTCTCTGCCCTCTGTCTACCCAGAAGCATGCCGGTTTCAGCTGTTCATCATTCGTGCCCGAAGGCCCTGCTGAGAGGGCACCCTCGCTGCCTCCACACAGCCCAAGCGTTGCGTCACCAGGTCCTGAGCAAATCCAGGGTCACTGTCCAGCTGGCCCTGGCCCGGGCCCTTTTCAGCTCTCACCCTCAGACAAGTATCCTGGCTTCGGCTTTGAGGAGAGTCCAGCAAGCAGCCCCGGGCGCTTCCTCAAGGGCAACCACGTGTCTTTCCACCCGTACAAGCGGCATTTCCACGAAGACATCTTCCCAGAGGCGCAGACCGCCCTGGTCCTTGATGGACACTCTTTTAAGACCCCAGGGGCCCTGGAGGCCTTTGAGGAGATCCCTGTGGACGTGAGGGAGGCTGAGGCCTTCCCGCCTGGCTTTGCAGCAGAAGCCTGGTGCAATGGACTCTCTTACGCTGGCCACGAGCCCAGCCAAGTTCTGGTGAGTACCACTAGCCAGTAGCAATCTACCCCACTCGGGCCTTGATTTCTAGTGGCTGAGAAAGTGTTGTCTGAGTTAAAAGTCCCCACCTTTCCTTCTCAGACCTTGTGTCTCAAGAGCAAGTAGCAAGCTCAAGAGTTGGGCTCTTGGCTCCATATTGGACCTGCTGGTCAGCTGGGGCAGGATGCTGGTCTGATGGGGTGTGGAGGGGGCAGGTGGTGGAGGCAGGTCAGGCAAAGGAAGCTGGCAGCTTCCCAGAGGCTCCTGAGTCAGGATTCCAGAGTGTGACTTCTTTGTTTGTTTAAGTGTCAAGAATCCCCAGCCAGACCAACACGCCCACATGCAAATGTGAGAAGAAAAACACATTCAGAGGCCAGAGAAGAGGCTGAGGGAGGGGCCACAAAGTGAGACACCCCCCGCCCCAGCCCCAGCATCAGTGTGCAGATTTGAGAGATTTTGTAAAGGTTAAATTATCTCAAGGGGCCCCTCCCAGCCCTCTTTTTTGCCCAGAATGGTGCCTGGGTATATTCATGAAATTCTTTGAAAGTGCATTGGCAAGTTAGCATTTAAGTCCAGTTATTCCTGCCACCATGTGACCTTGGGCAAGTCACTTAACATCTCTGAGCCTCATCACAAACTTAGGGGTACATACCTCATAGGATTGTTTTGGGTTGGTTGGGTGGTTTTTTTGAGACAGGATCTCACTATGCAATTCAGGCTGGTCTCCAGTTCACTATGGCTGGTCTTGAACTCACAGAGATCCTTCTGCCTCAATCTCCCGAGTGCAAGGATTACAGGCACGCGCCACCTGGCCCTGCAGGATTATTGCTTTGGGAAGTAAAAGGGAGCTTGTTTGCCACTCCTCAGCTCTGTTCTGGAGGTCCACGAGATGGGGACGGAGTAGCCTGGCCCGGGCTGTGCCTACTCCAGATGCCCTCTTCGTCTCTGCTTTCAAACATGCCCCCCATTCTGTCTCCAAACCTCTCCCCAAGAAGATACAGAAGGCAGGTGATACCTATCAGCTATGCCAAGGATAGAATATTATCCTGACTCTCCAACTCTCAGGTTCTGGAACATGGCAGTAGCCAAGTGAGGATACCATGACATCCACCACTGCCCTCAACTACTGTCCACTCAGTACCAGCTCCTGGCCTTTCTGCAGGCACTTCCTTTTCTCTAGCATATTCCTACTATCCTCATTTTGTAGAGGAAGACAATGAGGCTCATGGAAGCCAAGTAAAGTGACTTGGCTAAGGTTTTCTCAGCCCGGAAGTGGTGAGGCCTAGACTGACCGCACACTACTAACCCTGCCTCATACAGGAGCGCTCAGGCCCAGAGACTCCTAGCTGGGTCATCTGTGGCACGTGGCTTCCCCTCCGAGGACTCGGCTCTGTCATCTGTCAAATGAAGGGGTTGCACCCAAGTGTTCTTGGCCCTTCCAGGCCTGAGATTCTATGATTATGGCAATCTCTCCATCAGCAACCCCAGGGCACACCCAGAAGTAGGTCAAGGCTGATTTGCCCCTCTGGCCCAGGTACTGATTTCCCAAAGCCCCTGGTAACACTGAGAAAAGCGGTTTACCTCCTCCTGGGTTTGTCCACCTAGCTGGAATCCCTGTTGTTCCTGCTTAGGGTAGAGCTCTGTGCTAGGTCTTGAGGTGCTGTATGAACCTCACAGAGATCTCTGGCTCAAGAGACCTCTGGTTCAGAGATCCCTGAACCTCAGGCTAGGCCTGTCGCAGGCCCAGTATGGCCACTGATAATTCTCTGCCACCTCTCTGGATGGCCCAACCTGAACCTCTCCTCTGCAGTCAGGTGGAATGTCATAAATACTCTGAGATCTGGTCTTAGCTCTGCCACCTACTTGCTACCAACTTGCTGAGTTCCCTTGGGGAAATCTTTGCCCTTCTCTGTTCTCAGTTTATTCTTTGGAGCTAAACTTTAAGGGAAGAAAGAAGGGGAAGGGTTGCTTGTTGTGTGATGCTCAAGACAATGGAAAGAGGAAGGAGAAAAATAAGGCTCAACCTGCTCCTCTGCTTTCTCTTCTAGCAGGGGTCAGAGGTCAAGGTCAAGCCCCCAGCTCTGGAGAGTGGCCCTGGAATGTACTGCTACCAGCCCCCTTTGCAGCATATGTACTGCCCCTCCCAGCCACCCTTTCACCAGGTAGGTCTGGGGCAGGAGGACATGCTTCCCAGGGGTCTAAGGAGAGTACATGGGTACGTGCTGTGTGAGGGGCAGAGGTGAGCATACGGGAGCATGTGCAGGTGGGAGGTGAAGGCAGCAGGGCCCTGAGCCTCAAGCGAGGCCTCCAGGAGTGGGTAGCAGTGGTTAATAGGATAGGAAGCAATCACCTTTCTCTCAAGGTGGCCTGGGCTCACCTGAAACCCTGACAGGGCCTGAAAGGTCTGAAGTGATTGTGGCCAAGCGTAAGGCAAGGCCATGTTACAAACCAAAAAGGGAAGGAACAGAGCAGCCACCTCAGACAAAGCAGAGCAGGGAGAAAAGCAGTATGACCAAGGAGGGCAGGGGACAGTGAGCTTCCGTCTAGGTCACGTCTTGCTATGTGACCTTGGCCTCGCACTTCCCTTGGGCCTAGAGGAGGTGGGTACCTGGTGTAGGGTGAGGGCTCTGTGGGGCCCAGCCCCAGAAGGCTTCAAGCCCTCGTCAGCCTTGGCTCCTTCTCTACTACCCAGCTCTGGCCCCTCCCAAATGCACAGGATGCCAAAAACTTGCCCCACACTGGTGAGAGATGGAGGTTTTTAAAAAGAGAGAGAGAGGGAAAAAAAAAAAAAGAACCCAATGCAGCCAGGCAGCTCCCTGGAGTCACTGGGCAAGACACAGCAAGTGACTGCCCAGCGCCCAGCTCCATCCACCTGCAGCCTGGCACAGAGACAGGCCCTGCCTGTGGAGCAGGTTCTACTCCCAGCTCTTTGGCATTGGCCCTAATCTTGGCCAAACGGGGAGGCAGTGGCGGGGGGGCAGTCTGCCAAGTAAGGTAAAGACACAGAGGGGAACAAGGGAACACATGGCACAAGGGAACATCCTCGCTTCCGCGAAGGGCCTGGCTGTGATGGCTGAGCAATCCTGAGAGTCCTGGTCAGCCTCAGCAAGGAATGCTCCTGAAGCCAGGGACTGAGCTACTGCAGGACTGAGGTCCACCAGACCTTAAATGGCCTCACTGTGCCGAGCCTAGCCCTGCTTTGATGCCCTCTGCCGTCTACACACCCTTCTCGAACAAGATGGCCGCACCCAGGGCTTTATGGAGCCTGAAGAGAGGGTGACTCAGGCACTGAGTGTCTCTCGGTGACCTGGAAAGAGCACTTCAGCCTGGAGCAGCTGGGGGAGTCAGAGTATCCTATCCCCTACCCCCATAAAACACCATCCCTGGCACCGCAGCCACTCCCTTTGCCGTAAAACCACCTCCCACCCCCACCTGCCCACCACCGTGACCGGCTCTTTCAAAGAGCCACTGAAACTCGTAAAAGATGGCAGTGCCCAGCAAACACCCAGGCTGGACATCCCACTTCCGGCCCGACAGTTCAGGAGAGGGATGGGAGGCCTGGAACACCAGCCGGGAAGGACACGGCTGCTCCTCATTCTCTCCAGCCCTGCCAGATTCCAGCCCTGCCATCACCATGGCAACCAGAGCACCTAAAGGGTTGAGAGAAGGACTGAGAACTCTGGGAGTTGAGTTCCAGGATGTAGTTCTCCTCCCAGCCCCTCAAATGTCCACACTGTTGGCCACCTGCCAGACAGCTCTGCTGGGGAGTGACAGGGCCCATGTAGGAAGGAGAAACTTTTTGGCTCCTTCTCTGGATGTTCCCTCCCGCTTTGGAAAGGTCAAGTCCTATGGTGGTGGTCACTCTGTCCCCTTTGACCTCTGTCTACAGTACTCACCAGGTGGTGGCAGCTACCCTGTTCCCTACCTGGGTTCCTCGCACTATCCATACCAGCGGATTGCACCCCAGGTCAGCGCCGACGGGCACCAGCCGCTCTTCCCCAAACCCATCTACTCCTACAGGTACATCTCCCAGTGCCTCTGGGGCAGACAAGGAGGGGCGAGAGGGTCCTTGGGGAAACTGAGGCATGGCTTCCTTCTTGTGAGAGGTGGAAATCATACTAGTGGATTTCAGCTTGGGGCAAGGTGTGAACTGACCGCTGATCTCTCCTCCAAGTTTGCAGAGTCATGTCTCTGGATTGACTCTGCAGATGCTGGTGCCTTGAATGAGACCGCAGAGGTCCAATCTCCTGGGCCTCAGGGCCCAGGATTAGAGTTTAGTAGAGTTCTTTTTTTTTTTTTTTGTCTTTTTCCTTTTTATCGGTACCAGGGATCGAACTCACGACAGCCTGCTTGCAAGGCAGGTGCTTATGCCGCTGAGCTAAATCCCCAGCTAGAGTTTAGTAGAAATGCTCGCTGCCTGGCCCTATGCCCTAGAACCAACGAGAAGGCTTCACCCCAGTGTTCCCCCAGAAACACATGCAGGATGGAGTCTGCAGACGTGACTGTTATCCACCATGCCCCGAGTCCGGTGGATCCTCCCTGGGACTAGAGTTTTAAACGCCCGCAGTACACAGCCTGGCTCAGGGGCCTCTGCTCTCATTCATTCGGTCAACAGTGACAGATGACCTAATGTGTGCCAGGCCCCAGGCAGAGGTCAGATCCTCAACTAATGAGACAATGAGGAACTCACACATCAGCCAGGAGCAGAGAGAGGGGCAGGCAGAAGGCAAGACTTGCAATGGAGCAGAGCTGGGTTCAACACCAGGCTCTGGAATTTACTAGCTATGAAACTCAGGCAACTTACTTCATCTCTCTGAGCCTCTGTTTATTCATCTGGGGGAGAAAAAAAATCAGGGGACAGTGATTCAGTCTGTTGGAAAGACTGAGTAAAGAACATGGAGGGTAGAGTGTCCAGCGACCCCGAACCTTGGTTCCACACTTCTGTCCAGGCTGAGGACCTGCTGCAAAATGACACCTGCTCTGTAATGAGTGCTTCTGTGTGTACAGCATAGTTCATCAGTGTTCCTCAAACTCCGAGGTGCCTATTACTTTTTCTTACTTCAAAGCTGAGGAAACAGAGGCTCAGAGAAGTTAAGGCACTCAGCCAAAATCACTCAGCTAGTATGTGGCTGAGGCAGGCAGCAACCTCTGTTTCTCAAATTCCAAAAGACCTTTGTTTATCTGTAATTCCTGACCTCATTAACCACCCCCAGGACACTTTCTCATCCCCTCTTCTTTTAGCCTCAACCTCACAGAGCCTCTCACCAAGAGAGGGTGCTCTGAGGGTGGGGAGCTCAGGATCTGGTCAGAGATTCAGGCTCTCAGGGGCTCTCTGTGTCTTCAGCATCCTCATCTTCATGGCCCTGAAGAACAGTAAAACTGGAAGCCTTCCTGTGAGCGAGATCTACAATTTTATGACAGAGCACTTCCCTTATTTCAAGGTGAGTCCAAGACCCGTCTCCCTCACACCTTGGACAAACCACAGGGCACCACCCTGAGGGGAGAGAGGAGTTGGGATGAAAGCGGAGTGGGGGGGGGGTGCTTGCCCCTCAATGCACTTTCCCTGACCTCCACATTGGAAGCTCAGAGTTCCAGAAGAAGGGGTTCTGTACAAGGGCAGAGAGTCCAAGCATCTCGCCCCAAGTTCACAGCAACCTGGAGTAGCCACTTACCCTGAGCCAGGAGAGGCATTTCAGGGAGAAATGGGAGTCTGTCCCCACCTTTACCCCTGGATGCTGAGAGGTTGGAAAATTCCAGGAAGAGCTGGTCAGCCAAAGTGACAGGGTATATACTAGGGTGAAAGAACCTATCGCCTTCCTGGGTGACATTAGGATCCGCCTCCGTGGGCAGCAGGTCCAGCTGCAACTCTCCCAGAGGGTGGGGCTCGGGCTTCATAGTCTCAGGGTTTCACTGGCCCACCGGACTCTGCCCTCACCCCTGTGCAGGATTTGGTTCTTATCAGTCGCAGAAGAGGATTCTGGGGGCTCAACTCCTTCCATTGATGTAGCACAGGAGCCCCTATCCTCAAATGAGCAGATATATCAGAGACAGTGTCTGTCCACCTGAGATCACACAGTAGGCAAAGCTGTGCTGGGCAAAGCTGCTCGACCCTATCTATGTACCACTGCCTCTCCCTTGATGTGTGGTAGCCACCCCAGACCCCCTTGCACAGATTCTTTCTCCTGGGGTGGGTGCAGGAGAGGCCAGGGCCTGTGTCTAAGGAGTGTGTTCTCCACGGCTCCCCAGGCAGAGAAAAGGGCCTGAGGCCCAGATAACCCCAAATTCAGCTCCACTGCCAGAAGGTGACTCTAACTCTACTATCTACCCAACTGTCTGCCTGGGGATAGTTTGCAGCTGAGGTCCAAATGAGTCTGTACCCACTGAGCTGCTACCAGATGGGATGGACCAGAGGGTCAGAGTGTCCAGCCAGGAGTGGAAAAGTATGTTGACCCAGGAAGAAGGAGGAAAGGGAGGACAGTTGTCTCTGGCACTAGAGAAGTATCGAAGCCTGCAACCGGGGCTGCCCCCATACCCCAGCAGGTCAGGGAGCCCCAATCTCCCTAACTCTAAAGCTGTTGAAGGGCCCTCCAGGGCCTCAAGGAGCCAGGCCAGAGAAAGGGAAATGACGGCCCTGCCCCTACCTCTGGGCCTCCCTCCCTGCCGACTCCTGGCCTGGCCCCCAGCCCCTCCCTGTATCTCCTCTGCCTGGCTTAATTATTTTTCCTGGGAGCCGTGTAATCCCTGTTTTATAGGGCTGAAGAGTGAAGAGGTCTAACAGCTTTTTTTTTTGGTCCTAGTTGTTGTTCTTAGCCAGTTGCATCACTCCCTCACTCCTGAGTTTACATGTAACTTCAGAGAGGGGAATCTGTGAGGAGAGGAAAGAGCCGGAAGGCAACGCAGGCCCAATGTGGTGACCTGGGCAGGACCCTTAGCTAGAAGACAGAGCTGGAGTCTAGGCTCTGTCATTGCTTCCTTGTGTGAACCTGGGTTGGCCTTTTCTTTTCCTTTTTTTCTGCCCTTTCTTCTTTGGACCTCAGATTCTCAGTCTGTAAAATGGTCGCATTTGGACCAGTCAGCACACAGATTCCTCCCAACTTAAAAGTTCCCACCATCGCCAAAAAAACCAAAAAATAAAAACCAGTTCCCCTCTGACCCACCTGAGGAACTACTTCCAAGATCCTCTTCCCTTTCCATCTCTCACTCCCCACTTGGATGTCATTTTTCTGAACAGGGACAGAGGCAGCCAAGGTGGGCATCCTATGGCCCTGTAAGTCAGGGATGTGGGACTGGGGAAGTGTCCAGCCACTGGACATAATTGTTAGTGCTGACCATTCCTCTTCCAAACAGGAAGTGGCTGGGGTGTGGGCTGCCCTAGAATCTTCAAGTTACAGATTTATGAGGCTATAAAATACCCGGGTGCCCATTAACTCTGCCCATAGGGCGACATAGCCTTGACTCCTAGTGGAGACTGCTGTAGGAGTTGAAGTCTGGTCTACTGGCTCAAGAATCCTCCCTGATGACACTGGAAGCCTTGAGGATTATCGCAGTCCAGCCCCTTGTCTGGCCAACTGTCCCCAAGAAAGGCTCCAACAGCTGCTGCCAGCAACTTGCAGTGACGCTGGCATCAGGGCCCAGTTCTGCTGGGCATGATTCAGCTTGGCTGCTCCCTGGGGCAAGTGAGCCAGGGAGGAGGGAGTGGCCACCCCTTGTTACCCAGAAACTATGGGGTGAAAGGGAGAGGGGCTGGAGGACGAGAGCAAAGGAGCTCCGTGAGCCCAGTGTGGCAGGTCTCTCCTCAGTCAGCCCCAGCTGGGCTCAGGGCAGTGGTGGAGCCTGGGACAGAGCTGGAGAGTGGGCCGGGAGGCCCACTGTGCCCCCGCCACCGCCTCTCACCAACTGAGTCAGCCTAATGGTTTTTACAACCCTCCCTGAGTACAATTACTGCACTGGTGGCATGACCGGGCCTCCTAATGGGTGTTTATTCTGTTGGCACGAGCACCCCCTGCCTGAGGGCTGGCCTCCCCACCAAGGCACACCTCCGGGCACACTCATGCGAACACACACCCACACACCGAGGTGACTGCGGATGCGCACACACACACACCCAGGGAGACTTTCCCACAGCCATCCGCAGCGGCACGTACATCCTGGTACTCAGGAATTCACAGGCCCATCCCAGGGAGACTCGGCTCACAAGGGGAGCCACGCCTAGGGATGCAGGTGTGTGTTCACACTCGCTGTGCCTCCATGCACCAACACCCAGATGTATACTCAAATATATGTAAAACGTGAGCACGCACCCCAGCGCTCACCAGCCTTACCCATCCTTCTGTTCTCCCGAGTTTGCCCTAGAGAGAAGACAAGCCAGGAGAGCTTTCCACATCCCCCCTCTGTTCCTTCTCTGCAGCTGGACAGGACTTGGTGGAGTGGCATGGAGTCTAGGGGGTCCAGTAGGCCTGATCCCACTCTGGTGGGTGTGTGGGCTAGGAGCCCTCTGTGGTGCCCGCCAGCTCTCCCTTTAGGCACCACTCATGCTCCTCTGGAGGGCCAGGCCAAGGGCAGGATAGGAAGGAGGCACATTTCAGGTGAAAAGCGTATGTGGGAAGCCAAGTGTGGTGGGCACGCATCTATAATCTCAGCACTTCAAGAGACTGAGGCAGGAGGACAGGACAGCAAACTCAAGCCCAGCTTGGGTAACTTAAAGAGATCCTGACTCAAAAAAGTAAAAAAGGGTTGGGGATGCAAGAGCCCTGGATTCAATCCCCAGTACTGGGGGGGAAAAAAGACAAGAAAAAGTAAACAGGTGAGGTTAAAGTTCCTGCCTGCGGCTTCCCCACCACCAACAGTGCCACACCTATGCACGGTGCTGAGGAGGTAGCAGTTCTGTGCCTGGAGTGAGCAAGGAATATTCTAGAGTCCAGACTTGGAACCAGATGTTGCTGCCTGAGCTCAGCCTGAATTCTTGCTTTGCTCTGCTTGGGCAGACAGCACCTGATGGCTGGAAGAATTCCGTGCGCCACAACCTGTCCCTCAACAAGTGCTTTGAGAAGGTAGAGAATAAATCTGGAAGTTCTTCTCGCAAGGGGTGCCTGTGGGCCCTCAATCCAGCCAAGATTGACAAGATGCAGGAGGAGCTGCAGAAGTGGAAGAGGAAGGATCCTATCGCTGTGCGCAAAAGCATGGCCAAACCAGGTGAGGCTTGCTGGGCCCCCCCAAAGGAGAGACCAGGGAACCTGTGAGCCAGACAGGGTAGTGTCAGGGCCCAAGCGAGGCCCAGTGAGGGGAGAGCACAAGTGGAGGACAGAGATCTCATGGTGTTTCTTCTTTCTTGGACCTTTCCAGAAGAACTGGACAGCCTCATTGGAGACAAGAGGGAGAAGCTGGGCTCCCCACTGCTGGGCTGTCCGCCCCCTGGGCTGGGAGGTGCAGGCCCCATCAGGCCCTTGGCACCCCCTCCTGGGCTCTCCCAGCCACTGCATTCAATCCATCCAGCACCAGGCCCCATTCCTGGCAAGAACCCCCTGGAGGACCTACTTGGGGGACACACACCTCCCTGCTACGGGCAGACATACCCACACCTCTCACCGGGCCTGGCCCCTCCCGGACCCCCGCAGCAACCATTGTTCCCACAGCCAGAAGGGCACCTTGAACTGCGAGCCCAGTCGGGCACCCCCCAGGACTCGCCTCTGCCTGCCCACACCCCACCCAGCAACAGTGCCAAGCTGCTGGCTGAGCCCTCCCCAGCCAGGACCATGCCTGACACCCTACTGCCAGACGGAGATCTTGGTACTGACCTGGATGCCATCAACCCCTCTCTCACTGACTTTGATTTCCAGGGTGAGCTGGGGATGGGGAAGGGGAGGTGGAACAGCACGGGAGGGGTGAGCCTGGCAGTGTGGCTTGTTCTTGTCAAGCCCCCAGGCTGATGACCACTAGCTATTGGGTTTCTGGTCACCTGAATGAAGAAGAACCCAGAGTGGGTGTCCAGCATCTGACTTGCTCTCTGCCGTTTGGAGCACAGGGTGGGGGGGAATGTCCTTGACCCATTTTCCTCCGCTGCTGTCCTGAACATGTTCTAACTGACGCATCTTCAAATTGCCCTCAGCTCTGGCAAGGCTGGAAAGAGCTCAGTGTTTTATCTCACACTTGATTGTGAATGACTGGCAGGCTGACCATTTCCAGAAGCATGTGCATTTTTGTCAGAGTTCACACTTTAATGCAGAAGAAAAGAAACCCTCTTGCTGGGCATGGTGGCACATGCTTAGAATCCCAGCACTCGGGAGGCTGAGGTAGGAGGATCATCTTGAGTTTTGAGCCAGCCTTGGATATATAGTTAGGTCCAGGCCAGAGACACGAGTGGAGAGGGACAGGGACAGAGACAGAGACTCCCTAGGGAGCAATGTAAGATCTCAGATCTGGGAGGAATGTAAGACTACAGAGTTGAGCATGTCACAGAGATATTTGGGGATAGAAATCCAAAGAGTGGTCCTACCTGCTCCATCTCTGAACAAAGTCAGGCCCCCTTCCCATTCTCATCTCAACTGCAGTGCACTCCCAGGTTGCTAAGAGGTTTGGAGAGGGCTACTGACCCAGCCTCCCACTGTGTATGCACAGCACAGGGGCATCCACAAGCAGGTGGAGGTGGCCTGCCCTCAGGGAGGTCCCAATCTGAAAGGGAGACAGCCTGGGGCCTAGGAAGCTACTATTAGAAATAAGTTCATAAATATCCTCACCCCAGTCCAGAGGTGGAGAGCAGGGAGCCAGGGACACATTGGATACAATAAACATCTACTAGAGTGAGGGATTTAGCCAACAAGTGCCTGCCTGCCAAACCCAAGGTCACCTAAAGCACCTTTACAAGGTCATCAGCTGGTTGCCTTCATCTGCTTTTTCTTCTGGACACAAGAGAATATTAAACCCATTATACAGAAGCACATAGACATTATGCAACCCAAGGTCACTTAGCTAGAAAGAGGATTGGAACCCGGACAGCCAAGGCCAATCCAGGGTTTGGTCAGACTTTCTTCCTCCAGACCCTGCAGCCCTAATGCCCAGGGCAGCCACAATGCAGGTCACATGACATAGAGAGGGGTCAGGAAACAGCTCTGGTTGCGCCTCAGAGCACTGTTGATTGTGCTTCCTGGCTCCATTCACAGTTCTTAAGCCCTGGAATAGAAATGGCCCATGTTCATAACACTTCATCATTTCCAGCAGTGCACTGTGGGAAAATCTTTCATCTGAGCTGCAGAGCCACCTCCCCTGGGAGCCTAGGCCGAAGCAAGTATGAAGAGTTTGTGGGGAGTTCTCCCTGGCTAATTCCAAGAGCACAAAATTTGCATCAACCCCTCCGTTAAGCAATCCTCAAATCTTGTCCTTCCCAAAGTCTCTCCTCCCCGCCACAGAGGTGGTCTGGATCTATGACTTTCACTCTGCTTCATGCAGAGGAGTCTGAGGCTCAAAGAGAATCAGTCACTGCTTAGGGTCACACAGGTCCTACTGGTTTTGTGCCCAGTGTCTGCCCAATCCTGCTCTCTGCAGCATGTGACAGCCTTAGGTGAGGGGGGAAAGGGCACCCCTGGTGCCTCCTAGTGATGTTTGTTCTCTCCTCCTGCTCCTCCTCCCAGGAAACCTGTGGGAACAGCTGAAGGATGACAGCTTGACCCTCGACCCCCTGATACTGGTGACCTCGTCCCCAACGTCATCCTCCATGCCGCAACCTCTGCCACCACCTCACTGCTTCCCTCCAGGGCCCTGTCTGGCAGAGACAGGCAGTGGGGCAGGTGAATTGGCACCACCAGTGAGTGGGAGCTCCGGAGCCCTGGGAGACCTGCCCATCACCACTCTCTACTCAGCCTTCATGGAGCTGGAGCCCACGCCCCATGCAGCCCCTGCAGGCCCAGCTGTGTACCTCAGCCCCAGTTCCAAGCCCATGGCCCTGGCATGAGCTGTGCCCAGCATCAGCTCCAGCCTTTGATGGCCGGGAAGTCCTGGCTGGTTGCCCACATCGGGCTCACCTTAAAGGTCAAGGAAGGAAAACACTAACTGTCCCCTATGCCATTCAACCAACTTGCTTGTTCACTGGCAGCTGAGGTATAGAGGACACCACCCAGGATACTGCCCCTCACACATTTCTGTTGCCTGGTGGTCCAGCTCCTCACTCAGGGCACCTCAGAGAGCAGCTATGTGGGAAAGAAGCAAACGAATCCTCCACGGGACACTCCTATCCACCCATCAGCTCTCCTGCACACGCAGATTCATGGAGTGGCTCAGACACACCCCACACACACACACACTGCACACAGAGAGATCCACACCACAGCTTGCAGAGCCTGGCTTCATTTCCGAGGTATCTGGGAGCTAAGGGCTTTGGTTACCAAAGCTCAGGAGCCCCATACCAGGCCATAGTTCCCCCTGGAACTCCATCCTCCCCTCGGCCTCCCCCAGTCATGTTCTTTCCCAGAAGCCTCCTGTATTTATTCTCCTGTCTTCGTCCCATCAGCCCAGCAGGGAGGAGAGTGAAACTTCTCCCATGTTGCCTTCGGAGCTTGCTCTGCCAGGCTCCACCCAGCTTCAGCACAGTACCCTGCCTGGCTGCTGCCAGGGTGACACACAGGAGGGGTAACGTCCACCCAGAGAACAAACTGAGCCCAATTCCAATACAAAGTGTTTGGAAAGCCTTTGCCCTCAAAAACTTGAACAAGTCCTCTCCTCCCAGTCCTGGGTGTGGGAAGGGCCCCCTCCATGTCACCACAAACCTACTCTTTGTCTAGAAAGAAATTCCTGTAGTTTAGGCCCCAACTTACTAGTTACTTTGACCATTTCCAGAAACCTGGGCATTCAAGGCAGAAAAGCCCGGTACAGGCTGGTGAGGAAAGCACCCATGCCCTCGCTCTTTGCTTGACTGGCAGAGCCAGGTCATCTAGGAAGCACAAAAGATGTCCCTGGAGTCCTAGTTGTGGTCCAGGTACCTAACATCCACCAAGTGGGATCCTCACCCTACCCTGGGCCTGGGGGTGACAAGAACCTCTAAAGTTTTGCCTCAGACTCATATGCAGCACAAACAGATTCCTCAATGGCCTGCCATTGTCCCCTGTCCTGGAACAATAAAGCAAGTGCCTTGTGGTCTCAGCTACTGAGCCTTAATTTCTGGACCTCTTCTCCTTGTGTTGAAAGGCCAGGCCACACTGGTCATCGATGCCCTGGGCTTGTGATGTCACTTCCACCCCACCCAGAACTGTGAAGTTTCCAAAGCCAAAGAGTGAGGCTAAACAACTTCCTGAACAGCCTGTGAAGGCTGAGCTGGCAGGCAGGGCCCCTACCAGGAGTACTGCCAAAAAGATGCAAGAATGTGGCTGCCCTGACCAGAGGACAGGAGAGAATACCCTACCCTGCCTCTTCTCACTGAGACCCGGCTTCTCGCTCCCTGCAATCCTCAATTCCCTTACATAAGAAGAGGTCACTGTCCCATTCAAGTTGCTCCTGCTCCCAGCAAAGGAAGATGGCAGATCTGCTTTGGTGCTGTGGGTCTCTCGGGTGGCAAGAACAGAGCACAGCCCGGTGCTGTGCACTGGACGGTGGCCTCTGGAGGATCAGGACCTCACTGGGTCCCACTTCAGACTCACACTCCCCACCCAACCGTCACCTCCAGGTGGGCTGATGCCACCAAAAGGCAGGCCTACAAGAAGAATGGGAGATACGGGAGCGAAAGCACACATTTGAACCTCGGTCTCGGACTAGTAGAAAGTGGGGCCTCTACTTGGAAAGTTTTTCGGTGGGGAGGGGCAGGTGTAGGGGCCAGCCAACACCTACTGGTTCTGCAAACAATCCCATAATAGAACCTCGCCCTCTGAGGCTCTAAGGCAGGGGCCAGGGATGGAACCAAGGTGGAGTAGGGCGTGGCAGGAGGTATGGGCAGCTGGCACACCCTAGAAGGAGACCTGTCTGCCCCAGTCTGGCCCTGGCTGTCTAGGAAGAGGGAGAAGGCTTTATGCCAAGTCCCTAGGTGATATGGCACCCAGCTCTGGCCCCCCTCTAGCTTGCATCCTGACATTTAGGCCCCCAAGGACAGAGGGAGGGTTCCCTGGGACAACTTCACAGGGACTCACTTCATTGCCTCAGACCTTCAGAATCCAGAAACTCAAACCTGCCCTATACCCCAGCCCAGCTGAGCAACAGTGCATATCCCCTTCAGGGGCCCTCAGGCACGTCGCTGTCCCATGGGCCCAATCAGCACACCTGTTGCATAGCTGATCACTCTGTAAAGATGACAGGAGGCAAGCAGATAAGACTTTGAATCTGGTGGCGTGGATTTATTTTGTTTGGTTTTGTTTCTTGAATCTGACTTTTTTCATTTGTTTGTAACCAGACGGGGCCCTTGAATTTTCAACACTAGGCTCCAGCAGTACCTGGAAATGAATCCATACTCCTGCTCATATGTTGCCCCCTGCTGGTTATCCGTCCCTCTGCACAATGTTTGCTCTAGGATGGACAAGCCTGTGGGAACCCACACAGGGTCTGCAAGTTTTATGAGGAATTAAGTCCCACAAAACGCACATCCAAAAGAGGGCTCTAAAACTGGTTAGAATTCGTGGATCCATGAATTTGGCGGGGGGCGGGGGGAAATACATCTCTGTTTTTCTCACCTCTACCTGAAATTTAACATTTCCCTTGATTATGAATGTCAGCAGTAAATCGTAGTAATTTTAGCAACTCCTGTGACTTTGTCATTAGAAATCACAGGTATAACCGGATATGGTGGGACATGCCTGTAATCCTGTAGCACTCAGGACATCGTGGCAGTAGGGCTGTGAGCTCGAGGCCATCTCTACAGAGCAAGTTTGTCAAAGGAAAGAGCCAGAAATTTAGCTCAGTGGCACAGGTGCCTGCCTGGCAAGTGCAAGGTCATGAATTCAATCACTGGTTTCAAAAAATGATAGTTTGATGATAGAATAAATTGCATGTATATGAAGTGTTAAAAAAGAAAGAGCAAGAGAGACAGACACAGAGAAAAATTGAGAGAGAAATGTTATATACATTACCAACACTCCAGATGAATGTAAATATTATGTGCTGCAAACATATTTTAATAAAAATTAAAATCAGAAGAAAAAAAGAGAAATCACAGGTATTAGGCTAGGGTATGACTAAGTGGTAGAATGTTTGCTTTAAAGTCCTGGGTTTGAACCCCAGCACAGAAAAAAACAAAGAACAGAAAAAAATATTTTATAGTCTACTATCGGTATTACAGAGCATATATAGGATATATATTAGATAGATAGACAGATAGTTTTTTTAAACAGGCTGTCACTATGAAGTTTAGGCTGACCTTGAGCTCACTAAATAGCCCAGGTCGGCCTCAGGCTCACAGCAATTCTCCTGCCTCAGCCTCCTGAGTACTGGGATTATAGGCACATGCCAACATACTAGGCTGCAATATATTTTATGCTCTCAAAAATCTTGTATTGCCTATGTATTTTTAAAGACTGATGATAAAGGCATCTGTGACACATAAAAAAGTAAAGTTTGCTTGCCTTAGTTTCTGGATGGTAAAGTAGAGAGTGACCTCTCAGGGAGGGCCAGACTAGGGGACAGCAGCTCTTTCCAGGTGGCAGGAAGCAGAATCTCAGTGTTCTAATACCTGGTTTGGCAGTTTCAGTGTGTACTCCGCAGGCCAGCCCAAGACGACATGAGCTGGGGGTTCCCAGTAAGGCTTGGGTTTGCCGCTCTACCCAGCGGATGTAACACTATGAAAAAGCCAAAACACAAAAGACTGGCCCACTCCAGAATCCAATGCCCCCTTCAAGTCAGTAGCTCAAGGACCTCAGCGCCAACACCTGCTTCTGCCAGAGGTCCTCCAGACCCCTAGGGAAGGTGCCAGGAACTAAACGCAAGTTGCACCATTGGGCCAGCGACAGAAGCATGAAGACTCAAAAGAAGGTAAGAGTCCAAGGTTTTCCCCAGCCAGGCTTCCCGGGCTCAAGGGACACATGTCCTTAGGATGAGTGCCAACCTGGTGCCTGCTCCAGGGATGAGGACCCTCGCATAGGGAGCCCCCTCCTGTCGGAAGACAGAAGTGCAGCAGACAAGGTCTGGAATACCAGCAGGTGGAACCTCAGGCGGGTTATACTTAGCAGCAGTAGTGAAGAAGACAATTTATGAGCAGGGTAGGGGGGGAGGGTCCTGCTCCTGACACCAGCACTGGTCCCACCTTGCTATAGCATCTCCACCGACCTTCAGCCTAATAAACTATTACAACAACACTTGTAAAAGGCAAAAGATGTACAGGATCTGAAGAGAAAGAGTACAAGCCTCTGTACTTGAACACCTCATCTGCAAACCACACACACACACACACACACACACACACACACACACACACATCCACATACCTCTTCCTCACCTTTGTGGCAACCAGTAACCCCTGAGCCCTGGCTTCTTGGTGAAACACTTTCTATATTAGCATTAAATAGAACCTGCTCCAAAACAGGGTGCCAGTGTGGGCTCCCCTCCCTCCCCTCGCTGCCAAATGCTCCTAGGTTTGCACATTCTTCCTCAAGGGCCTTCTGCTGGTACCACGCAAACCATAGCAGGTGAACCCTTCATCTCCTAGCTTCCACCTGACCCCACCTGGGCCCCCACACCCAGCAATCCCACCCCCACCCACCCACCACTCAGACCACAAAGGAAGCATTAGCTTTGATCTTGCCCTTTCTATTCCTCTTTCTTCCATTCAGCCACCAACCCTGAATATTTCACCATTCACAATCTCAGCTCACCTGTCTCTGTTGATACTGACACAATTCAAGCTTCCATCTATCCCTCAGCCCAATTCCTGCAACACCCTCCTCACTGTTTACCTGCCTACAGTCTGGTAGTGGACAGCCTGGATTCAAATCCTGGCTCTGCCACTTAGCACCTACACAGTACTGGTTAGGCAAGCTGACCTCTTTGGGCATACATTTTCTGTAAAATGGGCATAACACCTTCCTCAGCAATGTTGTGAGCCTTTTATAAAGACATATAAAGCCCAAGCCCCAAGCCAAGCACTCACTAAATCCTAGTCACTACGATTAGTCTCTTTTCTATTCTACCTTTCTCTCAGCTCCCAGTGACAATCCAAGTCATTCCTGCTCCATCTGCCTAAGCTCTGCAGTCCTGTCTTGTTTCTGCATTATATTTACTTTTTCTTGAACACACCCAACAAACCCTCCTCCAAGCCTTTGCTTAGCTGTCCCCTGTGCCTGAAGCTCTCTCCTCGAATCTTCCTTGTCAAGATCATCCCGAATGGGGCTGGGGATCTAGCTCAGCGACATAAGCACCTGCCTTGCAAGCAGGCGGTCATGAGTTTGATCAAAAAAAAAAAAAAAATCATCCTGAATTTTTAAGTGCCTGCTCCAAAGCTGTCTTCTCCAGGGACTCTGCCCCAAACTCTGCAAGAACAATTTTTGTTCCTTGTGTACCTCATGCATCTTGTTCTAAGGACAGGAATTTGTGCCTGTATCCACTCACTTTAGAATTACTGGTTCTTAGCAAGAGTTCCACAGAATCCAGCTGAATTTCAGTACCAGAGCTTCTCAGCTTAGAGGGCTGGCACCATTGGAAAAAGACAGCCTGCTTCCCTCAGTTCCAGAATCACTTCCATCAGGCAGCCCCCTCCTCTGGGCCTGGGGAAGGGGTGGAGGCTGAGGCAGTGGGTTTTTGCTGTCCTGGTGGCAGGGTCTCACTAAAGAGTGCAAGCTGGCCTTGAACTTTCTTACATAGGGAAAGTTGACCTCAAATTCATGGCAATCCTCCTGCCTCAGCCTCTCAAGTGCTGGGATTACAGGTATACGCCTGGTATGAGGAAGTGTTTGCATAGGACAAGGAGACCGCTGTAGGCCTTAGCCAAAGCCCTCTCATCTTCTCTGATGAGGGCTGACAGCATCATCCGGCAGTGGTTCTGCAGATAGGAAGCAAGGTGTGGAGGATGAGCCACTTCCCGAACACCTTCCCTTCCAGGTTCCAGCCTCTGCTTTACTAGGTTGGCTAACTTCAGGCCAAAGCTTCTCCTCTCAAGCCCTGCGTCTTCTTTATTCCAGGATAAACGTTTTCCAACCCATCATGTTCTAAATGCTGATTCTGGATGCAGAGCACTGTGTCAGGGTTCAGAGAACTTGGGAGCAGGAGAACCCAAGGGGCAGAAGGAACAGGGAAGTGAGGAAGATTTTTACTGCCTTGAATGAGTTACTACCTGAATGCCTCCCTTCCCTCCATATACACACAGGCTGGCCACACCAGAGAACAGAAAAGGAAAAGGTTTATTGAAAACTATATACAAGTGGTCCAGTTCCTAGCACAGGCTGAAATCTGGGCTAGTCCCCTACATCTCAGGCAGTATCTTGGCTGCTGATGGGACAGTCTGGAGCTGAGGCCCACATCCCCTGTGGCTCTTTCTCTGAGAATTTATAACTCTAAATGCCCTCAATGTGGCTGACAGAGGACTGAGAATGGATCCTTGTCCTGACCTAGTCACAGCATGGAGCCGGAAACAGTATTGTGAAACTTGGGCTCAAGAGGACCAAGCTAAGCTGTCTGGAAGTCCTGGCTGCTCCTCTTGCAGGAGGCCTAAAAAGACACAAAGACAAATAGCTCCCTATCATGTCAACCCGTGGACCAGGGCCCAAGGGTGCCGGGTGTGGCCTGGGGACACTAGGTACCCTTCCTCCCAATACTGACTCAGGGTCCAGGTCTCCTGGAGCACACCCCAAGCAGAAGATCTGGGGTTGAGAGATGAGTTTGGAGAAGTCACAGCTGAGGGCCCAGGCCAGAGCCTCCTGGGGTATGGAGCAGTTTGGGGGGTCAGGGTGTGCCGCTGTAGGAATAGTCTGCTTTATTGTGCATCACCAGCCGGTCATCCACGAAGTAGAAGCTGTCAGATTGTGTCTCATAGGGATTACGGATCATCTCATTGACTGCAAGACAGGCCCAGCCAGGGCAAAGGTCAGACACCTGAATCAGGTCACAGAACAGCTAGAGGACTGGGTGACAGGGACAACTGAACTACCACCAAGAATCCCTCAACTAGGACTGTTTCCATTCAGATGGCATGGGAATGGTGCCCACAAAAGTGACCCCGGATTTGGAAGACAGAGGACTGAGCCCACAAGCACCCCTTTCTCCCTCAGTGTGCTCCCTAGAAGCCCCCATCCCCTACCCTAGTCCCACGGGGCCCTGCTCACATACTCAGCTCCTCAGACAGAGGGGGAAAGTCATAGATATGCTCGCAGGTGTTCTTGCTGCTGGGGATGCAGAAGCCAAAATGGAAGTCAAAGCTTTTGAGCAGCTGGTTTCGGAAGTAGTGCCTCTCGATCATGCGGAAGTTGTTAACAGGCTTGTCTCCCACTGTGAACTCCACCCTGAGCAAGAGAAGGGCGCAGGGCTGAGTCTGGCCTTGGAGACACCCCCACCAGGCTCCTGACAGACTGCCCCTGAGAGGCTGGGTAAGAACTCGGGAAGGATTGCTCCCACCCTCTCTCTCACCCTAGCCCTCACCCTACCCCAGCAACTCACGTGGCTCCCACCTGCCTCAGGCGGAGGAAGGCAGGTGTGAACTGGTAGCGGACAAAGCGCCCAGCATTGGGGTCCAGGTCCCGCCGGTTGATGGGCAACCGTTCTGCAATGTATCCCAGCTGGGCTCAGTGGGCTTCAGGCTGGACCCTTACCCACCCAGGATTCCACCCAGGCCCCTATCTGTCTGAGGCACGTTTACGTTTCAGAACCAAACGGCAGGTTCTGGGTGGGCCAGGCACCAATATTCACTGAGGTTCCCAGAGCCACCGGATGGGGTCTCTGGGACTGCAATTCCTAGGCCGGTCGGCAGAGGGCAGGCTGGCAGCGATTAGAGAGGCAGAACTGCCCGCCCAAGATATCCACCCCAGATACAGAAGACAAAGACTCCTGGGTGCCTATGGACCCCTGAGTCAGCTGGGGTCCCAGCCTCAGCTCTGCTCTGTCCTTGAGCCCACCCATAATGCATGTCCACCAACGGCCCGCCAACCTGCTCACCTGAGGCAGGGGGCTTCTTGATTTCAAAGAGGACAGTGCCTGAGTCCATGTCCCGGATCTTGAACCTGACAAAGTCGATCTTGTAGATATTCTCCTCAGGGGAGCACAAGTAGTCTAGGGGAGACAGACAACTGAGCAAGGCAGGGACCCAAACACTCTGCGGCCTGTTCAGCTTTTATGGGCCCTTTTGGTACCTTCCTTCCAGAAAAAGGGAACACAGCCCCTGCCCTGGGAGAGCCCCCAGTGTAGAGGACATAAGTGTGCCATTCAGATCCAATCCAGGTTGAATGGCTCCATCTTAATGGCCTCTGGGGGTTAGGCAAGGGCAGGGCAAAGAAGGACAGACAAGGCCATGTCCCCGACACTTTCCCTGTCACACTGCAGTTGAGGGCCTTAATTTCTCTGATCTGCCAGGGTCAAACACTTGTCTCTAGTCTGGCAAGAGCATCTGGCAGGAGAGGAAGATACATCCTTGCCTTGTGAAACCTGTTGCAAAGAGGGGGACACAGGTCTGACCTGAGAGGGCACAGTCCTTCACAGGAGGATGCCCACCCCCCCCCCCACCCATGGCTGCTTTTCACACTACAGATCAATGTGCTGGGGAAGGCTTATCTTGAGGGGACTTTCCCTGACACGGGTAGTGCTGGGGCAGTGAACAACCCCTTCCCGTGTGTCCCTCTCCCCCCGCCAACCCCCTCTTCTCCTCATAAGCGGTTTATGCAAGCCCAGCTCCATTAAGCAGCTTAGCCAAAGCTCTGCTGACTCAAGCCCAGAGCCTCGGATGCTGGGGGGAAGGGTCCCAACTTTATTTCTACCCTGTTGATCGCCAAATGAGAGGAAGTCTTAGCAGAAGGAAGCCCTTTAAGGTCCTCTATCAGCTCTTCTCCCAAGCCACCCCCAAAACAGAATGTATCCCCTAACCCAAATAGAGAAGATACCAGGCCAGGCCTGGAAGGGAGCCTGGCAGGTGCACAGTACAGATGGAAGTCAGGGAGTCCTCAGACCCCCCAAAAAACATGCTGGGGCCTGCCTGAGGAAGCTCAGGAGCTTGACCTCACCCTCACTGTCTCTGCAGCAGCAACTTCAAGTAGTCAGGGAGGCCCTGGCCATAAAGAGGAAAGAGAAGAGAGGCACAGGGGAGGCTCTGGTGCTATCACACTGCACATCACCACATCCTGCCCTAGTAGCCCACAGAAGCCCGGAAGTCACCATTCAGACCAGGGCTACCTCCTATTCCTCTGAAATTGGAACAGGAAGTGAACATAAAATCATGCTTCCCTAGGCCTGCCACTTCCCCAAGTTTGAAGTGGACCCCTCCTGAAAGCCTTCCTAGGAGCCCTTTGGCACCTCCAACTTTGGGAGCCTCTCCTCTTTTTTTTTTTTTAACTCTCTCTTTTCTTTAGGAACAACTTCTTGCAGTCCTGACCGAAGTCTCTTCTGCAAACTCAACCTGTCAGCCTCTCTCTATCCTTGGAGGAAGTGAGCTCCAGCAGACAGCTAGACCACCACAGCATTCCCTCTGCCAGGGAAGCATGAAGGACTAGGACCCATGGTCAGGTCAGAGTAAGGGGCAGAGTGGACAAGGGCTCAGAGCACAACTGTTACCTGCCTCTCAGCCACAAATAGCTTTCTAAGCTGGATTCAGGGCCCTGTAATCCAGGAACAGCAAACCTCAGATCCATGTGATTAGGGTCAGAAGACACCAGATGAGGGATGCCAAAGCAGAAAGCCCTGGATCCCTATTCCCAAATCCTGCAAAAAAAGGGCCCTGCCCCTATTCATTCTCTTCAGATGCCCATCTCTGAGGGCTATGAATTTCCCAAATTAGGAAACGCATGCTGTTACTTCACCTGGAAGCCTCCTTCAGTTACAAAATAAACCTCCAAAGTTGCCCAGGGTCCAGACAGGTCAACCTGACCTCCAACCACAGAACTAAGATCAATCCTAAATTCTGCTGTTGCAAACTGCAGCCCAACTGGCTTCAACATCAGCCTGGACCTGGACCCCTCCCTCCACTGATACCTGTTTGGTCAAAGGAGCTCTGTCTGTGATCTAGGGACCCAGCTGAAAAATGGCTGCTGCTCAGCTCAGACAGGAGCAAGGGGGCCTCCAGAGACCCAGATGCACAGGCTCAGGCCTGCCATCATAGTCCCCTCCACAAGCCTGTCTGGCAGACATGGGCTCTGCTGCCCCTGCAGCAGGGCTCAGGTCCACTCCCAAGGTCTGCTTGCAAAAACAGAGCCAGGGAAGATTAGTCAGAAGGCCACTGTCTCTCCAAATACCTCCCATTCTTCAAGGCTCAATCAAGCCTCTGCCACGTTCCTTGTGTACACTGACGCCTGCCTACGTCCCAGAATACCCAGATGTCCACCTCCAGACTGAGCAGTCGTATGGGGTGGCTGATACTAAGAGAGGAATCCTATTTACAGAGCATGCATAGTGGGCCTGGCACTGTACAAAATCTGAGGATTGATTTGTTTCACAATAACCTTACCAGGGAGGTGTCATTATCCCCCTTTTACAAATGCATCTCAGAGATTTTCACATGCCCAAGGTCATACATGCCCAAGCCAATTATGTGGCAAAGCCGGTACTCCAATCCAGGCAGTCCAACTGGGAAATTCAACCAGTGTGGACTAGCCATTCCCTGTAAGACCCCCAAGTCAACAAGCCCCAGTCCAGGCCAGGAAGAGGGTTGTTCCCAGTCTTAGGGGACCCTGAGTATGGATACTAATGGCAAGGGAGACCTGAGGGTCTTAACGCCTCCTAATTAATTCAGCCTCCCCCTAGCCTTCAGGTGGGAGCTGAGAACAGACTGCACACAGGGCTCTGAAGACTCCACGGGAAAAGGTTACAGCTGCAGCTGCTGCTCCACCTCCACCATGGGAAAGGGGGTGGGCCCCTCAAAAGAGGAAGGAGTGCGGTGGAAATGAACCTCTAAAGGGACAGAAGAGGTGCACAGAAAGATCAAGAAACAGGAGCACATAGAGATCTTGCAGACAGAAGCAAGAGTAGCGTGAAGGAGCCGGTGGGGGAAGGGAGACCGGGGGAGGGCGGGAAAGGGGGCGGGGGAGGGATCCGCGCCTCGAAGCCCCCTCTGCACTCTCCTTCCCTCGCCGGTGCTCACCGCCCGTGATCCGCTGCAGCCCCAGCACGTCCTCCGGCCCAATGGGCTGCTTTCCTTGCAACGGCCCCGGTCTGGGCCCCAGGCCTGACTCCGGCTCCGACTCGGACTCTGATTCCGATTCCGCTTGCAGACCCGGCGTGGGTTGTGCGCTCAGGCCCGAAGCCCCAGGAGCGGGCTCCGCCCCCGTCCCGGCCCCGCCGGCGCCCTTCTTCACCTTCATGGCCTCGCCGGGCCGCGGCTCGCCGCTACAGCCCAGCCGCCTTGGCCTGCGCCGGCTGGAGCCGGGAGAAGGGGGAGCGTCCGCGGCCCCGCCCCCGGGGTAGGACCTACGCCGGCCCCGCCTACCGCCCGGCCAGATGCCGGCCAGGTCGGGGCACCGTGGGCGTCCGAGCGCAGGCCCGCACCCGGCACCCGCCTGGTGGCTCAGTACTTTTTCAACAATCAAGGAGGTCGTGACTGCCGCGCCTGTTACTCGCAGAGTTTCGCTACACAAAATACTCTTCTTGTGATGGTCGCAGCGGGCTCAGGTGCTGAAAGGCGCTGCTAAAGTATTCCCTCCAGTCACTATCTGCCCAACCCGCTTCTCTTTGCTAATGCATTGTTCAGTTTTTGTTCACTGACTTCCTCTTGAAAGATCTGCTGGAGGAGAAGTGGATCCTGCTGACCATGGTCACTGTGATACCCCAGCATTAGCGCAGTGCTCCCTGAAGCTAGTACTCAGTACTTCCTGAAGTGATGAATGAGTTAGTATCTAAAGTTTTTACTGGAACAAGCTATTCTCTCTTAGAACTTGCTATAATGCTGAAACAGATGCTCACAGCCTTGGCCAAATCAGGACACAAGGAGGGACTAAGGACAGGCGCCCAGCCATCCCAGGGCCCTACCGGACAGAGGCAAGAGAGGCAAGACAGGCACATGGCCATATAGAACCAGGTGGACCAGTGAGCACAGGAGGATGGATACCAGGAGTCTGTTTCTTACGCATTCACAAAATGAAAATTTACCTCATACTTCACACCATTCCAATTCAATTTTATTACATGTCTGTTTGTTTTAAGGTAACTCCTTAATACAGTACTGTACACTTTCACAAGCTTATTTAATCCTCAAACCACCTTATGAAGGAGGCATCATCAGTGCCACTGAACAGAAGAAAACTCAGGCTGACAGATGGAGTAGCTTATCCAAAGCTTCCCAGTCAGTAAATGCAGAAGCGAGAATTTCAATGCAGGCCTATTGGGTTCCCAGTCTAGAATTTCCCCCTAATATACCACACTGCCTCTCGAAACCTCTACCATATGCATGGCATCGGATCCAGAGCTGCTGTGCCCCAGACTCAGGCTGTACCCAAAAGGTAAAGCTAGCCAGAGAAAGGGTTGTAAGGGAGGTCTCAGAGGTGAACTTCCCCCAGGATCAGAGAGAGGGTGGAGGGGAGAGGCTACAATCCAACTCAGGGCTTTCCTCTAATGCTCCCTCTGAGTGCATTAATGTGTTATGCTAAGAGCCAGGCCAGAAGAACAAGGTACCCCAGGCCCAGAGAGCAACACAGCAGGGCTATTAGGTTCAAGCTGCTGGAGGAGACCCAGGTGATGTACCTTTTGAGGTCCTTGGGAGTAATGGTGGGGGACCCAAGTTACAGGAATGGGATGGGAAGGAAATAACCCATTTTAGAGTACTGTAGTTCAGTTCCAACAGAGGTACCTAGAGACAAATTAAGTCATCCCTAGCAGGCTCCATTCATGTCTCTCAATCTAACACCTTTATCAACACCAAGCAATCCACCTTGGGCAGAAAGGAAAACTTTCTACTGAGATGCAGCCTTGCTCAGTCTATCTTCTCAGGCTTTTTCCAGGACTTGCGCATTTCCAGGAAGATCTTGACCAATGATAACAGGATGGGTACGGCCATAGGCAGGAAAAGTGGGATGTAGATGGCAAACTTCTGGTCATCAGGGAAATACAGGAGGTGGAGAAGTGAGGGATCAAAAAAGGCACGCTCAGAGCATGTCACAGCTTCCTGGCTAGCAGTGAAGGCAGATGACAGGTGCCCAGAGGCCAGTTCCTCTGCTGCCTTCTGAACTGCAGCTACAGCCCTGTATACCTAGGAAGGGAAGGGGACAGGGATTACCAACACATCCCAGTTATCAGTAGGGGCTGGGCATTCCTGTGCTTTCCATCTACAGGAAGACTGCCCAGAGTTCACCCAGAATATGTGAGAGTCAGACTGTCTGGGATATGCTCTGTTTTCTGGAAGTTGCCTTGAAACCTTCTTTCTCTCTCTTCCAGACTCAAGCTGGCAAGCCAAGGGCACTTAGGGATGACCCTTACTGGCTGCCCCAATTCTAGGGTACATAATCCATGCCCTGCCCACTTACCTCAGATGCCACATCATCTTTGATGACAATGTTGCTGATCTTGCCCAGCAACTGGGCCAGAGAGGTGAGGGTGGTAGTGGCCGTGGCCAGGTTCTCCACTGACCGAGCCCAAAGCAGCCGGTCCAGCTCCCAGGTCATTAGCCCTTCACTCTTAGGTCCTGAAAGTAGGCATTTTGGAGGCACCTGAGGATGAGCAATCCCAAACAGTAGCCTACAGGAACAGCAAAGGTTGAATCAAAGTTGCTGAGATAAGAAAAGATAAGAGACAACAGCTAAAATTCTTACAATATCTGCCCTACACCAGCGATTTTAATTTTCCTGTGTAATACAGAGGTTCTGGGGTGTGAGTGGCAACACCAAGCAATCCAAACCCTAAGCACAGCACAGTGCTTCTAGTTTAGCTTTTTTTCTTTTGGGGGGATTTTTTTTTTTTTTGAGACAGGGTTGTGCTTTGTTATGCAAGCTGACCTGAAACTCTTGACAATTCTTTGGCCTCAGTTTCCCAAATGCTGAGATCACAGGCATGCAATACCACACCCAGCTGGCTTCCCTTCTATATTGGGCTTCTTGTTTGAAAATTTCATGACGATATTTCTATATAAATGTATATATGATATACACTAATGTAGGTTTTTTTAAACACCAATATAGTTTAATACCTTCTGTTTATCCTCTCTTTGGACAAATGGGGCCACTAGACTGAATTATGGGACACTCCTGACAAGGCATATGGCAGACACTGCCAAACCATCAGAATATGCTTTCCTGATCTCAATCAATCAGCACAAGAATCAACAACTATTTTCTTAAGCAGCCCTAATCATACCCTGGGAACCTGACTTTCATGAGTTTATTTTTCTGAAAACAGATTTCATCAGCTACTACCCCTTAGGACAGAGATGAAGTGATCTTTAGAAACCTTTCTTCACTTCCCTGGGGCTCTGGGAACAGGGGAAGTATCCTAGCAGGTGAGATTTCATTCTGCTCTACAACTCCCTCTATAGCCAAGGAGAAAGTGGCCACCCCCACCCCCAGTGCATCCCGCAGGACCTCACCGCAGCTGAGCCAGGAACACCTCCATCACTCGTACCATGTCCACCTGGACTCTCACTGGCCGCTCTGAGCCATTATATGCTTTGGGGTCAACATTGTACACCTGAAAGAGAGGAATCACATCTTATCACACACAGCTGTCCTTTGCACTCTGGAGGCCATGAGACAAAGGATGATTTTTCTGTTCTCTAGAAGACATATATCCCATGGCATCACTAATTTTTTTTGAGGACCTAATATAAAGAGCTTTAAGTAAGTTATCTTATTTAATCCACTAAGATTTCTGTTAAACAAAATTTTTAACCCATTTGAAAGTTATTTTCATGAGAAATACCCAGTATAACAGGAGAGGGAAAGTTCTCAATCTCATAAAGCTCCCACCAGATAGAGCCTTGCAAGGTGGACAAAGGGCGCTCTTAAGTACAAACTGGCGAGTGCAAAGAGTCACAGTCCAGAAAATGCTGACAGAAATAAGAGATAGAGGGGCTGGCAGAGAAGTACAAGAAAGCAGCACCCTCACCTCCTTGGTGCCACCAGTGCCCCAAAAGCTGGGTCATGGAGCATCTCAGAGAAAAACCAAAAGAACTTCTCTGAAAGCATCACTATCCCTGTCCCAGTCCCACAGCTTGGGCTGTGAGTGCTGCACAGTGATTATTACCATAATGCCACCCCAGCGGGGACTATGGAAGGCATTGGTGGCCACTGGAGCCCCATCCCGGTCCCGAATGTACAGGGGTGAGTGGGCAAGCTCGGGCACGTAGAGTAGAAAGTTGAGCACAGGATACAGGGAAGCAGCACTGGATCCTGTGGTACAAAGACAGGAGAGTCAGGATACCAAAACATATTGGGCCTGGAGCTCGGTTCCAGGTCAGCCTGTCACTTGTTGGCCACTCTCACTGGTACTCAGTTTCCTGGGCTGATGGTCACTAGGATATTCTCCGATAAAGTCCTTGATTTCCAAGGTAAAGGACCCTGAAGCTTCTCCCAAGATATGCTACATACATGGAGTAGTCTTTCCCAGAAAATGCCTCTAGAATCTCCTTCCCCTGACTGCTTAGAAAGCTTTCATGGTCACTGTAACAAGGCATGCTATTACTACAGCTAGCTTTATGCACAAGAGCAAATATGACCTCTTGTCAGTTCCCTGTTACTCTTCAATGGCCAGCAATTTGTATCAGGTTGAAGTTCAAGCTCCTTAACAGGGTCCTACCTGACCAGCGCCTGTCTGCCTTGCCAGGCTCATCACACATCACTCAGGCACAACTCAGCCACACCACACTACGCGGAGCTTCCTGAATGTCTGTGTGCTTTCTCTTCTATGTCTAAATTCCTAGCTCGCTTTGCCTGAATTGCCCTTCCATCTCTGTACTTAACACTGCCACAAAGCAGTCCCTCAGCCAATTCATTCGATGAAAGAACAAAGACAGGAGGAATCTGCTAAGCTCTCACATGCCATCCCTCTTATAACCCACGGTCCCTGCTGGTCCAGCTCTGGGCCTGAAATTCTAGTGAGTGATACATTCACTTTGGTTTGCCTGCATTACAGTTCTTGGCCACATCTACTTTTCCTAGGCTCCACCCTCAAAATAAAAAACTATAATCCTAGATTCAGGGTCCCTGCACCTCAACTAGCTGAACTGTCATTTTTAATTCTGCCTTTATGTACTTTTCCTGCCTTTCCTACATATGCAACCGTATCTTTCCTAGTTAGCTTTCATTTCATTTCATGTTAGCTATTTGTTTGTAAATGTACAGCCAGATATGGTGGTGCTCACCTGTAAACCCAGCTACTGGGAAGGCTGAGGCAGGAGGGTTGGAAATCCAAAGCCAGCCTGAGCAATTGAGCAAGACCCTATCTCAACATAAAAACTTAAAAAGGGACAGGGATGTAGCTCAGCGCTCTCTGTATTCAATCACAGGACTGTTAAAAAAATAAATAACAAGAATCATGTTTAATAAGCAACTGAATAAGATGGATGTACTGTAATTGCAGCAATTGAGAGGCTGAAGCAGGAGGACTGACAGGAATTTGAGGCCAGCCTGGACCACAGAGCAAGATGCTATCTCAGGGGCTGGGGATTTAGCTCAGCGGCATAAGTGCCTGCCTTGAAAGCAGGCAGTCATGAGTTCAATCCCCGGTACCGATAAAAAAGAAAAAGACAAAAAAAAAAAAAAAAAAAAAAAAAAAGATGCTATCTCAAAAAACTAAAAATTTAAAAAATAAAAAGGTGGATGTATGGATGGAAACAACATCAACAGAGCAGCAAGAAAAAGGGGCCTAAGTCTCCCTGTGCTGTCAGACCAACACAAGCTAGGGACTGTCACCATACATAATCTGCAACTATCATTATTCATAGCCATTTCCACCCACAGCTGTGCCTTCAGGATCCCTCTTCGGTCTGGCAGAAAGACCCCTGTCCTCGGGAGCTCACCCAGCCGGGACTCCACGGGGTTGATAACATGGGGAAGGCTGGGCATGGCCAAGTAGTAGCTGGACGAGAGCGGGTCAAAGCGGGGATTTACCCCCAGCATTGCATAGTAAAGGATCTGTGGAGCAAAGAGAGAGATTATTATATGCATTGATGTATAGCCTACTTTCGCTGGAAAAAAAAAAATTTGAGGTACTTTACAAAGATACAGTCAGGACAAGGTAAAATATAAGAGACAAAGTCAGGGTTGAGAGAAAAACAGGCTTAGAAGAAAAGAACAAAACCAAGGGTAAAGTCAATCTACTAAATACATGCTTTGAAAACCACACATTCGGGGCTGGGGATTTAGCTCAGCAGCATAAGTGCCTGCCTTGCAAGCAGGCAGTTGTGAGTTCGATCCCTGGTTCCGATAAAAAACAAAAAAGACAAAAAAAAAAAAAAAGAAAAAGAAAGAAAACCACACATTTTACCAGGTTTCCAAACAGCCTAAACAAAGAGCAAAACAAAGAACAGCATAGTTCTGTCTACAAGATCAAATCAAGCCAGTCATTCTGAAGCAACCACTCTCGCTACAAAAACCTAATAAGCATTTCTCCCACATTTTCCCTATAAGGACATAGTATGACACAGAAAGCTACATTCCTCACATCTTTATTGTTACTAAAGTCATACATGTCAAGAAACTTATAAAAAGAAATTCCATAAGGATGACTGACAGTGTTAAATCTAGGTGCACCTGCTGAAGAGTTCTAGGATCCACTGATGGAACTCTCTGAGCTGGACATGGAGGGAAAGACAAGACCCAGAACCTACTCCCAAGTGACAGACAAACACAGGCATAGCCCCACTCAGTACGTGCCCCATGACACTCACATGCACACACTAACACAGGGAATTCCCAGCTAATCAGCAAACCCTGACAGATGGCAGAATAGATGCATCTGTAAACATTAAATATGCAAGGATTTTGACTCTTTGACTCACTCCCACTCTCACCTGAGAGTCCACAGAGAAGTTGCCAGCAGCACTGAGGGCATTCAGGAAGGGCTGCACATAGCGCTGGACGGCTCCCTCAATGTCCCAGCGGACGTCATGGGACTTGGGGTCTGGGTTGAGTAAACTGAAGGTGATCTCATAGCCTATAGAAACAGGACTCAGGAATCAGAGGTTCCTGTGGATTAAGAAAGAGGGGCAGCATGTACCCCTGGCTAAGATGATTGCTATCATGCAACCAAAAGGAGAATAAACCAGGATGTGGGATATTGCGTGCTCTTAAGAAATGTTGGCAAGGGGCTGGGGATTTAGCTCAGCGGCATAAGTGCCTGCCTGGGAAGTGTGAGGTCATAGGTTAGCTCCCTGGTACCAAAAAAAAAAAGGCAAAGAAAAGGTGGTGATCAGAGAAGAAATGAAGAACTTGCACACAGACTCTCCTCCTGGAGAATCATTGGAGAATTCATTTCCTCCACCCCACCTGTGGCAAAGCCCAGTACCCTACCCAAGCTGGACTTGAGAGGTCGCCTCTTATCAGAGCTCCACTTGTCCTCCGGGAGGTGGTCAGCTAGAGCAGCGGCAAGCACGTCCTCAGTCAGAGACATGGCCTGGGCTACTTGGATTATGCGGTGGCCAATGATGTTAAAGGCCTCCCGGTGCATTATTCCCCGCACAACTGCTGTCCTCTCTGGGCCAATGTAACTCATTATGTCCTGTGTGGATAAGCAAGGGACAGCACACCTGTAGCTCAGTGTGAAGAATGCAGGAAAGCACAATGGCCTTTTGCCACTGACCAAAGTCCTGCACCTTGGCTATCAACCTAGAATTTCTGAGCTGTAAGCACATATGAGTATTCACATATATTTCCATTCCTCTCTTTTTTTTTTTTTTTTTTTTTTTTGTCTTTTTGAGACAGGGTCTCTATGCAGTTCAGGCTGGCCTTGAGCTCACTTTGTAGCCCAGTTTGGTCTTGAACTCACAACAATCTTCCCACCTCAGCCTCCCGAGTGCTGGGATTACAGGCCTGTGCCACCAGGCCCAGCATGTTTCCTTTTTTTGTCTTTTTGAGACACCTCTCTCTTTTCTATCCAATAAAGGTCCTAGCAGTATCTAACTGTTCAGAGGCTGATAAAATAGTGAAATGGAAACCAAGAGATGGCACATGGAAGAAGAAGAACTGAATTCTTTAAAAAAAAAAAAAAAGAAAAGAAAAAACTGCAAAGTTCGATCTATAAAAATGGTACATGAGGGGCTGGGGATTTAGCTCAGTGGCATAAGCACCTGCCTTATAAGCAGGCGGTCGTGAGTTCGATCCCCGGTGCCGATAAAAATGAAAAAGACAAAAAAAAAAAAAAAAAATGGTACATGGCAAAAAGGCAAGTATAAGAACATCCGTAAGCATCACATTTAACAGTAAAAACTAGAAATAACCAAATGTCCATTAACAACAGAATAAATTACGTCAATATAGTGACACATATATTCAACTACATGTTATATCACAGATGATTCTTTCAAACATAAATACTAAAAAAATTAAAGATCTAGAAGATGGACCAAAAAAATTAAAAAATTTTTAAAAAGATGGATCACTGTAGAACCACAGTGATACCACAATATCACTTACTGGGGTTGGGGATTTAGCTCAGCGGCATAAGCGCCTGCCTTGTAAGCAGGCAGTCATGAGTTCAATCCCCGGTACCAGTAAAAAGGAAAAAGACAAAAAAAAAAAAAAAAGGAAACACAATATCACTTACATAAATTCAAATATATGTAAAATTTATGAGCTAAATTAAACCTCTTCTCCTTAAAAAAAAAAAAAAAAAACTCTTAGGCATGGGGTGGATATTTATATTACCCACTCTGGTAGGCTGAGGCAGCAGGACCGTAAGTGTAACCAGCTCCCCACATAGTGAGACCCTATCTCTGGAGAAAATAGTGGTGGAAGTGGGCTGGGAATGCAGGTCAACATAAAAGGCCTCGTTCAATCCTCAGTACCTCTCCCCAAAAATCAAATTAAATATACTGTTTATGGACATATGATTTAACTCTTAAAGCAGCTACTTCTTTTTAATCCTGATTTTTTTGGGGGGGAGGGTCATAGTATGATTGAATCCAAGGACTCTACCACTAATCCACACCCCTCCCCTTTTTATTTTGAGATAATGTCTCATAAAGTTTTCCCACACTGGCCTCAAACTTGTGACCCTTCGGCCTCAGCCTCCATGAGCAGCTGAGATTATAGGCCTGTGCCACCACGCCTATAATTCCATTTTAAATGGTTACTGGCACTTTAATCACATATAAGTCTTGAATTTAGAAAGACCCAAAGTCAATGAATAAGTCCCCACTGGCATTCTTTTTTAACAGAGTTTTCTATTGTTAATAGGAGCTACAGGTAGCACTGCTACGAGAAGGAGATAACTGGGAGGGGCGAAGGGAAGGGAAGAGAAGCGGTCCACAGCTGCTCGTTTACCCACCTGGGGAAGGAGTGGGGAGTGCTCGGAGATCACATACAGAGTCAGAGAGCCCGCCGCCTGCTCCTTGGGCTGAGCTAGCACGGCTTCTGCCTCTGGAGACAAGAGAAGGTGGCACACCACATGCAACACGTACCATTTCCCCCAGCCCCCACAGAGTGCCTAGGCCACCCCACCACTCACAGCTGGCACTGTGGCCAGATTCGGCTCAGCTAGTCTGGTTCTTGGGCCTTGAGTGGTCCAGGCTAAAACCCAAGTACCATATTCCCAGCTTTCCAAGACACTTTGGAGATAAAACAAAACATTGAAATTATACGTTTAAAAATCAGCAGGAAAACAAGGGTTCTTTTTTTTTTTTTGTCTTCTTCCTTTTTATCGGTACCAGGGATCAAACTCACGACTGCCTGCTTGCAAGGCAGGCGCTTATGCCGCTGAGCTAAATCCCCAGCCCCAAAACAAGGGTTCTTGCCAAGTGTGGTGGTACATGCCTGAGGCTGAGGCAAAAAGACTGTTGTAGGGGCTGGGGATTTAGCTCAGCGGCATAAGTACCTGCCTTGCAAGCAGGCAGTCGTGAGTTCGATCCCCGGTACCGATAAAAATGAAAAAGACAAAAAAAAAAAAAAAAAAAAAAAAAAGACTGCTGTGAATTTGAAGGCAGCCTGTGCTACATAATGAGTTCAAGGCCTGGGCCAAATATAGAGCTCAGTTACAAAAGCACCTGTCCAGCAAGTGCAATGTCCTGAGTTCAATTTTACTGAAAAATAAAATTCAACAGTTAATGAGTTCAAGGCCAGCCTGAACTACAGTGAGCCCTGTCTCAAGAAAAAAAAAAAAAAAAAAAAAAAAGAAAGAAAGAAAGAAAAAGAAAAAAGAAATATGGCTTCTTGTCAAAATAGTTCATTCACCCCTTCCCATACCTTGTACACTGCCCAATGACAGGGCCTCCTCCTCATGGTCCAATGCCCTCCGATAAGTCTTCTGGAAACGGCATTTGATTTTCATTTTGTCTGCAGGGAAAGGAAATGCATGATGGGAAAGGCAAGTATCAAACGTTGCCCACCTCTCTCGCCCTAGAACTGTCCAGTGTCTGCAGACAGCAAGATAGTTGTTTGCAGAGAATTACCATGCACCAAGCAGCTACAGCCAACTCCAATCATTTCTGCACGGATGACAGCAAACACATAACAGCTTGTGTCTTCCACCCCACTTCTTGCCTGTGCCTATCTCTACAATGGTCTTTTGACATGAAATATCTTCTCACTGCAGAGTGAGGTGGTGGGTGGGGGCGTGTTTCAATATTCATTATATCAATTGGTGAAAGGAGAAAAATCACATGGTCATTCCAATTACTGCCCTCCAATAATTAAATTCAACAAAAATTCCTGACAGGGCTGGGGATTTAGCTCAGCGGCATAAGCGCCTGCCTTGCAAGCAGCAGTTGTGAGTTCTATCCCTGGTACCGATAAAAACGAAAAAGACAAAAAAAAAAAAAAAAAAAAAATTCCTGACAAAACCCAAAACACCTAATGACAAAACACTAAATGCAATTCCATTAAAGTTAGTAATAGTAATCCCAGAACTTGGGAGGCTGAAGCAGGAGGTCTGTGGTGAGTTCAAGGCCAGCCTGGACTACACAGTGAGTTCAAGGCCTGCCTGAATTACAAAACAAGACCCTATCTCAAAAAAAGAAAAAAAAAGTAATATAGTATTGATGGTTGCTCTCTCCTCAGATACTCCCACTGTCATCTGGCATTGTTCACTCTGAAGTTCCTAACCAATAAATAAGAGAAATAAAATGTATAAATATGTCAAAAAAAGAGACAAAAGGGCCACTTTTACAGTAGTAAATTGTTTTCCAAGAAAATCAAAGAATTCTCCATTACATTGCTTTGAAGCCTTATAATGTTTGCATTCATTAGTTGGAATGGTTATATCCTGGTTTGATTTTATTATCTGTGGTAGTATGAAGTTATTTTGAAGAAAATAAGACATTAGAATAGCCAGTGCTGATTTAATATCATCTTACTATGAAGTCCTACCATGCTATTGTTCTTCTGTTTCCATTACTTCTATCATGTTATATCTTATTGGGTATTATTATGTGTGATATTATAAACAAATTTTCTATGGAAAATGAGATAATATAGCAGCCATTGTTCGTTCTCTGTTATTTGGTTCTGAAAGCCCTGTAATGCTTTCGTTCTCTTGAATGGTTTTATACTGTTTTGTTATGTCTGATACTACTGTACATGAAGTTATGCTCAACTATTTCAAAGAAAGAGACATTATGGCAGTTACTACTAATTACGGGTTGTCTTGTGGTAAAATGCTGCGTTGCTTGCATTGTTCTCATCTGATCTGCTTTGTTATGTCCTCTTTTGTTTTACTCTCTTTAAAAGAAAAGAAAAGAATCAACTAAAAAAAAATCTTAAAACTTCAAAGTTAGCCAGGTATGGTGGGGCACAATTATAACTATATTACTCTGGGAGGCTGAGGCAGGAGAACCATTAGTTCAAGCCCAGCCTGGACAATTTATTGATTTAGCAAGACCCTGTCACAAAAACAAAAAAGGAAAAATACAAAAAGGCTGGGGAAATAGGAAAGTGTAAAGGCCCTGAATTCAAGTCTCATAACCCACACAAACGTACACACAGAAACAGTTCAGAAAGAATATACAAAAATCAACAACTGCATAAATACCAGCAATATTTAATTAGAAAGTAATCATTTTTAAGAATCTCCAACTGGGGCTGGGGATTTAGCTCAGCGGCATAAGCACCTGCCTTGCAAGCAGGCGGTCGTGAGTTTGATCCCTGGTACCAATAAAAATTTAAAAAAAAAAAAAAAGAATCTCCAACTGCAGTAATAATAAAAATTTAAAATGCCGAGATGGAAAGAGTAGACCTTCTAAAGATGTCAGTTCTCTGCAAGTTAAACCTTACATACAAGGCAATGTCAAAAGGATTTCTTTGCTCCCTGAAACTTAACAAGCAGAACCTAAAATTTACTGGGAAAGTTTCTCTTTGTAAAAAAAATTCTAAGAGTTGGGATACAGCTCAGTGGCACAGTGCCTGCCTGGCAAGCATAAGGTCCTAAATTTGATTCCCAGTATCAAAAATAGTAAGTAAGAATTCTATATCATATACATAAATCATAGAACTGAAAAAAAAATCACTATTTGACAATTGCTAATGAAATCAATTCCTGTTCCCACAGATGCTAAAAACTTCAAGTTAAAGGTTGATGGCAAAATCTAAAATTGTTGGGCCTGGTGGCACATGCCTGTAATCTCAGCTCTCAGGAGGCAGAGGTAGGAGGACTGCCATGAGTTCAATGCCAATTTGAACTACAGACCAAGACACTGTCTCAAAAAAATAAAACAAATATAGAGATCAGGCTGCTAATAACTGAACTGCTAACCTCTGCATCACCCAACATGGATAACCAGCCACCATACATTTCGTGATGTAACACAACCAAAGTACGTAGCACCACCTATAAAGTACTCACGCCTGAAAAGATCACCCTTGGCTCTGATCAGACCTCTAGATTTCACTATTAGCCTACAAGAAATATGGATACTAGAGGAATAAGTTAAATGAAATTATGAGGAAGTGATTCAGGGAAACCCTGAATGTGAGATATTTTCTAAAACAAATGATCCTGGTTTCTTCAACAAATAGTCTGAAGAACAGAATTATATTGGTGACGCAGAAGGGAGCTAATATAGGTAAAATAAAAGGGGGGAAAAGAAACTGAACCAACTGTATCCTAATTAGAAGAAAACAACTATAAACCTTTGAGATAACTTAGGAACTCTAAGTGGAGATTGAGAATTAGGTAGTATTAAGGAATTATTGCTACCTTTGTGAGATGTCATAATGGTAGTCAGGTTTTCAATTTTTCTAAAAAAGCCATTAATGGCTTCCCCTCACATCCAGAATAGAACCCAAAATTCTCACAATGGTCTACCAGCCCTTCGTGATCTAGCACTCTCTACTGCTCTGGTTTTACTTCAATTCCTCTCTTTAGTCCAGCCATAAAAAAATTCTTCATGTTCCTTAAAGGTGCCTACTTTGACCTTAGGACCTCAGCCTTACTTTTTCCTCTGCCAGGAAGCTCTACCCCTGGGTATGTGCCCAGTGAATTAATTCCCTTACCTCTTTTAGGTCTTTACTCAATGTCCTCTTTCTGATGAGGCCTTCCTTAGTCACCTAATATAACACTGCAATCCCAAGAAAACATCTCTATTGCCCTGTCTTGCTGTTTTTCTAATCACCATTTAACATACTATGTTTATCTAGCTTTTTATTGTCTCTTCTCTCCTTTACCTGTTTTGTTTATTGCTCTAGCAACTAGATTAGTATCTCATATAGGTACTCAAATATTTGTGGGATAAATGAATAATCCTATTCATAAAAATAAGTAACAGAACAAGACTTGAATTAGCTCTCTTTCAATTTCTTTCTTTTTTTTTTTTTTTTTTTTTTGAGATAGGGTCTCGCTATCAAACTAGTGATCCTTATTACGGTTAGCCTTGGAATTACTGTGTGGCCCAGGCTGGCCTCAAACCCACAGCGATCCTCCTGCCTCAGCCTCAAAATTGCTGGGATTACAGGCACGCACCACCAAGCCCAGCCTTGAATCTGGTTCTCTCATACTACACTGCATCCACAGTATTACTGAAAACGTGTCACCGTGGGCTGGAGATTTAGCTCAGGGGCATAAGTGCCTGCCTTGCAAGTGCATGGTCATGAGTTTGATCCCCAGTACCAAAAAAGAAAATATGTCACCAAATATGAAGAAGTCCATGATAAACTAAAAATAATCAAACTGCAAACCAACATATGAGGTATGACACCCTTTTTGTTCAGAAAAACAAAATGTGTGTGTACATTTGGCTGAACTACATAAATACGACTTTTTTAAAAAAATCCCTTGATTACGCCTGAGTGTGGTAGTACATGCTTGTTAATCCTAGCACTCAGAAGGCTAAAGCAGGAGGATCACAAATTAGAGGCCTGGACCACAATTTAGATAGGATCACAAATCAGATACCAAGACTCTATCTCAAAAGAAAAAAAAAAGTACTGACTAAGGTTATAGAATTAGGAAGTAAATGGCACACAGGCACATCACAGTCAGGAGTCCGCCTTTATCTCCAGCCACTCCTAGAATTTTACTTCACACTCCAGGAAGGTAAAACTGCTCATGGATCCCCACTTGCTGACTCACACAGCCATGCTTTTACACAGCAGAGGTACAGTCTGTTGGTCAAAAGACAACACTGCAATCAGATGGGCCTGGATTTAATCCCAGCACCACCTCTTATTCATTTTGTGATCAAGACAAATTAAACTTTCTTTAAATTTCAGTGTATTATAAAATGGGAATCCTAATGTTAGAAAATTAAATGAGGCAATACATGTAAAGAGCTTCACCTAGTTTCAGGCACACAGTAAACAATAACAAGCTAGTGATCCTTACTACGGGAGCATGCTACTTCCTCTCCTAAGTCTCTTCTTTTTCCATTTAACCTGAACTCCTACACATCCTTTAAAGAGCCAACTTAAAAATTATATCATTTAAAACTTTCTCTGCCTTTGTTTCCTCCAAGATAGTTAAATGCTCTGTTTTCAATGCTGTTTCTTATAACTTCAACAGTAATAGCTTTTACCTATGTGTCTTTCTCCCATACTTATGAATTTCTTTTTTTTTTTTTTTTTTTTTTTTTTGGTCTTCTTCCTTTTTTTTATCGGTACCGGGGATCGAACTCATGACTGCCTGCTTGCAAGGCAGGCGCTTATGCCGCTGAGCTAAATCCCCAGCCCCCACTTATGAATTTCTTGAAATCATCAGTTTCGTATTCATCCCCAAATTCCTGGTACCTAAGAAAAAGTGCCTAACCATAGTGTTTAACGAAAAACCGAAGAGTCTGTGTACATATCCAATTTAATTTCAAACTGTGTTCTTTCCACTACGTCTCACTTTCTCCCCTCTACTCTGATGGGGATGAACTGCCTCTGATCAGGTGGCATAAATTATGTTATGAAAAATATTGCTGTCTTAATGACACACACTGAATTTACAGTACTCAACCAAACACACTGTTCTGAGAGCTCTTTTAATAAGAGGTTATGGGACACCCACGCTGCTCCTACCCAACACATCTCCAGACTCAGCTCAGACGCAAAAGACTGCCCACCCACCGACCCAGCAACTCACATTTCAGAGGTATCTCTCTCTCATGCACAACGGTGAAGGGCAGCTTTCCTTGGTCGTCCAGGGGCACTGAATCCCGGGTAAATACGACAGTGACGGGTACCATGAGCCGGAGCTGCGGGAAGGAGGATCCCGGCCATCAGCTGAGTCTCCACCTCACCGGTGGGCTGCCCCAGGCAATCTCCCACCGAGGTCTCACCTGCAAAGCATTCAGCCCACTGATCTGGGAGTAAGGTAACGGGGCCCGGTACGTCTCCGTGGTCTTCCACCAGAGCGGCAGCCCTAGCACGATGGCCACCGCGGCGAAGAAGAGGGCGGCGCGCTTGCCACGGACCACCTCTGGGAACACCGGGGGACCGACTGAGGCGCGGGAAACGGGCTTGGCTGCCAGCTCCACCCCTGACACGGACCACCGGTCCTCAGAGATCCCCGGCCCACATTTGGAAAGACTGCCGTGCTAGGGACCCTGAGCCTCGTCTGAAGGGATCGCGTCTAAAGCAACCCCTTACCCCGGGCTGCAGGATCTCTATCACACTCAATCCTCACCCCTTCATTCCTCCCCTGCAATCCTAGAATTGCAGCTCCTACCCAAAGCCCACCGCACCTATGTCAGTAGCTGCAGCCCCGGCAGCCGCCATGCTCGCTTCCGGCTACTCTAAGCCGCCAGGGGCGGAGCTGCGTAAGCCTTCCCCAATCAGAAACCTCCCACAGCGGGGACTGGACCACGGCAGCGACCGCACCCAATGGAGAGCGGCACTCCGGACGCACGCGCGAGAACGCCACCAAGTGGGCGGAGTTGGCGTGGAACTAGGCCGAGAGTTTGGAAGGTTAACCAGATTTAGAGGGGTGGTAGAAAACTGAGTGTTTCGGCGCTAGTGGAACAATCTGTGTTTGGTTTGTGGTTTAGTGTGGTGTGGTTTAGTTTTGTTGCCGGGAACCGAACTCAGGGCTTCATGCATACTCTTCAGGTGTTTTATCATTGAGCCACTTGCGTAGCCTCTAGTAGAACAATCTTGATGAAGCCCCTTTTCATTGTGGAACATAGTCATAGCCCCACGGATGAAGGGCGCCAAATGCGGTCCTTATCTGGGTGACCACGGGGAGCTCGAAGTTTTCAGATCTGAAAAATGGAGACATTTAGTAAATGGGCTTTGTGCGTAAAGATCCTGGCACATAAGGAAGCCTTCAGATGTCAGCTGGCATTATCGTTCCTATCATAGAGTTTCTCTTTTGAGCATCGTCTCCTCGAGCCTCAGACACGGAGGTAGCTAGCTTGTACTTTTTAAAAACATGATTGGTTACGCCAGTATTTTTATCTCAATTCATTTCCAATTTAGAAAAGTCAGGACACTTTAAAAGTCTTGAAAACTGTACCCCATGTAGTGGTCCACGCCTATAATCCTAGCACTCAGGAGGCTGAGGCAGAAGGATTGCTGCACGTTGGAGACCAGCCTGGACTACATAGAGTTCAAGGCCAGCCTGAAATATGTAGCAAGATCCTGTCTCCAAAAAAACCCACAAAACAAAAAACCTTGAAAATTCAGGAGCACACTCTGAATCCTAATCATCTGGTTTCAAATCATGGGTTCACCTCTTTTATTATCTGAATGACTTCTGTGCCTCTTTGCCTGTTTCCTCATATTTAAATACTAATGGCCAAGTGGGGTGGCACACACTTGTAGCTACTAGAGAGGCCATCCCCGGCAATATAGCAAGACTTTGTCTCGAAGTGAAAACTAAAAACTGCTGAGACTAGCTCAGTGGTAGAGTACCACTGGGTTAGATCAAAACTAAATAGGGATAATAGCCAATAGTGTTTATGCTGAGTTAATAATACTGGGATTAGAACACAGAATGGCAGGAACATATAGAAAGTACCATGGAGTAGCTATTTTTGTTATAAGGCAGGCAACACTGGGTGGAGCATTGGTGGCCTCCCCAGCTCACACAGAACACACCAGCTTATTCTCTCATCTCTTTTTCCTTTATTTTTTCAAACTTTGTTTGGAGACATGGTCTCACTATTGTAGTTCATGCTGGCCTTGAACTCATGACAATCCTCCTGCCTCAGCCTTCCCAAGTGTTGAGATTACTGGTGTGCACCAATGCATCCAGGTGTTCTATCATTGTGCATGTGCTCAGGTTTTCTTTCTCCCTAACCCCCCAGCACAGTGCTTAAAGTTCAGCAGAAAGCCTCATCAGGTCTGCCCTTGCCCAGACCCTCAAACTGCACCACCTCTTCCAAATAGGGGTGGGTCATAGCTCTTGGCACCTCCTAGACGTCCTCCTTAGCCCTGGAAGCCACCCAAACTGTGGTTTCCCCCACTGGATAGAAGCCCAGGTGTTCCTCCTAATGTGGTGGCCCTTAGTGGAATGTTTTAGGCTCCAGCTGGGCTCAACACTGCTGAGATGGATCCAATTCCTGCCCATCCTTATCCCATCTTGTCCTGCTGTCTTCCTCCTTTGAGCCTTCCACAAAATCTGCCTTCGGGAGTTGGTCATCTCCCCCTACTCCATCCTTTGGTAGCTGCAGCCTAGTGGCTCTGATGTGGCAGTCCCTAGAAGACAACAGCTCTCCTCACTGCCCCACTGCAGACATAAACATCAAGAGGCAAGAACCTGAGCTGGGAATGGTGACTGGGCATCCCTTCCTCAATAAATATGAAGCCTAGTAAAACTCAAGTCCTCACCCTCTACCTGCACTGTCACAGGGCCCAGAGACAGAATCACCAGAGATCAGAAAAGAGAAGGTGGGAATTTGATGTGTAAAATAGACAACACAAAGTAGCATGTTTTGCTACCTTTTATTTCCTATATGGTGTGTATTCAAGGCATGAGTCAGGGCTCATATACTTCCTTCTCATCCTAGAGAGAGGGCCAGCAAGGACAGCCCAAGGAGAAGTTATACCATCATGGGGAAATGGTGAGGGCTGGTGGAGACAGAGGAATACCCAGGCATCCTGCTCAGACTTCTAGCAGCTCTCCTGCCATCAGACACGGGGAAATGCCTATTCTCTCATCCTATGGTCCTAGGTGCAGCAATGGTAGAGGAGAGGGGAGAGAAAAAGACGACGACTTGAAGCTGGGTGAAGGCATCTCTGTTCTGCATGGCTATTTGACCCTGGCCGTGACTACAGGCAAAAAGTGGGCCAAGGGTGGTATGTGGCATAAGTACACCTCAGTAGGCATGGTTTGCAATGTAGAGGGACTGCGCCGCTGCTCCACCGTCTTCTCCACTGCCTTCATACTTGCCCTGGGCTGCAAGCCCGTTCACCTGCAAAAGGGGATGATGGCATGAGTGGGCTGAGCCAGCCCATAGGTGTCAAACCCTGACCACCGATAATCTCAGTGCTCAGCCCTTCCCAGCTACACACACACTCCCCCTACTACCCCTGCCACACGCAGCTCCCAACCTCAGCCCGTTTGATGAACTCCTCAGTGGCAGCTCCAGCATTGTCCTTTTGCCCTCGCCAGGCATTGAGTGCAGAGGCCTGGAGAGCACGCCCATAGGAGAAGGTGAGGGCCCATGGCCGTGGAAGGGGACAGCGATTGATGGCATTGAGATTGAGTGAAGCCTCCTCTTCACTCTGACCCCCGGACAGGAATGTCACCCCTGGAGGAGAGAAGACCAGCTAATTGGTCATTCCGTATTTTCCACGGTAAGGGACTCCTGATGACCACAAAGAGTCATCAGGATGGCCCTCAGAGGTAAAAGCAGGTTAGAAAACAGGGTAGTACCTGGGACAGCTGGGGGCACAGTGCGACGCAGGGCAGTGACAGTGGCCATGGCAATCTCCTCTGGGCTATACTTGATGGGACAGGCATGGCCAGGGGTCACCATGTTGGGCTTCAGAAGAGTCCCCTCCAGATACACATGATGATCACTAAGGGCCTTGTACACAGCAGCCAGAACCTGGAGATCAGAAGTTTTCAAAGGGTCTGGGTTCTCATTACTGTTCTAGGCTCCCATCTAGGGGTGAGTAGGATGGACTGTAAGGGTTCAGTACAGGCTTAGACTTTCAGGGCTGTTCTAGCATCAGTGAAAGAGTGCTGCCGGGCATGGTGGCACATGTCTGTGATCCTAGCACCTGGGAGGCTGAGACGGGGATCATGTGAGTTCAAGGCAGCCTGAACTATGTATGTAGCAAGATCCTGCCTCAACAAAATAAAATACAATGAAAGAACACTAGGGAACAATGTCTGGATCTAAGCCAGCAAACGGCTGCAGTCACCCCTACTAGGCTGTCCCTAGAATATGTGTCTGTGCCCAGCTGTGGACTTACCTTCTCTGTAACATACTGACAACGTTTGAGGTCATGGTCTCCATCAGGCAGGATCTCAGGCTCCACAATAGGCACAATGCCATTCTGTAGGCAGGAGTTGGGCGGGGCAATAGGTGAGATGGGAAAAAGTCCTACAACCCGCTCCCCACCAGGCACAGGACACCCATCTGGTCACCCAAACCCCAGGACACACCTGCTGGCAGATGCTGGCATAGCGGGCCAGCACATTGGCATTCTCCAGAATGGCAAGCGTCGAGGGCGTGCGCTCACTAATTTTCAGCACACAGCGCCATTTGGCAAAGTCAGCTCCGTCTTTCTTGTACTGAGCACAGCGTTCAGAGAGGCCATCCAGCCCTGTGGTCACAGCATCAGCCTCATCACTGTCCCTCGCCTGCCACCATCAACTACCTACCTCCTCCTCCGCCCTGAAATGCGCCCACTGGATACCTTGAGTGGTGGTTTCTCCATCGGTCCCAGCCAGAGGCACTACACCCTTGTCAACCTGCAGCAGGAACAGAGGTTTAGGGCTGATTCCAGGTAGGATTCTCTCCGCCTCCCCTCCTACACACAGCTGTTTCCACAGCCAGCCCTGGGGAGGGCCGGGACTGCACCTTGATGCCCACGACAATGCCCTTATCCTGGATAGTTCGGACAAAGGGGACATCGTTATCATCTTTCTGGTAGAGTGTCTCATGGAAGAAGATGACGCCACCAATGCACTTCTTCACACGGTCATCGGCGCTGAACAGGACCTGGCGGTACTGCCGGCGGTTCTCCTCTGTGTTCTCCACCCCGATCTGGCTCAGCCTCTTGGCCATGCTGCCTGGAGGCAAACAAAATGGGGGCAGCCATTCTCTGTGGCCAGGACCCCCTGACCTCCTCAACTCCCTGCCACCGCCATCATAGGCCCCCACCTACCTACAGATTCATCTGCAGCCAGAATGCCTTTCCCTGGCGCCACAATCCGGAGTGCGATGTCAGACAATTCCTTCTTCTGCTCAGCAGAAAGGGCTGGGTATGAGTGGGGCATGGTGACAGCTTTCTGGAATGGAGAAAAGAAAGACTAGACACCACCCTCTACCTCCTCTGCTTCCTCACCTGACCAAATGGGGAAAATGTCCTCCTAAACATGGGGCTGGGAGCACAGCAGCAGTCCTTGGCATGAGTCCTGGGCATCAAAGTGACACCAATCTCTCTGACAGCTAGAAAGCTTGGGCCCCAGTTCCCACATCTCCTTTTGTCCCTGGTGGGCACTCTTCCCAGCCTGTAGGCAAGATGCAAGATGGGATTGGGGAGGTAAACAGCCTTGAAGCTACAGGTCTTATGAAACTGTTGCCTAGAGCTAGGCATAGTGGTGCACACCTGTAATCCCAACATTGGAGAGGCTGAGGCAGGAGGATTGCCAAGAATCTAAGGCCAGTCTGAACTACTCAAGGAGACTAAAATATTATTGCCCAGTTAAAGTCACCAGTCCTTCTTTCGTTAAATTTGAGGTGAATATAAGCCTTGGTCTTCCCAGCTTCTCTTTTCTCATCCTCAACAGGGTCCTGAAGGAAAGTATATTCCAAGGCTTCAGAATGAAGCAAAGGTACTTGTCACAGGCAGGATAAGAGGTAGGAGTGGCACAAATCACAGCCACAGGGTCCCATAAATTCCTTTTTTATTTTTCTTTGCATACTGCAAACCTGACTACCTGTTTCTGTAACCTACCCCAGTGGGCCTGCAAAGTGGGAAAGATGCTAAGTTAGGTGTAAAGATCAGAGGAAGTAACACCACCAGGTCATCTCCAGCTCCCAGAATCACTTCCTCTGTGTGGAGGGACATATGGGAAATAGGGAGCATTCAACCCGGACACCCAGTGGGGAGACAGGGGTTCAAGGTTGACAGGAATGAGTAGAGTGCCTGAGAAGGGGAGGAAGACCCACAGGAGAAGAGAGCGACTAAGGGAGATGATGACAATGGTGAAATAACCAGACAGGGTGGACCTAGACCTGGAGTCCGAGAAGGCAAGAGAGCTGGAGAGGGACCTAGCCCAGAAGGAGCAAAAGCAAGCTGGGATTAAAATGCGTTGGGTGGAAAAACAAAACAAAATACAACGACTGGAGTAGGAAAGACCGATACAGAAAGAAAAAAATCCAGGATAGAGAGTAAGATTTGGGATTGGAAAAGCTCGAATTGCAATTAAAAGAGTTGGGAAGCAGGGGTAACAGGTGCAAGGAGAGAACCTAAAAAGCACACCAGGGTAAGTCAGGGAGCAGGGTTAGAGGGAAGGAAGGAGCTCTGGGAGGAAGTGAAGATGCAGGCAGCTCCCGCCTGGCCGGAACCTTACCTCCGTGCAGCCAAGTTACCAGCCCCAGCCACAGGCGCAGCACAGGATCAGGTCCGCAACTGCAGCAGCTCAGCCCTGCCTCCGGTTAAAGAGGCTGCGGATGCCGCAGAGCTACGTGACTCTCCGGGAGGCGGGACCTGCGCCTCCCCGCTGGGCCGCACGTCCCTAGGACTGGTCTGGCGCAAGGCTACGCCCACGAAGGCGGGGCGACGAGGTGGAGTGACTCGGCTGCCAGGACCCGCCATCTGCTGGGGACTGTCCCCCTCCCACCTCCAGGCCTTGCTTTCATCTCTGCCACGTGCAGGGCACTGTGCTGGAGGTTGAGGTTAACTCTGGTCTGGTGAAGAGGAGTCTCACAGTGACAGCAGATGGGGTAGGTGTGACAGAGCACCAACAGCGTGCCCAGGTACGAGGCACAGAGTAATGAACTGAGCAAGTCTCTGTCCTGTGCCCCAACTTTACCAGAGCCAAGCCCTTGGGGGGGATGGGAAAAGTAAGAGAATGGAGCCTTTTCTGTTTCCCACAGGCCAGGAGCCAGGGAACAAGCAGTCCAGTGCCCAAAGTGTTTGGGAAAGCAACAGAAGAGAGGGCAGGCAGCCACAGCTCTGGATGCAGCAGGAGACGGAAAGAAATGTATGAAATGTGCGCAGGGTACCCAGGCCTGAGGGCCCTGTTCGGACCTCATCCACTGCCTCCTCCCCAAAAATAAGATTCAGTCAACTTAAACATACTTTATTTAAATAATATTAAGCACAGTTGGCTCTAGGCCTATTGGTCCTAGTGTAGGGGTGAGAGGGTACTGCAGGTAAAAAGGGATGAGGGAGAACCAGTTTTCAGTTTCTTCTTTTTTTTTTCCCAAATAGTCTTGAAGTCCTGGGCTCAGGCGATCTTCTTGCCTCAGCCTCCTGAGTAGCTGGAACTACAGGCACACACCACTGCCACTGGCTACTCCGTTTCTTAGCTCAGAAATTCTAGCAATCCTTGTAGCTTCTGGCAGCTCTGTACCACCTCTGGGATGGACAGCAGAGTCTAGGTAGAAAGGCAGAAAAGGCAGCTCAGAACAAGCCTAAGGCCCATGGCTCCCAGCTTCTGGAGCACCCACTGAGTTCAAAGGGAGAAAACAAACCAGAGGAGCCTGCTGTGTGGAGTCAGGTCCAGCTCCACACAGGCTGGGAACCAACCGGAGCTGTGCCCGTCAGAACCTTCTGCGACCAAAAAGCTTTGGACCTTAGGTGCCTTAGTCATATCATCTCCCTCTCTGCTTTACCTTGTAAATATGCTGAACGATCTCATCTAGTTTCGTCAACTCTGCATCAGAGCGCCGCAGGTTTTCCTCTAGGATGTTTCTCTAGGAAGCAAATGTGCTCTGTAAGTCGTGGGCTTAAAAAAACAGCATAGTTGGGCTGGGGTTTTAGCTTAGTGGCATAAGCACCTGCCTGGCAAGCACGAGGTCATGAGTTGGGTCTCTGGTACCAAAAAAAAAAAAAACAAAAAACCAAAAAAGGAACAGCATAGCTTGGTAGGATAGGGCAGTGTGGCGGGAATCAGTGCTAAGACAGTGCAGAAATCTTTACCTGGCTCTGGAACTTGACCATAAGTTTTGCTTTCTCATCTTTCACCTCTAGGAACATCATTCTCAGCTTGTCCACCTATGGGTATGTCCAGATAAATAGGGGTACAGCCTAGGGTCCCCACCATGTGCCCAGCTCCTCTGTTAACTCTGCGTCACCTCCTGATAGAGCCACAATTTCTCTTGGATCCAGTTAGTGGCCTCGGGCTCACAGTTGGGGTCCAGCTGGCCTGCCAGGGTCTCCTGGAGTACTTTAGTCTCCGTCTCTGCACGCCGAAGGGAGCGGGTGAGCTGGGTCATCTCTTCCCTGAGGCTCTGTGAATGAGGACAGAGATATCTCTAGTATTCAGAGACCCTTTCTACCTTTATCCCACGTTGTGGACAGAGGTAGATCAGGGTAACCCTGATGGAAGGCAGGAGCTGGGCACCCTGAGGACGTACAATGAGCTCGCCGCTCTTGTCTATCTGCTCTAGGATCTTCTCATTCTGCTTGTGTATCACTTCTTGGAGCTCCTTTTCATTCTGTGAGAGAAAAGGAGGTGAGGAGTCACTGAGAGAGAGCTGGCTTCTCTGCAGCTCTTGCTAGGAAGGAGGCGGGAGAGTGCCTGACCCTGTGTTTGGCTCTGCTGGGATCAGCAGATACCCTACCACTCCAGTTCTTTCCCCACGGCTAACTGAGGCAAAGCATGGCTCAATGTTGGGAGAGTTCTACTAGGATTCTCTTCTACTTTGCTGGGGAATACAGGTCAGCCTGCAGCTGATTCTTAAATAATGCAAAATGTCTGACCCCAAGAAAGGTGAAACTAGAGCACTGGCTGAAAAGTCCCCACCCCCCAGATTTCTGGAGAGACAGTGGCTCCCAGTGGGCCAGCAGAGCTGCCCCAGTTCTTCATCGCCCCACTTCTAGGCCCCTCCTTCACCTTGTAGCGCAAGCACAGAGCCTGGTTCAGCTTCTCTATGTCTGCTTCCTTTGCCTTCTGGGCTTCCTGGTGCTGTTCTTCCTGGGCCTGCAGCCTCCCCTGCAGAGCACAGCTAGGGGAGGGAAGGATTCCTCATCATTCCTTTCCTCTGAGGGGCTCTGCTCTTCGGGTAAGGAACCACTGCCCCTGCCACCAAGTCTCCATCTCACTCACATTTTTCTCTCCAGAGACCCAATGGCTTCTTCTTTAGACTCTTGCAGCAGGGTACACAGGCTGTGAAGCTCAAGCAGCTTACTGTTCATTTCTGCCAGGTTCATCTCTATGTCTGGGGTCTCTGAAAGAGAAAGTCCTAGATGGCGGTGCAGCCCTTCAGCCTGGAAGGAAGGGGTGTATAGCCACCATTTATTTCTACCAACTCTTTATCAGTGTTCCCCACCCCTAGGATTTGAATATCCAGAACATTACAGATCCCAAAAGACAGAAATAAAATGAGCCCAAGTAGAATTGAGGTTTTTAGAACAAAGCGCTTCTCACTGCTTTTGTCTTTACTCATCGCTACCAGACTTTCTAGAAATGAGGCAGGGTCCCTGGAGCCCCTCCCTAACCTGGAGGATGAAGGGAAACCACTGATGCTACTCGGGTGAACGCACTCTTGCCGCTTCCAAGCAAAGACACAGGAGCTGATTCTGGCTCTAAAATAAACAAACAAAAAGCCACCATGGGGAAAGGCCCCTCTCGTGAGGGTCAGGGGTCTGCCACAGTGACAACTGGGAGATGCAAGGCATCTGGAACAGCTTTCCTGCTCCTGCCTCCGAGGGACTCTAACCTTCGCTTGTGTCTGCTGTCCAGATGCTCCCCACGGAGACACGGCCATTAGGTAGAGGGTGTTCCTCTGCAAGAGCATGGGTTGTGCTTAGTGAAAGGGTCTCTGGTTCAGCCTGAGGACAAGGGAGGACAAATACCAACTGCTGTTTAGAGTGATGCCTCAGTTCCAGCCTCCTCTTCCAGCGGGTTCCACCCACTGCTGTGCGGCTCTCTCTCCAGGTCCTCCATTAGCATCTTTCTGCAAACAGGTTTATATTCCTAAGCCTCGCTTGCTAATATAATCTGTTTTTTTAAGTCAAGGTCTAACTATGCAATTCAGACTGCTCTTGAAATCACTGTGTGGCCCAGGATGGCCTCGAACGTGAGGCAGTTCTCCTCCCTCAGTCTCTTGATAATAGGCATGTGCCATCACATAATTATTGTTTAAAACGATAATAAAAAACAAAACAAGCACAAGAAAAATCCTTAAATCTCCTTTTGGCTACTGCTGGCCTCTTTTCCTGAAAGACAGAGAGAGAGAAAGAAAGGCAGCCTGTGTATCTCACCATCTTCTTTCTCCTACTCCACTATACTCAGGCTTCTACCCTAGCATTCCACCACAATCCCTGCCATTTGGTCCACTGATGGCATCCTTACTTTCAAATACAATGAATACTTTTCTGCTCATTTCACCTGGTGAGTTCTTGTGCTCTTAAATATCATGTGCTTTTAGAAACTGCCCTTTCTTCCAGGACATGACCCTCCTTCTTGTAGAGGCTTCATGCATTTCTGGGTATTTCTTCTCTCTACCCATAGGTCCTTCCTTAACCACTGGACCTTTCTGGGTTTAGTCCTTGGTCCTCTTTTCACTGTCTAATCCATTTCCCTGGGTGGTCACACCTTGGGAACACCACAAAAACACTCACTCTAGCTTCTATTTCCACATGAATGACTGTTCGATCTCTTTTTTTTAACCGGATTTTTTCCCAGTCTCCAGGCCCAAAGACTAACTGCCTGTGAAATAAACTCTACCAGAATGCTCCACAGACCATATGAATTTTAGTATATATAAAGCTGAGCTGGGCGTGGTGATGCGTGCCTTTAATCCCAGCACTCAGGACTCGAGGTAAGAGGATGACCATGAGTTCAAGGCCAACCTGGACTGCATAATGAGTTCAAGTTCAGCCTGATCTTCATAGCAAGACTCAGTCTCAAAAAACCAAATCAAACCAAAAAAAAGTATATGCAAAGCTGAGTTCACCATTTCCCCTGTCCTACTCCCACCAAAAATCTGTTCCTAATCCTGTATTTACTGTTCTGGAGCAGAGTGGGCAGCAAAATATGGCCTGCAGGTCAAATCTGGGCTGCCAAATGTTTTTGCAAAAGTTTTATTAGAACATAGTCGAACTCACTCATTTAGATACTGTCAATGGCTGCTTAACAAAGAGCGATGCCACGAGCTACAAAAGTGGGTTGGGTAGTTCAGACAGAAACTGAATAGCCCACAAAGCCAAACTCACACATACGGCCTTTTAGGAACGGTTGCCAGTTCTAGAGGAGACTCTCACTGTCCCCTCTCCTGCCTTCTCCCATATACCTCCTATACTACCAATCATGGGAAAAGTACTTCCCACACTTGCCACATTCTGAATGAACAGGGCCGTACCTTCTCTCCTGCCGTCCTGGCACCTGATGCAGGTCTTGCTATAAGGTAGACACTTACTGTGCTGGGTGTAATGGTGGATGCCTGTAATCTCAGCAGCCAAGAGGCTGAGGCAGAAAGATGGCCACAAGTTCAAAGCCAGCCCAGGCTACACAGTGAGTTCAAGAGTAACCTAAACTACAGAGCAAGACCCTGTCTCAATAAAAGAGAACTGATTGTCCTTTCTGTGCTCCCAGTGCCCCATCCAGACTTCCACCACAGTTGTATCAAGATGACAGTGTTGCATCTGTCTTTCCTTCCAGACAGTAGATTGTTAGACATTTCAGCATATACATGCAAGAGGGTCAGAATCTTAGTTGTACCTTTAACTGTTAAGTGAGCTAATTAACTGTATTTTGAAAGAAGTCAACCATGTATTGTTAGTTTGTACAGTGAGTAAGCCAAAGAAACAAAGTTTCTTTCTTGAAATATTGTCTGTTTGAAGAGACCAGATATTCACAGAAAACCAATACAAAAGCAAAAGGACAGTAAGCTTGTGAGGGATGCACCACACAAAGAGGTCAATGAGTCCATATGATTTGGGAACATTTTAAAAATAGTGGGTGTTATAGATTAAAAACTGGTGGTCAACTTAACACCAGTGGAATTAAATCACTATGGTGCTGAGCATAGATGTTTCACCTGAGGAAAGTTGCCAGCATAAATAGAGATGTGGATAAGAAGGGAGGCATTGAGGCATTGTGGGTTCTCCTATGAGCTGCTCTTTGAGCCATTGGTTCTCCTGGAGAAGCTCTGGTCCTTACATCGAGCATTGCTTCCTGGCTCCAGAGGTGAAGACATGTGCCACTTGGTCTTCAGGATGAACTCATCACGTTGGCTTCCTGGCAGGTACTTGACTGTGCTTGTCAGAGGAGCTCGGGGCCTCTGTGTCACTGAAAATGGCTGTGGTACTTTTCAAGACAGCTCTGGTCTCTGTTTTGAGCATGACTTCTTGGCTCTAGCATGGAGCCCTCAGCCTGCCAGCACAGCTCCTTCACCCTGCTGGCATAGACTTTCTAGCTTCCACCACTGACCTTTGGGCCTTCCCAGCACAGATCCGTAAAAGAGACGTGTGAGTTCTTCTTGTGGGCTCTAGACTTCCAGTTGGACTCGTGGGAGGCATTGTCATGAGCTCTGGGTCTTCATCTGGACTCCTGTGGGACACTGCTGTGGAATCCAGGCCCTTGGCTACATATTCTATGTCTTTTTTGTGTTATTGCTAGATTTCCTGATTTTTTTCTTGTGTTAACTCTGGGTGACCATCATAAAAATAATATAAACTCCATATCTTGATTCTAATTGTTCTCCTCCCAACCCGACTACAACAGTGGAGTTTTGTTTTTGTACCAGGAATCAAACTCATGACTCTGTTGTGTGTGTGTGTGTGTGTGTGTGTGTGTGTGTGTGTAGGGTTTGAGACAGAGCTTGCTATGTAGGTCCAGGCTGATCCTGAACTCAACTATATAGCCCAGTGGCTCACTAATGATGATCCTCCTGCCTCAGCTTCCCAAGTGCTGCAATTACAAGCATGTGCCATCGTGCCAGGCTGCAAGATACAGTTTGAAGATAAGGACCTACCGCCTCCTTTAGTTTTGTCTGTAGGAAGAGGGTTAGGCTCTGAAGTTGCTTGGTCAGCACCCCTAGCTCTTGGGAATACTGCCGTGTCTTCTGCAGGTCTTGTTCCTGGTTCGCTGCTATGGTGCTGGCCAGTTCAGCCCTGAAATAGGGAATGGGAAAGATATTAGCCCAAGTTATCTTTTCTGAACACCTCTCCCAATTAGCCCCTGAATTTAAGGAGAGAAACCAGAAGCTCGATATTGTCATGATTCCCTTCTTGGAGACTCTGGTTTCTAGATGTGTTTCTGGGAAAAATAAGCCCTTGGTGGAAAGTACAGAAAGAGAGGACACTTACTTTAAGTTCTCTACAGTGTCCTTGAGAGTCTCACACTGCAGGCTGCGCTCCCGGAGGACATCCAGAGTGGTTTTCAACTGACACTCCACCTCACCCAGCTCCAAGTGAGCAATCTGACTCTCTTGGTCTGCAAACTAGAAAGACAAGATAAGGAAGGAAGGAAGAGAAGGAACAAGAGAGGAAAGGGAGAGAATGAGTCCAAGTATGGAACTTTAGAGCCCTTGGACAGAGGGCTTTTACCGGTCTGTTGTCCCAAACCTAACCTCAGTGACATCAGGCAAGTGTCTCACTCCTAAGGTTTACCAGCTCCCTTACCTGCAGGGTCTCCTTAAGGTCCTGCAACTCCTTGGCAAACACAGCCTGTTGGTGCTCCAGTTCAGCTCGCGTTTGTTTTAGCACCATCTTTTCCTTTTGCCATCTGCCAGAGACCTTATGTTAAGTCCTGCTTGGTCTTACGTGCTGGGTGCCCACTGCCCACAATAAACAATAGGAACTCACTGAGCGGCCTGCTCCTCATTGCTCTGGGTAAGCTGGCAGAGCAACTCATCCTTTGTGGCCAGGTCCTGGGTACAGTGGGCATGCTGATTCTGCAGCTCTTTTAGCTGTCTATCCGTGTCGGCCAGCATCTGTAGCTGAGCCCGGAGATCTAGATCAAAAGTAAACTAATGATACCATGCAATCATTAAGCCAGGAAACCTTCACATTTTTGTTCTAAAGTAGGTGTTCCAGGGCACTTCCTTGTTCTACCACCACATTCCAAGCTTTAGCAGGCTCACCTGCTTATACATACCACACACATACCTGTTGCTAAGCGACCCTTTTCCAAGTTCAGTTGTTCTATTTGGCCTTTGCAGTCCTCTAAATGGGTAGAGGTTTGTGCCAGCTCCCTGGAAATCTAAAAGATAGTTTTCCATCTATAATTCTCCCTGAATCAAGAATACCAGGACTCAGTGCAGCTTCTTTTTCTGGACAAGACAGCAAGTGACCTTGCTTCTGGGTAGCAGCATTGCACAAAACAAAGCTGATCTTCAAGAAAAAGATACATGAGAAAAATTGCTAACTTAAAGAAGGTGCTGAAGAGCCAGGTGTAGTGAAGCATACCTATATCTCAGCACTTGGGAGGTTGAGGCAGGAGGAGCACTTCAAAGGCTTACCTGGGCTACATAGTGAATTCAAGGCCAGCCTGAACTATGTAATGAGACCCTGTCTCAAAATAACAATAACAAACAATAAAACAACAAAAATAAATAAAAAGAAGAAGGTGCTGAAAAGCAAAAGAAACAAATTGGGTCTGATTCTTCTTATAGATAAGGAGCCTGGCTGTTCTCTAAACCCAGAGTAGAAAGACCAACTGAAAAGAATGATGGCTCACACTGGAAAGGCCTCTGCAGAGGAAGAGGGAAGCAGGCCTAAGCAGTCCCCACCCATGGGCTGTACCTGCTGCTTTTCCTCAACTGCAACATTATAGTCCTGCAAGGCCTGTCGGCTCTTGGTTGTGAGTTTTTCTGCGAGTTGTTGATACTGACTCAGCAAATCTGTCCATGCCACGTACTACCAGGGGAAACAAGCAGGTCAGTAGTGTGCATTTGGGGCAAGGCTCCTCACAGGGCTGGCTATGGGAAAGGGGTGGCTATGATGGAACACTCACATCAAGGTGCATGGATGTCCAGTCCTGTTCCAAGGTAGAAGTCAGACTCACTGCGTGCCGAGCTAGCTCTCCTTGCTCTGTGTGAAGGCCTACCTGTGAGGGAATGGTTGACTGTGGAGGTCACTAAGGGGGAAGGGGTGCTGACCACCTTCCTAATATGTCAGTGTGGACCACAGCAAACAAAATGCTTTTATTACCAGGTGGGCCTGGGCCTCTTGCAGAAGGCTTCTGAATTCCCCTGTGAATTTCAAGTCCTTTTCCAGCTGGCTGATGCGCTGGCTGGCATGTGCACAGAAAGCCTCCAGCACTGTCTCTGCCTGTTTAGGGAGGAGGTTATTGCAAGGACATGAAGCATGGAGGAGGGAAACAGCCCAAATACCCGTGACCATCCAGTAGCTTAGTAATGCTTAATTCCCCAGGGCAGGCAGTGCTTAGGTCACTCATCTGGGTCTCACGGGCATTCCTTATAGGAGCTCTTGAGCTGAACACCTGTGTTCAGGAACAAATGCCCAGCATCTTACCACATCCTTGCCTCTGAGGGCCACTTCCTCTCTGTGCCTCGCCTCCTCCATTTCTGTTTTGAGGCTCTGGAGCTTTGCTTTCAGTTTCTTCAACATATCAAAACAGCAGGAGATCAAAGTCTCTGCAAGCCAAGACTATAAGATAAGAATAAGATGCTGTGTTTGATTCCTTTTTTTGCCTTTTAGCTCCACCAGAGAGGCCTCTGCCTCCACCTCATCTGCTTACCTCCTGACTCACAGCTGTTTTATCTTCTTCTACATGCAGCAGGCACAGGTGAAGCAAGGTTGTGAGCTCGTTAGAGGCTAGCACCCACGATTGCTGTGGAGGCAGAGGGGCCAGGCTGGATGAAATTTAGTCCCTACACAGGAAGCAGGGGAGCTGGGGAGGAAAGCCACTGACCCCAATTCCAAGCTACTAATAAGTCCTTCACAAAAAAGAGAAATTTAGGACCTTCCCTTGGCCATGACAGCTGAGTATCATCATCTACTAACCACCCAAGATTCTCCATTTTCAACCCTCGCAGGAGACCCTAGCAATGACAGATGGTCAGTCAACACTTACCATGATGTTGCTGGTCTGCTGCAGGGCCTGTCCAATTTTCTGGCCCTCCTGAAGATGTTTAGGCTCCTTAGGTACCTAGTCAGATAAGCAAATTGCTCCTTTTGTTTAAACAATGCACCAGCAGCCTCTCTTTCCCCTTTTCCTCCAAGGAGCTAAAGGAGCCTTCCTTCCTTAGAAGCAAGACCAAGGCTTGCAGGAGACCAGATGGGGAGATTAAGGCCTAACTGGCCTCTTCTATGAGCAGTAGAGAGAAAGGCAGATGCTGCAGGGAAAATTAATACAGCTGAGATCTGGCTGTTTACTCGGATATGTGCCAGATGAATCCTGTTTTACTTCTTATGACCATGTCTGAGTGAATAAAACCAATGTGAGCCAGTCACTCAGGGCTCTCTCTCAAAGGGAAATAAGAGGCCTCCTGGCTCCCCACACTATTCTGCATCTCTTTGTGTTTTATCTTTGTCACCCTGCTTGGTCAGGTACAAGCTTGTTGTCCCCCTACAAAGGCTCACAACTAGGTGAAGCCAAACCAGAAAGAAAATTCAAGCCAGGCATGGTGGTCCATGCCTATAATCTCAGACACTGAGGTGGAAGGATTACCAGGAGTTTGAGGACAGCCTGGGCTATGCAGTCAGTTCAAGGCTGGCCCAAACTATATAGCAAGACACTGTCTCAAAACCAAAAAACAATAAAAGAAAAGAAAAATTCAGGAGAAGGTAAAAACATTCCTTTTAAAATCTTTTGTTTCCTGATTATCAGGCTAACACATAATTATGAAATTTTAGAAAATGAAAAAATAAGAAGGAAAAGAGAAGTCTAATAATTTCATCATATGGAGCAATTTTTTTTAATACTGGAGATTAAACTCAGAGCTTTTACACTGACCTATATCCCCAGCCTTCTTTTTATTCTTTTGAGACATGGTCTCACTAGCTGCTAAATTGCCCTGGTTAGACTTGAACTTATAGTTTTCCTGCCTCAGCTTCCCAGAGTGCCAAACCACAACTGGCTTGGAACAGTGATTCTCAACAAACAATATAGCACTTGCCCCCAGAGACAAAGGCGTTTCCTGAAAACTAATGACCATAGCATTGCCCTCAAGTATCAGGGAAAAAATTGCAGGCTACAAATTTAAAAATAAATTACCATAATTAATAAATTCTCAGATGAATACCTTTGCATAGTTTATAGCTCTGAAATGGAACTGCATCCTAATATTGATGATGCCTTAGATTTGATGAAATGAAGTAATGCTTGAGAAAAACCATAATTAAAGTTATAATATACATCCCTCAGCATCAGTGGGGCCAAGTGGGGGTCTCACTATACAGTTCAGGCTGATCTTGAACTCACTCTATAGCTCAAGCTGGCCTCATACTCACAGCAATCCTCCTGCCTCAACCTCCCAAGTGTGGGAATGGGTCCTGTTTTTACTAGTTAAACATTTCCTTTTTGGAATAGACTGAGAATGTGACACCTGCTTTCAAAGGCTTATCAAGGTAGTGTACCACATTTCTTTCTTTTCTTTTGGGTTTTTGTTTTTTTGGAAATGGATCTCGCTATGCAGTTCAGGCTGGCCTCAAACTCAGTGATCCTCTTGTCACAGCCTCCTGAATGCTGGAATTATAGGCATGTGCCACCCCACTTGGCCAGAGGTCCACTACTTTTAGTATTTTTTGCTCATATTTTATTTACCATCAAAGTTTCTCGAAGAATATCTGAACAAACACAAACTTGTATTAAACTTATTTTTTCCATGTTATTAAAAATTCCTCCTAAGTCTACCCCCCAGCGCTGGGGATAGAATCCAGGGTTTTATATGTGCTAGGGAAGCACTCTACCACTGGGCTATCTCACCAGCATGAACACTTTTTAATGACTGTACAGTATCCCATCTTATATTACATTATTTTTACTTTTTAATTATTAAAAAAATGTAGGGCCAGCGTTGCAGGTCAGCAGTACAGAGGCTGCCCAGCAAACACAAGACCCTGAGTTCAATTTCTCAGTAGAAAAGAAAATAATTTTGTTGTTGTTGTTGTTGTTTGTTTTTTGTTTTTTGCACTGGAAACTGAATTCAGGGTCTTTGCACTGAGCTATATTCCATCTTCCTTTATATTTTCTTTTCTTTTCTTTTTGAGGCAGAGTCTCATTGTATAGTCCAGGCTGGCCTTAAAACTTGAGGTGATCCTCCTGCCTCAGCCTCCCAAGGGCTGGAATTACAGGCGTGTACTTTTACACCCATCCCCAGTTGTCTACTTCTTCTCCCCCCCCCAATCCATTTTATTTCAAGAAGAAAAAGAAAAACAAAAAGAAGAGAAAGGAAAACTAAAACAAAATTTCAAAACATATCAATCAGGGAGCAACAATGACCCAGTCTTCTTCAAATGACCAGTCTTCTTCATTCAACAATGACCCAGTCTTCTTTAAAACAGATGCTCACTAAATTGCTAAATTGCCCAGGCTCAGTTCAAAACTTGCAATCCTCCTGCCTCAGCCATCCAAGAGCTGGGATTATAGGCACGAACCTCACCTCTACCTCTGCCTGTTGCCATCTTTATTCAGAACTTTACTCCCTTAAGATATATCCCTAGGGACTGGGGATTTAGCTCAGTGGCATAAGCGCCTGCCTCGCAAGCAGGCAGTCATGAGTTCGATCCCTGGTACTGATAAAAAGGAAAAAGACAAAAAAAAAAAAAAAAAAAGATATATCCCTAAAAGTAGCTACAGGGTCAAAAAATTTAAACCGTTTTAAGGATTTTAATTGCCTTCAAGAAAGAATGAACCAAGCTGGATATGGTAGTGCACACCTCTAATGACAGCACTCTGGAGGCTGAGGCAGGAGTATCAAAAGCTTGAGCTCAACTTCATGAGACCCTGTCTCAAAATTAAAAAAAAAAAAATTTAAAAGGGCTAAAGATGTAAAAGCCCTGGCTTTAATCTCCAGTATTACAAAAACAAAATAAAACAAAAACCAGCATGCTCTTCAGAGTAGAAAGTATAACCTCAAAGGTAGCAGAGCCCTAAGAAGACTCCAATTCTACTTTCTTTTGTAGTGGAAATTGAACTACAGCCTCACGCTTGCCAGGCAAAAAGACTCAGATTCTAAAAGAAAATTATACTGCTTTTCTTAGTGCTGAAAGGCAGCCATGCTTGGGAAAAAGGTTACTGCTGGGACAGCAGTGCTGAATCATGAGGCTGTGAGAGTCTGCAGCATCCTCAGATCTCTCGGGGTTCCTGGCTCCCTTTCCCAGCCACAGTTATCATTATGAACTGCATCATGCAGAAAGCCACGGAGCCCTGCTGGGTAGGACACGCACACTGCCCGGAGCTGGGCAGTCAGGCAGGTTGATAAGATTAACATGAAAGAGGCAGCCAAGCGGCGAGGATGTGCCGGTGCCGGTGCCAGGGAATGGCTGAAAGTGATGTCATTTTCCACTTTCATTTCTGCTTCAGTGGCCTCCAAAGGGACCTTGCAAGCTCAGAGGGAAGAGGACACAAAGCAGATTCAGGGATGGGAAACAAGGGTTAAGGACAAGAAAAAAAAGATATAATGATAACATAAGAGAAAATGTGAGCAGTTAGGAAGACTGAAGAGCCTGCGGTTTCCAGGATTTTCTTTCTTTCTTTTTCTTTTTTTAATCTTTTTCATTTTTATCGGTACTAGGGATCAAACTCACAACCGCACACATGCAAGGCAGGTGCTTATGCCGCTGAGCTAAATCCCCAGCCCCTGTTTCCAAGATTTCTAACAAAAAGTAACCATTACTTTGAGAATATTCTCCTCTCAAAGATCATTCCTGGGCACTTGAGGATCAAGTCTTCTTCATTGTATGTGGTACTGAGGACTGAATCCAGGGCCTTCCTGTTGAGCTACAACTCTAGCCCATTAAAAAAAAAAAAAAAAACACCCAGGTGTGGTGCACTCCTATAATCCCAGCAGTCAGAAGGCTGAGGCAGGAGGATCACGGCAAGTCTGAAGCCAGGCTGGACTATGTAGTGAGCTTCAATCCAGCCTAGACTACACAGTGAGTTCAAGGCTGGCCTGATCCCCTGCCTGAGCCTGCCAAATGCTGGGCTTACACATATTTACCTGACTTATTGAACCTGTATTTTTATGCCTCATAGAACTTCATCCTACAGGCTGGAAGTGTAACTTAGTACCAAAGGCCTTGCCTAGCATATATGAGGTCCTACGTTTAATCCCCAGTACTGGAAAAAAAAAGAAAGAAAAAAGAAATGCCTTTTAGTATATTTTTATACTTTATATTTCCTTTTTTTTTTTTTTTTTTCTGGTACCATGGGTCAAACTCACAACCTCACACTTGCCAGACAGGCATTTTATATTTATACTTTAAAATCTGTTACTGAACTTATGGAGGGGCTGTGGGGAAAAAGGAACCCTTCTCCACTGTTGGTGGCAGTACAGACAGGTATAACCACTGTGGAAATCGGTGTGGAGATTCTTCAAAAAACTGGGACTAGAGGATTCAACCCAGCTACTCCCCTTCTAAGTATCTTCCAAAAGAATTAAAAGTATCACATCACAGCGATATATATGCACCCATATTTATAGCAGCACAATTTGTAATAGCTAAATCTTGGAAACAACCCAAATGCCCATCAACTGAGGAATGGATAAAAAAGATGTGGTATTTTTATGCAATGGAGTACTACTCAGCCATAAAGAAGGATAAACTGAAGGCTTTAATAGGTAAATGGATGCAACTTGAGACCATACTCATAAGTGAAATAAGACACAATATGTAAACATCATATTGTGTCACTACTGTGAGAAGCTGAAAGAAACAACATATGTGTATGTACATAGAAAAGATAGTTATACTCAGTTTATTGAGAAAAATTTGTGCAAATATTGTTCAGACAACTGAATGCAGATGTCTTGTGCTCTGGGTGACTGATTTTTGGATGACAAAGTGCAATATATGTACCATTGTTTCCCTGATTGACATGTTTTCAAATTTTGGGGGTATTTTTCTTTTTTTTTCTCACTGAAATAAAATGGATTTGAAAGTAAAATCTGTTATTGATCTACATTTCTGCAGTGGAACTTCATCTAAATTTAAATTTAAAAATTTTCTAAACTTCTTTGACCAGAAGACTTTAAATGAAAAACAACAACTTCCTTTTGGATAGAGACACATTTTCATCAGTTGTAGACAACTAAGCATTATATATATATATATATGTATATATATATATATATATATATATATTTTTTTTTTTTTTTTTTTTTTGGAGGCAGGGTCTTGCTATGCAGTTCAGGCTGGCCTTGAGCTCACTTTGTAGCCCAGGCTGGTCTTGAACTTGCAATGATCCTCTTACCTCAGCCTCCCGAGCGCTGGGATTACAGGCGTGAGCCACCACGCCCAGCTATAATTTTTTTTTTTCTTTTTTTGGTCTTTTTCATTTTTATCGGTACCAGGGATTGAACTCACGACTGCCTGCTTGTAAGCAGGCACTTATGCCGCTAAGCTAAATCCCCAGCCTCCCCGGCTATAATTTTTTATAAAACCCTAAACAAATTCAGTGAAATCCTGTTAGGAATCACCTATTAATGAAATGAATGGAAATTTCCTCCCCATATTAGTTCATGTATTTACAGATTACTACAATTCTCACAAGACATAGTTCTGCAAAAATTTATCACTATTTTCCAATCTAATAGATGTAAGTACTAAGAAATCTTCATATAAATAAAAAGATTGGGAGGGATGAAAAAAGGAAAGAAGGGCATGTCATCCAATTCTAGGAATATATCTATAGTTATCTATATGCCAGTGATCTTAATGAACTGTCACCAAAAATGTCTAGTGACACATTGACATAGTATCTTCCTCCAAATTGGTTGAAAACATGAAAAAGGGTATTATATGATTATTCTAGTCATTTACTTTCTCAGAATGTGCACCAGTATTCAGTTGTCCTCTGATTGCTATGTAGAATTTGGGTTAGAAAGTAAGGATGCTCTTCTTTGGTAAAGTGGGTAGGGACAGTTAGAATGGGGAAGTAGAAAAGAAAAAAACAGTGAAGAATACATTTGGAAGAGGAAGACCCAAACACTGATTCCTTCAAAACTTTCCTTGTGGGGGCTGGGGATTTAGCTCAGTGGCATAAGCGCCTGCCTTGTAAGCAGGCAGTCGTGAGTTCGATCCCCGGTACCGATAAAAACGAAAAAGACAAAAAAAAAAAAAAAAAAAAAAAAAAAAAACCCTTTCCTTGCTCTCCCTTGAAAAGTCTTGTACTCCAGGTGTGTAATGCATACCCAGCTTTAAGGATTTTTTTCAGATTCTGTCTTCATACATATTCTACAGTAAAAAGCCTGTGATTAAGGAGACCCTTTTGTCCTCTGTTGGTTTACTGCCTTAAATTCTAAAGAAGAGCACCACCAAGATCTATCAGGCTTTGGGAGGAAGCTTCTTACCCAAGGAGGAGAGGCATCTGTCTGAGTGCTACAATCCTGGGCTTTGAGGTGAGGGACAGCCAGGTGGTTCTTCCAGTCCTGTAGCTGGCGGATCAGAACCTCCAGAATGACAAGAGAGTTCATCAGATTATCTTCCAGGTCATGTCTAGACAAGGTAGTCAGATCTGGAGGATGATGGCTACAGCAGGAAAAAAAAGAATGTGAGGAAAAAGGGAAGGGGAGGAGAGGGGAAAGGGAAGGGAGGGAAGAGGATGGAAAAGAGCGGGCCGATCCAGGGTATCAGAACTCCAAAAGCACAGGCTCTGGGGCACTTACCCCCACAGGCGGTGCTGCGTCTCTGAAGCACTTTTTTCCTTGGTACTCTGAGGGCCTAGACGGGATTGGTTTGTACTGTTTTCCTGCGGTGCTGGAGGAGTAAACCAAGTCCCCACAGAGCAAGCAGAGAAAGGAGTGGTGCCAATGGCAGCATCCTGCAGCACGGTGGGAAGGCATAAACTTTGGCGGAGATTTTCTAGCATGACTGAAGTATTTACACCTTTTTCTAGCCAAGCCAGGGGGGACATCCAAGTCTCTGAATCACATCCAAGAATCCTACCAGCATCTTCTACTGGGCTTGGAGCTGCCTGGGATTCCAGTGCCACTGGATTTGGTGTCAGGCATGTGGGTGGAACATTTTCCACATGTGACACAAGTGCCTGATCTCCCAATTCAGCCTTTTCAGGGAGTGTAGGGGAGTTCATTTCTCTTTCCTCTATAGCTCTGTCCTCTACAATTTCGTCCCCTTGGTCTACATGATTGGTGGGGAAATCTGTTGCCAAGCCAGGTGAAGGAGAAAGCCAGAGAACGGAGGAAAGCAGGAAGTCATTACTTTCAGGCTGTACTAAGTCCTCAGATACACATTCTGTTCTATTGTCCCTCAAGCTCTCCTTGGGGCAGTGCAGTTGTTGCTCAGAACAACGGTTGGATGAAGAGTCCAAGACATGGGATGGCGAATCTTGAAAGGCAGGCTTCTCAGGTGTAGCAGCAACAACTTCTAAAAAACTGTCTTCCACGCAGGCTGCCACTTCCTTCCTCACTAGCTCTCCGGGCCTCAAAGATTCAGTTAGAGTGCTGCTGTTTGTCTCCGCCATGGTATCTGAATGGGCCTCGAGTACGATGTCTTGCTCTTGCCCACCTGGAGAGGATTCAAGGACCATATTTTTAACCACATAGTCCTCCACTGGGCCTATTTCTTCCTCAAATGTTTTGGGAGTAGAGTTGGTTTGGGGAGTCAGTTCTAGGAGCTGCTTGTCTGATTCATGTTGACAAGCTTCTGTCCATTTTGAGGCATAGCTGTATTGTTCTGAAGGAGAGTCTGTGCTCTTGGCATTGACAAAATCCAGTAGAGATGAGTTGTTGCTGCCTTCCTGCCAATAAAAACAAAAGGAAGTTGATAAGCCAGTCAATTCAGTTCCCAATATATGAGTATAAAATACAATCCAAAATTTTAAAAAGTTCTCATTACTTTTTTTTTTGTTTTTTGGCTGAGACAGAGTCTCACTATGTGTTCAAGCTGGCCTTGGCCTCACCTTGTAGACCAGGTTAGTTTTGAACTTGCAACGATCCTCCTGCCTTATCTTCCCAAGTGCTGGGATTATAGACATGCGCCACCATGCCTAGCTACTTGGTCAATTCTTGTTGCTTACTCCACAGACCCAATGGTAGAGAAAGAAAAATTAGGAAGCCATTTTGGGCCCTTCCAAAAGAACCAGCCTTCAGTATAAACAGACTGAGAATATCTATCCAGATCATGAGGAAATGTTAGCTTGAATGTGACCTTGCTCCTCTCACTTCCTAACTTCAACCCACCTGTAGGAATCTAGAATAGGTACGGACAGACAGACACATGCTAATGAAATAAGGCTGCTGAGTAGCTCAGTGACAAAACAACCGCATAACATGCACAAGGCCCTGAGCTAGATCTCTAGCACCACCAAAATAATAATAATAATGCCAGTGATGATGATAAGAAAACAAAATCATTGTCAAGAAAGAAAGAAAACCAAATTATCAGGAGTATCAATAGCTATAACTGAATTTGACCCTGAGCATTTCTTTAGCAAGGGCAGGGGGGAGATTACCTGGGTTTAAACCCAGGACCTTGCATATGAAAGGCAAGTGCTCTCCCACTGAACTATATCTTCAGACCCCCATCATACCTGTTTTGTTTTGTTTTTGCAGGGCTTTCACACTGAGCTACATTTCCAGGTTTTGTTTGTTTGCTTGCTTATTTGTTTGCAGACAGGGTCTCCTTATCTCCAAGTAGATGGGATTATAGTACTACCACACTGAACAAACACCCTGGGTATTTTCCATGTTAAAGCAAGAGGGAAAATACAAATTTCATCTTTTTTTTTTTTTGATACAGGGTCTCACTACCTAATTCAGGCTGGCCTTGAATTCATGGTGATCCTCCTGCCTTAGCCTTCTAAGTGCTGGGATTACAGGCATGCACCACCACATCTGGCTATATCTCAGAAAGAGAAAAGGATAAGTCTTTTTTTTTAAGGAAGAGTACTTTTCCGAGGCAGTAAGTTCTAAAAAATTTCTTCAAGGGGCCTGGAATTTAGCCACAAGCAGCACCCAACCCCTTCTCCCCCACTAGGGTTTTAGTGTGAAGGGAGAAGAGGAGGGCAGCTTCTCCGAGGCCATGGCTCCCTCACTGCTGGCCAAGGGAGCTACATGAAAGGCAGGGGCTCCCTGACAGATTGAGGGGGTAGGGGAAACCAAAATAAAACACAGTGGCATAAGCACCTGTCTGCTAAGTATAAGGTCATGGGTTTGATCCCCAGTACCCCCCACCAAAAAAAAAAATCTTCAAGGAATCCTTTAGAGGAGGTTGATCTCTCTCTCTTTTTTTTTTTTTTTTTTGCCTTTTTCCTTTTTATCAGTACCGAGGATCGAACTCACGACTGCCTGCTTGCAAGCCAGGCACTTATGCTGCTAAGCTAAACCTCCAGCCCCAGTTGATTTCTTTCTTTGACAAGTTTTTACCAGCAACTGAGAAGCAGTTTGTTCTTGGCTACTTGTCTCAAGATCTTTAAAAGCTTAACTCAGTAAGAGCAATTCTGCTAGGGATAGTTTAGTAATAATGACAATGATGATTATATAATCAATATACAATAATAATTATCCCACAATATAATTTGATCCCAAGGAGAGTTCTGACTGCCTCCTAGGGTGAGTAGATATTGCTTCACTGCTGTATCAGACAGATTTCTCTGTCAGCCCATGTTAGATAAAGACCACTAATTAGGATGAAAGATTTCTCAGAAGTTTGGTAAAGGTCGAATGGGGGAGGAGATCATGCAACCAACAGCTAAATAGAGGTTGGGGTTCTCAGTGGATTTCCTTTAACTACCCTAGGGCACCTCTCTGTTGGCCTGGATAGCTGTAAATGGATGTCACTGTTGTAGAGACTTCATTATCGTTATTAATTACTACGTTCCAGCCCTGGCCCTCTGTTCCTCTGAGCTCTGGGCCTGGGCACACAGCCCAGTGAGCAGCTGTCCAGTCGAATCTCACCAGCAGCCCTAGCTTGCACAGTGACGGAGTCAGCGTGGAGCACAGAGCGAAGCATTGTCCTGAGTTGGTGAAGTCACTGGGCTGCAGGTTAAGTTCCTTAAAAGGAGTTCTCATAGCTGGTTTCCCCTGAGAAAGACAGCCAGAAGAAAACAAACGTGAAGAGCCAGTTCCCACCCGAGTCGCGCTTAAGGAGCAAGAAAAACAAACACTCCAAACACTCCCCGTCCCTATGCTCAACCCAGTCTTCCAGCGCTCCCCATCCCGGTAACCCCATCCTAGCTCTTTCCGGCTCACTGGCTCAGGCGAGGGCGACAGGCTGAGGTTCAGTTTCTTTACTCGCCACATCTTCAGTACAGAAAGCAGGTAGACCGCGTCCAGACTAAACCCTGTTAGCCAGGTTCACCCGCCGTCTCCATTTGAACCTCGTCTGCGCTTCTCGATTGGCTGGAGAGCCGCAGTGCGTCAGCCAGGCGGACCCATTCCGGACCCGAGACCGGCGTGTGGGCGGAGCCTGTGTTCACCACGCCCCGCCCCCACGTTCCCAGCGCAGTCGCATCAACGACTACTTGGTCAGAAACTTTACCGCAGCGTAGCCGAGGGGCGGCCCTGGGGCTTGCGTCCTCGCAACGGGGAGGACCGCGTAGGTACCAAGTTAGGAAGCCCAGCCCCCGGTCTTCCAGTGGCCTTCCCTCACGCCCTGCCGGGGACGTTGTCTCCGCAGCCTGGTGTGAGGGCAGTCCTCAGCTTCTACTAGAGTCTGGGTGGGAAAGCGAGAGGGGCGGTCAGTACTTATGCTTGGTCTGTCCACGCATCCGTGAAGGCCTGAGAGAGGTAGATATCAACCTAGGCCTGCAAGTCATGACTAAAGATTTCTGGGCATTCCTAGGAATTAACCTTAGAGCCTACAAGTGTACCAGAGTAACAGCTAACAAGTAATGTACTGAACATTCATTACATGCCTGGTGCTGCGTATTTATTTAATCCTTATAGAAACCCATGAAGCATTACAACTCCCATCCCCCTTTTTTATTTCCTTTTTGGGTTGAGGTAGTGTCTTGCTATGTAGTTCAGGCTTGCTTCAGACATGTGGGGCCGTCTAATGATAGGCTGGCGCCATCTGACATCTGGCTCCGCGTTTTTTTACTTTTTCCCCCATTTTATAGATGAAGCAATTGAGAGAGGGTGATTTGCCTGGAGTCACACAGATTTTAAATAGCAGAGCTGTGCTCCCAACCCACACTACTGCATCCAAATCCCCTCTGTACTGGAAATATGCCCGCCGCTGGTGAAATTGGTTGTTTTGGAAACAGCTCAAGATCTTCCATTGTGTGATGTTATGCAGGCCCAGTTTCTCTGTTACCCATATGACCTAATTTTACTGAATTACCTCTCTACAGACCCTCTTGGGTTCAAGCTTTCTCCTGTTTCAGCCTCTAAGGAGCTGTGACTACAGACTTCTGCCTAAAAGGTAAGTATTTCCAAGTTAAATTGTTGCTCATGTATTCCTTGTTGTACTAAAGATTGAATCTAGGCCCTCACTCATGCTAGGCAAGTACTTTAGCACTAAGCTACATCCCAAGCCCTTTTTATTTTTGCAAGAGTCTCACTAAATTGCTCAGGCTGGCCTCAAGCTTGGCTTTGCAGTCCTTCTGCCTCAGCCTCCCCACTGGCTGAGATTACAGGTATTTTCCACTGTACTTGGCCTTTTTTTTTTTGAATGTTCATAGCTGGCAGATTTTAAATGACTCATGTATTTGGCATTATATTTCTGTTGGATGGTGCTGCCCTGGGAACAGGGTACCACCCTGCAGGCACTAGTCTGCTTAAATGAAAACTCAGGAAAGACAAAATGAGTCTTGAGCCTGGGCTTGCCCAAGACTCAGCAAATGGAATCCTGATGAAAATCTGTAGTGAGTTAAAAAGACCTTAAAAAATAAGATGGGTGGCATAAATGTGTACTTGTATGTTCAAAATCACTAAATGTTAAAACCTCCTTTAAGTTACTTTTCTTCAGAGCCCTGATTCCAAGAGAAAAAATAAATGAAAAAGATTATCATTTGCACTAAAATAATACTGTCTTAAAATAGTTTCCTGTTACAATAAATATTCAATCAATTCAAAGTTAAAAAAAAAAAAAGACAGGCAAAAAGATTTCAAGCTCAAACCTAGCCTGGGCTACATAGTTAAACTTTTGTTGTTGTTTTCTTAAAGACTCCCATCCAGGCTACCCTCCTCTATACAAATTATATGTACTTATTTATAAAAATAAGTAGTATGTGCAAAGACAGGAGAATCACAATTTCAAGGCCAGCATGGGCAACTCTGCAAGACGGTTTATCTCTAAAAAGGGTTGGGTTGGCTGTACAGCATTTACCTAGCCTGTGCAAGCCCTGGTACTGGAAAATAATTTACAAACAAGTATAAAAACACACATGGTAGCTTTATTTACATACACATACATCACAATTTTTCCCCCAAATTAATTGATGCATAAGCTGGGGAGTCTGGGTTTGAAGATTGTTTTCCTCCCTCCCTTTTTCCACTTACATTCTTCCTCTCTTCCAGGTCTTTTCTCTCACATTTTCTTTCCTCTCCCACCACAGGTGGGGGTCACTGGGTCCTTTACAAACATTGGATTCCTCCTTACATTTCTGCATTTTTTTATGCACTCAATGTCTTCTAAAAAGCCTTCTAGACCAACTGTTATACGTCTAATTTATCACTTCAAATTCCTTTTAAAGAATTCTAACTTGTGGGGCTGGGGATTTAGCTCAGAGGCATAAGCGCCTGCCTTGGAAGTAGGCAGTCGTGAGTTCGATCCCTGGTACCGATTAAAAAAAAAAAAAAAAGAGTTCTAATTTGTACAGCCTCTGTGTTATAGACATTAGCTGCTATCACTTTTTTTTTTTTTTTCCTTTGAGACAGGATTTCACTCTAATTGAGGCTGGTCTTGAATTTGCAGAGATACTCCTGCCTCAGCCTTCTGAGTATGGGTATTATAGGCACATGCCACCACACCTGGCTTAATCTGTTTTTTTTCCACTGACTTGAATAATAGTATGTGTGGACATAAAGTTTTTGGGTGGGTACCAGCAACTGAACTTATGACCTTGTACTTTCCACACAGGCACTGTGCCGCTGAGCCATATCCTTGGCCCAGACATAGTTTTTATGTCGTCAAGATGTAGTTGCCATAGCATCTAGATTTCTCACCTGTATTGACCAATTTATTCATCAAGGTTTCAAGTGCTTTCATTTTCCTTCCTAATTTAGGTGTCTCCTCCATCACCTGATTAAAGGCCTAGTCCCAGATATTCTAAGAATTTTAATGTTTTGATTATCATATGTAAATTTTATCTAGAATTAATTTTGGGTATGGTATGAAATAAGGATCCAACTATTTGGGGTTTTTTTTTTGTCTTTTTCCTTTTTATCGGTACCGGGGATCGAACTCACGACTGCCTGCTTGCAAGGCAGGCACTTATGCCGCTGAGCTAAATCCCCAGCCCCGATCCAACTACTTTGAAAGTTACAATTTTTATCAGAGACTTTTTTTTTTTTTTTTGCCTTTTTCCTTTTTATCGGTACCAGGGATCGAATTCACGACTGCCTGCTTGCAAGGCAGGCGCTTATGCCGCTGAGCTAAACCTCCAGCCCCCAGAGACTTTTTTTTCCATTTAGAACTTTTATTTCAAAACAGAGAACCACAGTAACATTACTAGTAGAAAATCCATGTGAAAATATTTTAGAACCTGGTCATCGAGAAATGGAAACTCCACCCTGCATTACCGCCAAGTGACTGCTGAGGCAGAAGAGGTGAAGCTTGAGGAAAGTCACCTTTTGCAACCAAGCCTTACTTCCTAGCTACAGTTTATCCCAAGGCTTGATGACCACCAAGAATGGTGGGAACCAAAGGCTGGAACACTGCTGTCTGCTCAGAGGTCTGAAATGTGTGAGCACTAAGGAGGGAAAGGGAACGGAATAACCTGTAAGCATGAGAGGGAGAGGGGTAAGAGGGCTGGGGGTGGTGAGACACCTGCAGATGCAGTGGCCCGAGGCAGCCCTGCTGCCACCTAACTGTCTGAACCCTTCCAATTAGAAGCAAATTTTCATTTGCTTCTTGTTCCCTTGGAAGTTTGCCACCTCCTCTCCCTGCAGCTCCCCAGAGCCACCTGGCTGAACCCACGCTCTCTCTTCTTTTTCCCCTCCACCTCAGCTTCAGGATGCAGGGAGGTGGCTCTCCTCATGCAGGGAAAGACAGCAGATGAGTCAGAATCAGAAGTTCTGGGTGCAGAGCCCACCCAGCACAGACAGTGTTGCATCTATACACAGGGCAGGGTTTTAATACATTCTACCCAAAAAGAGGCAACAGCAACACAGGAAACAAGTGGGCTATGGACTACTTCATTCACTGCTACTGTCTCAAACATGTCCTTCAGAGGATTCAGGTCCCTGAGAGCACCTAGTGAATGTCACAGTAACAAGGTACAAGAGTGACCTGACATGGTAATAGACACAGACTAGCAAGCCCTGACCCTACAAGTGGCAGCACACTTAAAGCACAAAGTCATTGTTCAGGAAAAATCCTTCCCTAGAGCTGTTGTTACAAATTCCAAATTACCCATGAGGATTCTCCTCTGAACTTCTTTACAGATACCAGTTAAAATCAAAATCAAGAGAGAAAATATCTTAAAAGTAGAGAAACACCGAAGTGCTGCTGAACACCAGTATTTTCAATTCTCACTGGAGGGCTCCCACATGAAGATGCAGTGTGAGGTCTACACAAGTGAGTCTACTGTCGAGGAAGAGATGTCTTTCTACAGTGTTCCGTCTCGGGACTCCATCTGAAATCAAAACCTATCAACTGCCTTTAATTACAATGCCCATCCTACTAACAACCCCAGATTTCAAGTATTACTATATATAATCTTAAAGCAAACTTCCAGTGGAAACCAGTTTTTCTATATACACATGTGACTTAACTGAAATGAAGTATAAGGGATCTTCTGTGAGACATGGAAATTACTGGGAGCCACATGCCTGCCTTGGGGACCACATCATACCTTTTTATCATGAGTTCTCCCTTCTCATACTTTAACTGCTCTGCCATCAAACTTGCTCACCTATAACCTTTCTTTAAACACCTCTCCCTTGCCTCCATTTCCTTACATTGTCACTGTTTGGTAAAATTTTCACTTATGCAATAAAACCATAAGATAAAATAATACATTCCAAGTGACTTGGAGAACTGTGAGGCAAGGAGTCCCTAGATCTCTCCCTTGTGCCACAGCAGAGCTACTGCTTAGGGTAGAAAAGGCTGCATGACCTGGACTGAAGTGTGGTCACCTGGCTCCTACAGAAGAAGGTCCAAGAAGCGAAGTACTCAAAAAGCCTGGGGACTGGCTGAGCCATGGGCTTGGTGAGGGTGAGACAGGCACAGGGAGCAGCACTAGAGCAGTCAATTCTGGGTTTGTGGCGTGAGGGCTCCCCAGGTGGTACTTGCTGTCTGTGGTCCTGGCAGAGGTGACCTAGCCCCATTTGACTGGCTCTTTCTCAGGATGCAGACTTCAACTCCAGGGTGAGGCTCTTCCTGGATCTGAAAGTGTCAGATTCATCCTTTGAAGGCCGGTGTGATGTCCTCAAAGGTGCTGCCTCAGGTCTCAGGGACTTTGAAGGTGAACAGCAAGAAGATAATAAGGAAAACTGTGCAAAGATGATAAAAATGTAGACCCTAAAGAGGCTGCAGCCAAGGGGAAGAGCAGTCCAATCAAAAAGCTGAAGGTCCAGTTAGAACAACCAGCCATGGCCATGGCAGCTGGGTAGGATCCCTGGCTGATAAGCTCGGTCACAATGAACCAAGGGGTGGGGCCCAAAGAGATCTCAAAGGCAATCTACATGAAGATTCCTGTGATGCAGATGTAGCTCATGAAACTGTACCTGTTCTTCAGTAACAGAAATCATCAGGATAATGGAACAAAAAGCTATGCTGCCGAGGCCAATCATTTTGTGAAGAATCCCTTTCAGGAGAAACATGGAAACTGCAGTGAAAACATTAACCATGCTCACTCCAGTGATGGTGCAGATAGTTCCTGGAGGCCTGCATTCTTGAAGATTCCCATTGAGTAACAGAACTCAAGTGTTGATCCCCAAGAGCTGCTAGGAGAGGTGCAGCACAATAGCAATGATGATGGGCTGCTGGTAGCTGCAGGATCTGAAGAGCTCCAGCACAGTGACTTTCTTCTCCTGGTTCATCTGTATACTCTCCCATCCAAATACTAACCAGGCCCGACCCTGCTTAGCTTCTGAGATCAGATGAGATCGGGTGCGTTCAGGGTGGTATGGTATGGTATACTCTCATTCCTTATCTCCTGGATGTCCTGGGACACATCCTAGGAGCCCCAAAGTCACTAGAGAACTATCTTCATAACATGTTCCTCTACCTTTCTGTTTATGAGCAAGAATCTAAGACTTCTGGTGCAAAAAGAAAGCACTACACTTTGTAAGATGGTTGGAATGATGGTGAAACCCAGTAGCACAGGTCAGTACTCTTCAATCCCCAAGATGAACTTCAGGCCAAAGATCTGAGGTCAGTATTCTTCAATCCCCAAGATGAACTTCAGGCCAAAGATCTGAGCCACCAGAATTCCAGTGATGAACCCAGCTGGTTGAGGATGCCAAAGACACCCCACAGGGTAGTGGGAGACACCTCTTCGATGTACATGGGCACAAACCCCATGGAGAGCCCACCCAAGATGCCTGTGATCAAGTGGCCCAGGATCAGCATCTCCAAGAACTTGGAGGAAGTTCCTGCCTTGCAGGAAGCTGTAAGATAGCCACTGGCCACAACCAGGTTGACCGTGAGCACAGATTTGCACCTGCCAAAGTGGTTGACAAACAGTCCAATGGAAAAGGAGCTAAGCATTCTGCCCTGAGAAAATGGCCTCAGTCAAGGACCACAGGGTTGTAAACAGTCCCTTGCTGGGAGGATCATCTAACTTCTGTGACCAGGTGCTACTGAGAAACTTTTATTATGATCATCTCAGTAGCTTTGATGACCCCAATGTTGTAGCCAAATCGGAAAGGGCCAATTACAGCAAGAGTGGTGGCAAAGACCAGACAAGGGTCAACCTTGTATCTCCAATGGTCCTAGTGCTTTGCAAGTCTTAGGCAAAAGCTAGGGGTGAGGTGTAAGAGCCACCTCTTTCAGTCAACAAGATGTGCAAAATGTCCTTTTCAGGCAGGCAGCGAGGTCTACACTGCTCAGTCCTCTCTCCAGCCAGAGATTTCTTCTGTAGAAATCCAATCATATAACCCAAATCAGCAACCAGAAGTATCTACCAGTTTTGGGCAAACTTAAAAGATGGTGTTGCATCTGGTTGCAGCTCTAGATGTTTCCCAGAGTAGGGAAGAACAGCAAGAGGATGGGAACAGATAAAGAGACAAAAGCTGAGGATCAGGTACAGCCCTCTCTCCAGATGGGAGGAAAAGAACTGCTCAACCAAAGCAGTGTGTTTATTTAGAATTCTAGCAATTGCAATTAAGTCATATAACACACCATTGCCTAACAGTCTGTCCCCCAGGACAACCTAAGGGTCTGATGTTTGGGGACTGGAACAGCTTTTTCATATGGCTTACTCCAGATGCCCTTTATTCTCCTGACAGCCTTGCTCCAGCTCCACATATGGGATCAATTTCCAGCTTCAGCCACTCCTAACAAAATGGTATTTTAAGTCTGGTGTGGTGGCACACACCTGTAATTCCAGTACTTGAGAGGCTGAAGCAGGATTGCCGTGTGCTCATGGCCAGCATGGGCTGAGTTCAAGGACAGCCTTAACTATGTAACAAGACCCTATCTCTAAATAAATGAATGATGGTATTTTTTAAGTATGAGGCCTACTGCTATGTATAATGGAATACAGAAAAAAGGAGGCAGTGTGACAATTGCTAATCAACAGGACTCAATGTATCAGCAAAACTCAAAAGAGGATAATCTGAAACATGTTCTCAAAATATAAGCAAAACCAATCCTAACCCTACATGGGATAAAGTAGCATGACTTTTTGTAAATATACTTCCTGATTCACAGGGGTTATATTAAGTTGGAAAGGGTTACCACAGTAAACTTGTAGACCAGGTGGCTTGAACAAGTAAAAAAAAATTTTTTTTTATTTTAGGGTCTTGCTGTATAGTTCAGGCCATCCTTGAACTATGTAGCTCAAGCTGACCTCAAACTCACAGCACTCCTCCCTTAGCCTCCTGAGTGCTACCATTACAGCACCTACCGGGCCAAACACACTTTTCTACAAGTGTATAAAATTGGTGTTACATGCCTTGGAGTGGTGGGCTACATAGCCTGGGCTACACAGTGAGTGTCAGCCTGTACTTCGTGTCACAAAAAAAAATAACAGTAATTTTAAATTCACAAAATATGGAAAATGGGGTAAAATATACATGTTTTCAGGTGTATCTGATATTGTTAATTTCTCTTGGGTAATGAAAAATCAAAATGCCAGGGATAATAGCTCAGTGGCATAAGTACATATCTGGTAAGCATAAGGTCCTGAGTTCAAGTTCTGGTACCCCAAAAAAAAAAAATCATTTCAGATTATATATTTAAAAATTCTTGGGCCAGGGATTTAGCTCAACAGTATAAGCACCTGCTTGGTAAGCACAAGGTCATGAGTTTGATACTTGGTACCAAAAAAATAAAATTCTCTTAAGTAAATTTCATATAAATAAATAAAGGTATTAATATTTTAAGTTAGTGATTCTGACTGAGATGAAGAGTGGGAAGAAAATGCTTTCCATAGATGAGATATCAAAACTGGGAGGAAGTAAGACTTTCAAATTTTTACCTTTTTTAAAAAATTTTTAAAAAAAAATTTTTACTTTCTGAAACTTTGATTTTGTCATGCCTTCCATTCCATCCTGAAAATCACTGCTTAAGTGCAACACTAAAAAGTGTTGAAAATGTCCTTATCCGGGAAGAAATAATTCAAACAACATGCATGAAGTTCGTCTCTAAGCTGTGTAATATGATGTAGAAAAGGGATCCTATTGCCAGTACATTAGGCATTCCCTAAGGACCTTAACCCACTGTACCCACTGTGACCAGAGGAGCCACAGTGTTGGAGGACCTAATAGTAACACTGGGCCAGACACACAGTATCAAAATCTTCTATATCTGCCCTTTGTAAAAGCATCACAACTGGGGACAGCAGCCTACACCTATAATCCCAGCTACATAGGAAGCTAAGGCAGGAAGATCACAAATTCCAGGTCAGTCTGGGAAATGTGGCAAAGATCTTATTTGAAAAAGGGCTGAGGAGGGACTGGGGATTTAGCTCAGTGGCATCAGTGCGTGCCTGACAGGCACAAGGTCATGAGTTTGATCCCTAGTACCAAAAAAAGAAAAAAAGAGGGCTCAGGAGGTAACTCAAGGGTACATTCATTGCCTACCATGAGCACAGCCCTAGGGTTCAATTACCAGTACTGCAGAGGAAAGAAAAAGAAAAGGTATCACAGAAATCTGAAACTCACTCCCTATAATTAAGTACAAGTAGTATAACCTAGGAGGGGTGATACGTGGCTGTCATCCCAAGCATTCTAGAAAGCAGAGGGAGGAACACCACCAGTTTGTGCCCAGAAAACTTAATGCCTTAGTGAGAACCTGCCTCATAATTTTAAAAAGGAGCTTGGAAACATAGCTTAGTGTGAAGGCTTTGGGCTCAACCCCCAGTATCCCATCCCAGCACACACTCACAAACAAAACAGATACTGAGATAGTTAATGGTGGATCTAGGCATCAGATCTTCTAAATTCCAATCTAATGCTCTTAAGTACTATTTTGGAAACCATTAATTCCTATTTTTAGTATTCAGGGTTTTATCTAATGTGCATTTTTATTACATTAAAAAATGTAATAAAATTATAAAAATGTACAAAGAAAAACAAATGAGATAAAAGAACAAAGGATACATTCTTATTTACAAACCACTTTTATTCCAAAAAAGCTTATAACAGAAAAAAGAAAAATAAGGTAGAAAATTAAGATGGAACCAAGAATATGATGGGCATATAAAACATATAAACACTTGCTGAAAGTGAGCCACAAATTGGGTTCCAAATGGTATAGCATTAGTACAAGGAGAAAAATACAATCAATTGAATACTTGGTGTCTTTAAATTAAAAACCAAACAGCTGGTTTGAATATTTAGTGTCTTCAAAGTAAAAACCAAACAGCAGGTTCAGAGAAAATTTCACTCATGCATCCTGAACTGAACGCTATAAACTGTAATGATGAGTAACTTTTTACACTTGATCTCAGCCAAAGGCCGGTGTGTGTGTGTGTGAGTGAGAGAGAGAGAGAGAGAGAGAGAGAGAGAGAGAGAGAGAGATTGGGGATTGAATTCATGGCCTTGTGCTTGCCAGGCAGGAGTTTATGCCATTGAGCTAAATCCCTGGCTCTAATGAATAACTTTTTAAAAGTACTAAGTTTCACTGACATTCACAGGGATTGCCAAAGTGCTATCAAGAAAACCTGGGACCAAGAGTATAGCTCAATGGCAGAGAGGTCCTGAATTTGATTCCCAATACCATAAAAAAGGAAAATTAATTCTGCAGAGCTCAGTAAAATGTCAGCTCTATACAGGGAAAATCTGGCTTAATCTATAGACATAATAATAAACATATATATATAAGATACTCTCTACATTCTCTTCCATCTGAACTTAAGAATAATGTGGCCTAGATTAAAGTATACCTTTTCCCCAAACACAACAAAAGTGAAACTTCTGAGATGTTAAAAAGAACGAAAAATCATAAAAGCAAGAACTGTGCATAAATTCATGGTCCAGACAATCTTCTTTACGAATGGAAAATGTTCTTAAAACACAACTCTAATCTTACTTACACTTTTTTTTTTCTTTTTTTATCGGTACCGGAAATCAAACTCACAACCACCTGTTTGCAAGGCAGGTGCTTATGCCACTGAGCTAAATCCCCAGCCCCACAACTCTAATCTTAAATCTTAAGATTAAAAGTCATGCCTCTCAATCTGATTTGCCCAACTTAAAAAACTAAATACTGGGCTGTCTACAAATGATCAACTTAAAAATTCTTGTGTTCTAGGGCCTGAGATTTAGTTCAGTGGCATAACCACCTGCATGGCAAGCACAAGGTCTTGAGTTCGATCCCTGGTACTGCCAAAAAAAGAAAGAAAATTAAAAATTCTTGGGTTCTGAGATTTCATTTTGGTAAAGATTTAGATAGCTATTCCATGTATCCCTAGAAAAGTCATTTTATCCACTGATATTTTCAGTTTCTATTTTCTTCCTCATACTAGACTATTAGATTCACTTTATGATTTTTAAAATTTAGGTTTATTTTAGTGTGTCCTGGGTGCATATTTTTCAATGTTAAAATGCCAGCTTTTGATACCTCTCGCATGGTTCTTTTTTTGTTTGTTTTTTGTCTTTTTGAGACAGGGTCTCACTATGCAGTCCTGGCTGGCCTTAGGCTCACTTTGTAGCCTAGGCTGGTCTCGAATTTGCATCAATCCCCTACCTCAACCTCCTGAGTGCTGAGATTACAGGCATGAGCCACCACACCCAGCTGGTTCTTTTTTTATCTGTATTTATTTTTTGAGACAGGGTCTCACTTTGTAGAGTTCAGGCTGGCTTTGAACTCACTATGTACCTCAGGCTGGCCTCAAATTCATGGCAATGCTCCTGCATCGGCCTATGGAGTGTTGAGATTACAAACATGCACCACCACACCCAGCTTGAGACCTCTGAAAAATAATATTGCTTATGACCAGACTTTTAAACACAGGAATAGCACCTTGAGGACTCATGATGTATCATTACTAACCAAGAGAGGTAACATGGCAGAAAAACAAGGAGAGACAAAAGCCTTTGGATGACAGCTTGAGGTTAAGAGTACCAGAGAAGTGAAGCAAAGGCAAAGGTCACTACCTTGGTTTGAGATGCGGAATTCTGAGAGGTGGGTTGTATGACAGGAAGGGCTAGACTCAGGTGTGGCTGCCAGTAGCAGAATGACTAGATAATTAAGCTGATCATACTGAGTTAATGAAGGGGATCCTCAGGATCCCAGCTCAGCAGGGACAGAGTGGACAAGGAAGGGCTCCAGATCACAGTCAAAGTCTTTGAAGGGAATGGCCTCCAATGGACTGGGTTGGGTATCTTGTGTCTCCATGACAAAGTTCACTGGCTGCTTCTGCAGGAGCTCTGGGTCAAAGGCCACACCCCGAAAAAAAGGGTGGACCTGGAAATGATGTAGGTAACGTAGTCGGTGGAGAGGGTTCTGGCACAAGAGCTGAAGGGAAATAGAATATGAAGGATGAGAGACTGAGATAGACAAGAGTATAAACAAAAAGGATAGAAATAAGAAGGCAGAAACAAAAGAGCCTAAAGAGTAAAAGGATTTGTAAAAAGGGAGAAACAGAATAATTTAAGGAGAAGGAAATAAAGATGCTACCAGTTTACTAATTTTGCAGCACTGGTCCACTCTCTGAGAAAGCATGGATGGGGAGGGTACTGGAGAGACCCAGAACTCAGTCATATAATCTAAAGTACTAGTTAGAGGGCAAATAAGTGGTTAACCTGGAGCACCCCACAAATATCCTCCTCCAAAAAATTAATCAGAGGAACAGGGAAATAGCACTTTAATGATAAGGGAAATAGTTTGGCAGGCAAAAAGGAAAGCAGTGTTTGCCCTTACCTCTTGAAGTAGGAGTGAGAACTCCTTTTTAAGAGAAGCAGGGATCTTGGAGTCACAGTGTGTCACACTTGCCAACATGGCCACATGATTGCTCTCTGCAGCCACTGGGAACTGAGATAGATAGGAGGGTAAGAATAAGGTGAGATTTCCTAACGTCTTCCTTCCCACCACAGTACAAAGCTCTCTTTTTTACCTAACAGCACTAACGTTTTCTCACCTTTCCAGTTGCCAGAGAGAAAAGCAAGACACCCAGGGACCACCAATCAGCAGTATGGTTGTAAGGGCCACCACTCAAGACCTCAGGAGCTATAGATTTTAAAGATCCGTGTCACTGACATCCTTTGACTACCCTCCAACCCAATGTATACCCACCAGTATTAGCTTCTCTCTCACCCATGTATTGAAGAGTGCCACAAATAGTATAGGCTCGGGTTCCCTGGGGCAAGTAGCGGGACAGACCAAAGTCTGTCAGTTTCAGATGGCCTATAAAAGAAGGTAAGGCAACAGTACCACTCCATTTCATCTTTATCAGCCATGATTTATTCCCAAACTGAGGTACCTCTCATTCTGGTGCTAAGCAAGGAAAGACTTACCTCGTTCATCCACAAGAACATTCTCCATCTGAAAGATTATAGGTAAGAAGTTATTTTCTTCCTCTTCAACTGTCTTTCACTGTGTATAGCACCCCCCATCCCCAGCTGAGTAGGTGCCCTACTCAGCATTCAAATCTATAGTTGGAGGGCCCTCACTGAACCCACAGGGTCCCTAAGATCAGCTGTTCTCAGCTCCTGCCTGCCTTTTGGACCTGTTGGAATTCTTATTGAAGCTGCTCCTCCTCAAATTAAGGGAACAAGCACTTTACCTTCACATCTCGATGGATGATGCCCAAGTCATGGAGATAACCTGTGGGTGACAGCAAAAAGCACTGAAACATACTAAAGCTCTTCTCTCCTTTCTAGCTGCCTTGGTAGCTACTATCCCATCCCTAACCCTATTCTTTGACTTCCAGAGTTGCTACCAATTCTCTCCTATCTTCCCACTGACTTAATTCTTCCCATTTTCTTTACTACCCTTTAACTTACACAGCACAAGGACCAGCTCCGCTGCAAAGAGACGGACAGAAACCTCAGGAAAACAGCCAACAGCAGACCATAGGGAGTACAGATCTGTGCTACAGTAGCTACACACTGCAAAACACCACAAATATAGACAATGTATGGGGACTACAATGTTTGAGGTCAAGGCATTATACGCCTCATACCCAAAATGATGCCCCTTCCTATTCCCTCTCCCTTTGAGATGGTGCACTGCTATGAGAAGAGGAACACAACAAAGGCAGAATAAGCTCAAACATATGTAATCTCAGGTCAAGAGAATGGTCAGTGGACCCTTGCAGAAGAGGAGAAAGGCCAGTCACTTACTAATAAAGAGGTGCCGTTTTCCCTGCCAGGTGTCTCCCAAGCTGTGTACAAAAGGATGGTTGATCTGTCGCTAGGGACAAAGAAAACAAGTTAGAACAGCATCACTGAGAATAAAGGCAGTAAAAAAAAATTAGGTTTTACCTAGATGTGAAGAAATGGAGCTGGTGCTTCAACTCTTGGGTTCAGAGGAACTTAATAATTGCTACTGTCTGCCCTGAAGTCATGATATCAGCTTACTACTAATACATTAGGGTATGTGTTGGAGAGATTTCCCTGAGAGTACCTGGGATAACTGCTGATAATAGCAACTTTTCTAATTTTTCCCATCATCCTTCCCAGAACTCTGCATACCTGGATGCTAACTTCCTCTTTGCACTGCCTCAGTGTGTCTTTCTGTAGGACTTTTATTTTGGATACCACCTATAAAATAAGAGGAGCAATGACTCAGAGGAGAACAGTGCTACTATTTATTCCTCCTAACCTCTCAGTTCTCTTGGAATCAGGAACTAGAGAGTAATATAGATGAGCACCTAGACTCCTACCTTCACTGCAAATACAGCTTTCTGGGCACAATCTAGCACCTTCAGGACAGTTCCAAAAGATCCTTTGGCCACTAGGCCTAAAATCTGTATTGAAAAATGGAGAACAGAGCAATTAAGACTGGTTGTTCCTAGGTTTCTCCCAAAGACACAGCCCTCCCAGGGATTCCATTAACTTACCTTCAGCTGCTGCTGCCCCCTAATGGGCCTTATGGGAAATTCTGGCAGAAAGAGGTCGATGAACTGAGGTACAGGCCATTCAGACAGAGGCTTCTCTAATGTCTCCTGATGCAGGCACTGATGCCCCTGTAGTTCCCAGAATTCTTCCAGACCTGACCTCATGGTCCCCACACCTGACCAGAGGCTCTTCCAGCCTCGGACCCAGGGGACCTGGATGTTGCCACCCTGAGAAGCAAGGGAACCACTCTAAACCTAGCCCTGAAGTACTGTTGCTTATATCCATCTTAATAGATACTCCCTCCTCGCAGGTCTGTCACTGAAGGTACATTTTTGAGTACCAGGCCTCATTCCCACTAGCTTTGCTTCCCACTAACCTTGTTTTACGATGAGACCTGGATTTCCTGGACATAATCCAAATCCTCTAGGAAAGCAATTAAGACACTTTCCCCATAATGCACCAAGATACAACCTCTGAATAGTGTTGCAATGGTTTCAAATTATATGCCCTCTGCCCCCCCATCACTGATAGCTGGCTCCTAGCCAGTTACTTCCTAAGCCCCAGGTTCATGCTTCCTTCACTTTCCCTCAACAGCCGCTACAGCCCCATAGCCTACCTTATGAGAGGCAGCCACTTGGGTTTGTTGCCCTTGCCGACAGCCCACTCCTCCCATCCTGAGCCTCTCTGCCTCTGCTGTCCTTCCACTAAATCTGCTGTCCTAGTTACATAAGTGATTCCTCTCCTCGATGCTGTATTATACATAAGCCCCACCTCTTCCAATGTGCACAGATCCATCAGCTTTGGGCCAATGTCTTACTAGGGCTGCACAGTATGTGTGATACAGTTGTAAGACAAGGAAAGATGATCCTCTCAAGAGTTAAGAGTTGCAGTTACAGGGTATGTGGAGTTCATAGGACTGGGAAGAACACAGGTTGAATGCATGTACTCAAGTTAAAAAAAAAAAAAAAAGCAGTATCATTTAAAATATTTTTTTCTTTAAATCTTTTTTTTTCCATTGTCCAGGGCACATCTTAGGGGGAAAGAGTAGGGAGCCCATGGCCATCCCTGTTTCCTATTGCCATTCTCCCAAGTGGGCATACAGACTGGGAAAAAGCTGGTCCCCCAGAACAATAAACTTTCATACAAGGCAGTGGAATGAGGGACAGAGGATCGTTCCCTCCCCTCAGCTTCCTGGCACAAAGAAAGAACAGTTACACTTAGAAATATATATATATATATGTATATGTTATATATATGTCTATTTATAAAAATTTATCACACTTGATCAGAATTATTCTCCCACCCTTTCAGCCGACCCAAAAGCAACAGGATCCCAGCCCCTGGGCCCATTCCCTGGGTCTTGCTCTCATTGCCTCTCTGGCCCTGGGCCTGATAAGCACAAAATGGAACTCAGCATTGTGATCCACCATGCTTCACTGGGAATAGGCCAGATGCTAAACGGCAACACCTCACTCATTACCTGTGGGCTCAAACTCCCACAAATCCTGTTGAATAAAGGGAAGCCCCTCCCACTCCACAAGTCCCAGGGGCCTGATCCAGAGTCAGATCCTGCACTGCAGCCAGATCACTTGCGCCTGCCGAAGATGGACTTCTTGCCAGGGTTCTTGTCCCCCACACTTAAACCGATGAGGAGCCGAGCTTTCTCCTCCTCTTCCTGCTGTTGCATGCTGAGGTCTGATTTAGTTTCTAGCTTTCCCCGGACTTCAGACCCTGCTGCAGGCTTTAGCCTTAGCTTTTCTTTGATTACCTGACAGGATGGAGAAGAATAAAAGGAAATGTAAGTATTAGTGGGACAGGCAGAATATGTAAAAGTAAGCCAAGTCAACAAAGATTTATTAAACTTACATGCAAGGTACAATGGGGCAATTCAAATTATGAAATGGTCTCTGCTTTCAAGAAGCTTACAGTCTAATTGTAACCTGTTCTAAGCCTGGGGTGGTAGCATCCCTTATTAGTTCCCTAAAATTAGTGGTAGTTAATGTATATGAAATGTTAGTAAATAGCCAGCCCTTGCTAACCAAACAGCCATGAGCCCTGGTGGGATACCTGGGCAACCAGGGCTTTGCGACTGTCTCTTTTGACAGCCATAGCAAAGTCCAGCCATGTCCATGTGTTATTGTGATACTCCAAACATGGCAGCACCAAATTAAGGTCACCCCAGTCCACACTGTTCTTTTCACCCTGTAAGAGGAGAGGGAGGGGAGAGAAGAGGGAAAAAATACATTAACTGCTATTTTGAATCTAAACCAGTACCCAAATGTAAAGTCTTGCAACAGCAACCTATACTGAATTCCCCTTAACGCAATCCAGTAGTGGCTCACTCCTCCAGAGAGCACAACAGTAGAGTGCATAACACAGCTTTACAAGAAGCCTGACTGCCTGGTTACAACCTTTGCTGATCTTATCTGGTTCCCTTCCTACCCTGTTCTAGAAGATGCTGGGGAAATGCAAACCTTATAGCTGACACACAGTGGAACCTGTGGAATCTTTATGTAGATAAAGGAGTTGTTCATGGCAGCTCTTTCTTTCATCTTGTCAATATCATCCACAGGGTGCTGGAAGGCATAAAAGTAGTATGAGCCCCTACACCCACTCAACAAAATGCAGCTTAGTGCCCCCCTCCTTTCAACCCTAAAGTAGACTCAGAGAAAACTAAAATCCTACACAGGCCCAACCTTAATCTTCTTCCATTTTTGTTATCAGCAACATTTGTAATACCTCAGGTGATTTGCGAAATGACCTTCTGACTGCAGAACTCCGAGTCAAGCCCTGCGCTACACCCTTCCCTGGGCCCAGCGGTACTGTATCATCTGTTGTAATCAGCTGCCGAGGCTTCACCACTGGAATTCCTGTGAAAAAGCAGAAGCACCGTTACCCCTCTTTCTGAAGCTTTGGTTGTCTCTGGGGCTTCCACCTCATCTTCTGGTATCCTCTCAGAAAAGTTCTCACCAGTAGTCACCAGTTTGGATTTATCCTCTTCATCACCAACTTCATCATCTTCCACACTTCGGCCAGGGAAAAAAAAACCCATCATTCTATGGAAGAACTGGTGTGTCAGCTGGATGGTAAGAGGCACCACATTTACCTAAATGTGGAAAAAAGGTTGTAGAACCAATTATGTTCAGACACTATGCCTCAGTTTCTACTCCTATTTCACATTTACACATAAGCTAGCTTTGGGCTGCCCTTTGTTCCTGGGTTCCCAAGGGATTATTTACTAACTTCAAAGTGTTCCTTAACAGAGATGCCTCCAACAGGGGGCCGGACTTTGCTGAAGAGGCGAAGGGCTAGCTGTCGCCCAGACTGGCAGGAGCTTTGAGGTCGAAGGACTACCTATAGGACAGAGTGAACAAGAGCCGACCAAATGTTCTTACCATAAAATCAACCCAGAAATCTCTGAAGAATAAAAGGAAAAGCAACAATCTTGGTTAAGATGGGCAAGCTTCCATCTAAGATCACATTTTCTGTAGTACGCTTATATGGAAGGGCCATTTTAAATGCTGTGTGCTAAGAAGCATAGGAATGAGAAAATAAGACTTGCTTTATAGGGTTAGGAGTGCAGCTTAGTACTAGAGTACTCATCCAGTACATACAATGACCTAGATTCAATCCCCAGCAACCTGAAAAGCAAAAACAAACAAAAACAAAAAAGGGGGTAGGGAAAGACTTGCCTTATAGACAGCATTGGGGAGGAGATTGTTCATAGTGAACCAGCCCAGCTCCAAAAGATGTTCTGCTGTATCATCAGACTTATTCACCTGTAAAAACAGATTTTGCTCCACCTATCTACTATAGTAAATCTTTTCAGAAGCCTGTCAGAGAACTGTTAACATATCCTGTTTTCTAGTTCACTATATACTAATAACAACTTCTTACTTCTCTTTTAATCTCATATAATCAACATACTCTGTATCCTAGTGTTTCTCATAGGTACTACTAAATGCTAGTAGTAATTCTAGTTAAGACATTAAAATAGGACTTCCGGGAGAACATGGCGGACAGATAACAGCAACTACCGGAGGCTCTCTGAAAGACTCGGCTCAGAAGCCAGGAATGGTGCAGACTAAGGAGACATAAGCAGGTGGAGATATGCTCTGCTGACTCAGGAACGAACTGGACTAAGAGAAACCAACTTGGAATGCATTCCTGGTGCTAAAACAGGAACAGAAAAGCCTCGGTGTGGAGGCTCGACCCCACGCCATTGTAAGCCGCGATTTGGGTTTCCTGCCGCGCGGCGGCTGGCTGCCTCTGCAGTGGCCTGGCAAGGAGAGAGACGCACAGAAGCTCTGAGAATGGCAATCTGCGAACGGCAGGGAGGCATGCACTGACTTGTGGTGAGGTGAGAGAAACTGACACTCTACCACAGTTTGACTCCAGCAGAGGACTTTCTGAGCCCGAGCAGTCCTGTGGGAGCAGGGCGCGGTGGCAACTCCAGCCACACATCCCCCTCTCGGGCGGGATTAGTGAAAACTGCCTGGCCTGCGTGACGCTGCCGGCGGACCTGGTAGGCTGTCCCAACCCAGATCCCAGAGCCTGACGGTTGCTGGGAGGGGAGACGCGTAGGCTGCCTGATCCGTAACTCCCTGGTGTGCAGCGGTGAGTGGGAACACCTAACTGGCGCAATTCGATCAGGCTGTGGCTGACTGGGAGAGAAGCTGGGCCTCTTATATAAGCTTGCATATATAAGGAACAGAGAAGAAGAGGCAGCATGGGAAGAGGCAGCAACAAGAAAGGCTCCTCAGCCCCCAATTCTGAGAAACAGGCAATAGCAGACACCGCACCAATACACATAAGGCGCCATATAGAGAGCCTCATAGACCAATTCAGGAATGAAGTTATCAACGACCTGAAGCTAGAAGTATGCAGAATAGTTAGAGAAATGCTAAGTACCACCCAAGAAAAAACAGGTGGTGGAATGGAAGAACAGAAAAAAAGGGGAGAATTGTTTGATGGAGAAAACAGAGAAAGCATAGAATACGTGAAGCAGGTTCAAAGGGACTACCAAGATACTAAGAAGTCTATCGAAGACTGGCATAACAGCTTGAAAGAAACTAAGGACAGACTATCTGAACTGAAGGGCAGACTTGTAATATGGGAGAATGAAATGAAAAACTTCTTAAAAATAACAAAGAAACAAACAGCAATAATACAAAGACAAGAAGATGATAAGAGGATCCATAACTTAAGGATTAAGAACATAAAAGAAGAAGTAGGGACACAAACAAGTGAACTACAAAAGCTACTCACAGAAATAATCCAGGAGAATTTTCCTAATTTAGCAAAAGGTAAAGATACTCAGATGTATGAGGCATACAGGACCCCAGCTACCTACAACCCAAACAGAGCAACACCCAGGCATATAATAATAAAAATTCCAGAAATTCAATACAAGAACAGAATATTAAAAGCTGTCAGAGACAAGAAACAGACCACTTACAAGGGAGTACCCATCAGAATTACAGCAGATTTCTCTGCACAAACCATCAAATCACGAAGAGCGTGGGGGGAAATAATTCAAGCTTTGAAAGATAATAATCTCCAGCCAAGATTGAGATATCCTGCACAACTGTCCCTGGAAATTGATGGAAAAACAAGGTGCTTCCAGGATAAAGAGGAACTGGGGGAATTTGCAACCACCAGTTCAACTCTACAGAGAGTATTGCAGGATATTCTAAAAAAAGAAAAATACAAAGAGTCCAGAAATAATGGCAGAGAGGCCACAACGAATGGAAGAGAACAAAATGAAGAAGACAAACTGACAGCTACTGACAGAAAAAGAGCTCAACAGAAATGAGGCAGAGAAGATTGGATGATAGGAACAGCTATTTTGGAGAAAATGACATCTTAATAGGTAATACTGATTTAGTATCATCTTGTTTTGGAGTCTCATCTAGCTTTTGTCCTTCTATCTCCAATGGTCTAAATAGGCTGTATCTTATTGGATTTTATTATGTACGATAGTATAAGCAAAAACCTTTTAAAGACAAGGAGATTATACAGAAACCATTGTTCATTTTCTGTTAGTCGATTCTAAATACTCTGTAATGCTGTCATTCTCTTGAATGGTTTTACATTGTTTTGATATACTTAATGCTACAGTATACGAAGTTGTACTCAAGGATTTCAAAGAAAGAGACAATATGGTAACTACTTTTAGGTTAGGATTTTCTGGTGGTGAAACACTATTCTGCTTAAATGGTTATGTTTTGATCTGCGCTGTTTCGCTGTTATGCCCTCTTTTATCTCAATCTCCACTCCATTATTTACTTTTTTATCTTTATCCTTTTAATTAAAGGAAAAAAAAATAGCAGGATATATTATAGTAACCCACTTTGACTTTTCATTACCTTGATTTAAAGCCCTGTATTACTCTCACCATCTGGTTTTTAACTGATGTTCCCCTATTCTGTTTTGCTGGATAGTATCAGGTTCGAAAGTTTAGGCATCAGTTGTGAAGATAATGAGATTCATTATGACGCCCATTCTTGTTGACTTTTATATACTTTTGAAGACCTACAATGTCTCCAATGTTTTGGTTTTGTCGGTTTTATTCTTTACTGTTTTGTTCAATTGTATTATAACCAACGATATAGGCAATTCTATTAGAGATAGCGGGAGGCATTATGGTAACCATTGTTGATCACCTTGTATTATGTTTTTACATTATCTATTATGTCCACCCTTTTAACTTGACCGATTCTGTTCTGTTATGTCACATTTGGTTTTACTCTCTTCCAAAAAAGTAATAAGAACCGTGGGAGCAATGAAACCCAAAATGTGTAATAGTCATTATACAAAAGAGAGGAAAAGAAAGTGCTCCAAACTATATAACTGCCTGTATATTTAAATGTATAAGATAGAAAATGATATCACAGAGTTTTATTGGATCAATGAACAGAACTGTTTGCAGTATCATTGATGGAATGTCCACTTTACAACCTTTAATTTTGTGACTTGAACAATTATTTCTAAGATGACAATATGTAATCCATAAACTAGTGATTTCCTACTGTTCATTTTTTTTTCTGTAAATCTGTATAACTTGTACCCTTTCCCTGCTTTTTTTTCTTTTCTCCTTAAATAAAATTAAAAAAAAAAAAGAAAAAAAAAAAAAGACATTAAAATAGTCTCACTCATTTCTAAACATACATAGCTTGTCAAAAAGAAACAAATAATGTCCTCTTTCCATTATCAGTGGGTAACTGCAGGAAAGCTGTCAGTGTTAAAATGGCTCTAAGGTGGATTTGGAAAAATTACTTCCCTATGGGAATTACTTCTAGGAATTTTTTTTTTTAATCTTCTTGAGACTGGGTCATGCTATGCAGTTCAGGCTAGCCTTGAGCTCACTTTGTAGCCCAGGCTGGTCTTGAACTTGCAACAAACCTTGAGCCTCTGCCTCCCACGTGCTGGGATTACAGGTATACACCACCACACCAGGCCTAAGAATAATCTTAATGCAAGAAACATTTGATCAAACTCACTTATATCTATATTATTTAATATTATGATTATCTAGAGGAGTTCTAAGGTTTCTAGAGCAATGACATATTTCTGATGCACACACTGCTGAGATATATAAAAAAAAACTTTACAAGTTTTTTTTTCTTTGTACTGAGGGTTGACTTTGCCCTTGCCAGGCAGGTTATTTACACCACTACGCTAAATCCTCGGCCCTGAGTTCTAATGTTTCTACTCACGACCATCATTAATAATTATTACGGTTGATATATAGATGTCCCAGGAGTCTCATGTACTCATAGGCTGGGCTCTTGGATGGTGACCGAATTTTGGGGATACTATAGTTTACAGTTTAGAGATGGGTAGGGGCAAGAAGGGACAAGGGGTAGGGGCAAGAAGTCAGTGGGGCTATGACCTGGGTGTATCTCTCCTCCCACTTTGTCCTTTGTTCTCTGCTTCCAGGCCACCACAAGATGAGCAGCCTACTCCTAGACCCTTCTGCCTTAAGGTTTCTATATTTGAGTCTGCTAAACATGGACAGAAACTTCTAAAACACAAGCCAAAACAAACCTCTGCTCTTTTAAGTCATGGATGTTATATATTGTCTCCCAGTGACAAGAATGTGTGTTAAGACAATGATTATGTAATAATTAGTCCTTTTTTTCTTGCTATGAGTTGGATTCCTGATATGATAGGTTAACACCCCAATATAACTGTTTTTGTGCAACTGTCTATCTTAGATACCTTGCTATAAAGAAACCTTTGCAGTTCCAGTTCAGCAATTCCCAGTTGTCCATCTTCCTCTGTCAGGCGCCACCGAGCCTGAGCAAAGTAAAATTCAGTGCGACGGACTACACTCACATCTTCTTGCTGCTTTCGCAGCTCCATCTTGTTGGCTCGCTGCAGCTGGAAATCCTTAAAACACCTATCAGTTGACAGGACAGCCAAAGTCAATAAGGGACACAGCATAGAAACTGGGAGTGGGATGAGATATTGTAGAGTGATGAAGATGGCAAATCTAGGGATGACCCTCTTCTGAATGAGACAGGCCTCATATGTTTTTCACTCAATTTACTGTCTAACTCTGTCCAAATTTCATGTTTCAACTCTATAGCTTCTTGATAAAGTAGCCTCTTCTAAAAACCCGTTTTTGTATCTATATTTTTGCTCCTTCCTGATCAGCCTCTAGATATTGTAAGTTTAGATGGACAAGGCCATGAGCAATTTTTCCCAACTACCCACTTTTCTTGCAGCAGACCTTTTCCCAGAAAGTACTCCACTGAGGACTCAGAGTAAGAGAAACAACTCTGGCTGGGGCAACGGAAAAGAGTGGAAAAGGATCACTGGGGCACCTGATGAGGATATTGAGCTCTTCACTTTCTAACTGTAGATTGGCTTTCTCCTGGTTTAGCTGCAACTGAAGCTTTTGGTTCAGGTCAAGCAGGTTTTCATTCTTGCTGTCATCCTGTAAAGACTAGAGAACCAGGAAAAGAAATTAAAAGGAAATCCCCATCAGAGGAACTTCCCTGTCAGATTCCCTGGAGTGACTACCTTCATGATAGAATACATCTGCTTTTCCAGGTGCCGTATTTGGGCCACATGCTGCCGCACAGCCTCCTGAAGATGCAATATGCTACTGCGCTGCTCTTCAGGGTTGCTAGAAATCTCAAGCTGGAATCTAACTCGTTGCTTCTTCTCACTATGCTCCTAAAGGAAAAGAGAGGGAAATAAATACAATTTTTAATGTTTTGTTTTTTATGGTACTGAGGATCGAGCCCATGCTTAGCAAGCTGCTAAGCATATGCTTTATCACTGAGTTCCATCAACAACTCCATGAATAAATTTGTTAAATAGACAAATCTTTTGTTTGCTTTTGAGACAGGGTCTTGCTGGTTCAGGCTGCCCTTGAGCTCACTTAGTAGCCCAGGCTGGGACGAATGTTGTAGTAATATGAAATGAAGCAAGGAACGAACTGGGAATGATGATGCACACCTGTAATCCTAGCATTCTGGGAAGCTACATGATCACAAATTTAAGTCCAACCTGGACAACTTAGCAAGATACTATCTCCAAAAAATAAAAAAGGGCTGGGTACGTAGCTGAGTGGAAAAGCCTTGGGTTCAATCCACAGTACTGGGGAAAAAAAAAAAAAAGTGGAGAAGTGGGCTTCTATAAAATTAAACTTTATTGAGGTTGGGGATTTAGCTTAGTGGCTTAAGCACCTGCCTGGCAAGTGTGAGGTCAGGAGTTTGATCTCCCAGCACACACACACACACACACACACACACACACACACACCCGCACCTCCCCACCCCCACTCCCACCCCCACCAAAAAGAATGAAAACAAAAACCAAAAACCAAAAAGACAAAACTTTATCTGTCACTATTAGCAAGAATGAGGGGCTGGTCAGTACAAAAGACAGAACAATGTAGGTTTAAATCAGTCAGGCCCCCAGGCTGGGGAGGATGTAAAGAGTGCAGTTACTGCTCTGAAGAGCATTTAGGTGACTACATGCATAAATGTAGGGATCCAGCAAAAAGATTCTGCATCTCAGGGAAAAGCAGACCTTTCAAGTGCAATATATTAATCACAATGCCCTTTTGCAGTGTGAACATGATTTTTCTTACTGAGGTCTAAATAAAGCACAAAGTGGCGGGGGCAGAGGGGAGTGGTGTCTATAAAGCTATCTAGCATTCTCTGTATTCTACCAGGGCCCATCCTCACCTTCCGTTTAGGCTCTACATGGAGCAACAGGTTGTTGACAATGTCCAGGATCATGGCATACTGAGCTGGGTTGGTCGAAATTTCCAGTTCATGGTGGATGAGAGTAAAGGTATCAACAGCCCCTAGTAATTATCCGTATCTAAGTAAGTGGCTCAAGTTTCTTATAAGTATGTACTCTATCTCTTAACCCACATTTGGAACTACTCTTGTTAGTCAATCCCATAGAAAGGAGGTAAGACATCTTCATGGATTTGCTTGTTTCAGAACCATACCCAATACCCATTATTCCCACTTTCCTCCACAAGTATAAACTGCTCTCTTACAGCAAAATTTAGAAAATGTAAACCACACTGAAGTTTCAGTGCAAAACAGGACTTCTAGTAACTCTCGCCTCAAAACCACTTAAGGAAATAATTCCTTTTACAAAGTCCCCTAACCATGTCCTAGAAGCCATTCAAGCTGAATACCTTCTTGCTTCTTTAGGAGATCTTCCTTTTCTTGGTTCTCATGAACCTCAGGTGGCTTAATCTGAGTCGCAAGTTCAGGATCAATATCATGGCTGTAACTAATATAATACATTCGGCAACTACAACGTGAAATGATTCGCTGAACTTGCTGGGCTTGCTGGGCCTCAGCTGGCTGGTTCCAATCTGAGAAGAAATGGGAAAGATAACAAAAAGACATTCTCAATGAAGGTGTAATGAGAGCTTCCCAGGTATAGTGTGATGCCTGGAGAACTCAAAAAATAGTGCTTTCAACCCAGCTTTGCACAGAATGGTCCTACTCCAGTATAATATTTATGTTAAGAATAGATTAGAATGCTGAGCAAGTACAAAGTCCTGGGTTTGATCCCCAACACTACTTTAAAAAAATAAAAAGCACAAAGAATAGTTAAGTAAATGAGGCCCCTCTGGGGTGCACATCTGTTCCATATTGTGAGGAGAAAGGGGACAGCTGACCTGTGGTGGTGGTAACCATGCCTCCCACTGCCTGCCCACTCTCCATCAGCTCCTGCACAGAGTCCAGACTGCGCTGCCGGTGCTCCTCAATATTCTTCACCTGAAGACAGAAATACAAGCACCACTAGCTGCTATGCAAACAGTGGCTTGTTCTGGCCAACTAAGTTATTAGATCTTCACACCTCAAATAGTCACGTACCACAAAATGATGCTTTAGTCAACAACAAACTTCCTATGTGGTGGTAATCCCAAAAGATATCACCCAATGATGTCAGAGCTGTCTTGGTTTGTCTTGATATACTCAGATGTTTATGCAATGATGAAATTGTTCAGCAACATGTTTCTCAGAATGTACCACATTGTTAAGCAACACATGACCATACTTAGTACCTAGACCTCTACCATCTTGAACACCTTGAACCCAGGATACAGAATCCATACAGTTCTCTCTTTTGCCCCAAGTCACCTAAATTCTCCAACTCAATTGAATTACATGCTATTTTTCCAGGCCCACAGATCTGGGGCCAGAAAACTAATGAACTAGGTTAAAATCAAATCATATTAGGGGCAAAAAATATTTTTGAATGACTTTCCTAAATGCTCAGGAGGCTGAGGCAAGAGGATCACTGGCTGTGGGCTTAAGACTACATAGTTCGGGGCTGGGGATTTAGCTCAGCGACGTAAGTGCCTGCCTTGTAAGCAGGCAGTCATGAGTTTAATCCCTGGTACCGATAAAAAGGAAAAAGGCAAAAAAAAAAAAAAAGACTACATAGTTCAAGGCCAGCCTGTACTACATGGTGAGACCTGTCTCAAAAGACAAGAAGAGCCAGGTATAGTGGCACATCTGTAACTCCAGTACTCAGGCTGAAGGAAGACTGCTGTGAGTCTTAAGTGCAGCCTGAGCTACACAGTGAGTTCAAGGTCAGTCTGCACAACATAGTGAGACCCTGTCTCAGAAGGGGGAAAAAAAAGATGGGCACAGTGGTTTACGGCTATAATCTCAGAACTAGAGATTGAGGCAGGAGGATTGCAGCGAGTTTGAAGTCAGCCTGGGTTACACAGTGAGTTAAAGTCAGCCTGAACTACATAGTGAAACCCTGTCTCCAAAAAGAAAAAAAAAAAAAAAAAAAAAAAAAGTGACATGGGAAGTCCAAAGGTGGTAAAAATCAAAGTTTCAAGACGGCAACTCAGCCAAGTCACAAAAAACTCTTATGAGGAATGCAAAGATCACAGTCCTTCCCACAAACAGATATTCCATTCTAATTCTAGTAACCCAGCCTAAAAAACAAGGCTTTCAGCTGTAAAAGCTGACATGCCTAAAAGCAGCAGAAATCCAGAAAATGCCAGATCTACTCAGGCTGTTAATTCCAGTTCACAAATAAAAATGACTTACCCAAAGGGCTCATGAGTTTTTATAATGGCAAAGTTGTCATTAGAAGTCATATAATCACTCCTGTAATCTCGTACCCAGGAGACAGAGGCAAGAGGATCACCACAAATTCAAGCCCAGTCTGAGCTACACAGTGAGTCCAAGACCACCCTGCGCTTCATAGCAAGACCATGGCTCAAAAAACCAAAAACAGCAAACATCTCAGATTTAGGGCTGGAGATTTAGCTCAGTGGTAGAGCACAAGCACAAGACCTTGAGTTCAATCCCTACTGGAAAAAAAAAAAAATCTCAAAATCAATTGGGATGGTGTGATAATGCCTGCAATCCCAGCACTTGGGAAGCTGAGGCAGGAGGACTGCTGGGCATTCAAGGCCAGCTTGGAGTTACATAGTGAGTTCAAGGCCAGCCTGAAATATATAAGGAGACCCTGTCTCAAAAAAAGGAAAAACAATCTTAAGACTCAACCAGGCATGCTAACGCACACTTGCAACACACTTGTAGGTTACTAGGAAAGCTAAGGCAGAAAGAAGCAATACCTGTCTCAAAAAAATGAAAATGAAAATAAAAGTAAAAAGAACTTCTGGGAAGATGGCAGAGTGATAAGCAGCAGAAAAAAGAGCCTCTCAAAGACTTCGGTGTCCAGACACAGATACTGTAACATAAGAAAGAAAAGAAAGAAAATAGATCCACTAGACCCAGGAGGATCTGAAACCCACAAAGAGACCAAGAGAGAAACTTACAAACAGAAACTTCAACAAAGGAGACAGTCGGCAGTACCATTTCCCTGAGCTGGGACCTCAGGTGTGCAAGGAGCAGTTCAAACACAGGGGATACTGGCAACAGAGGACTCCACAGAGAGATGCACAAGTGGAACAGAGCAGTGGATACAGAAGACAGCAGTAGTTGGTGCTAAGTGGTACCAGATCAGCCTTCCTTTGAGAGAGGGTGATTGGCTGGGAGCCATCTTGGAGAGGGATGAGTCTGAACTCATTAACAACTGCTGGCTCCACCTAGCGGCCCCCAGCAGCATTCAAGCCCATAGAAGGCTGGCTGGACTGCTGCAAATTGAATGGTCTGGTTCTAGCCTCACAGCCAGAAACCAGCCTAAACTTCAAAAGAAATAAAGGTGCAAGCTCGTTGGGATTACTCACTATTCCACTGTACAGCTACTGCTGTACAGTGCTGGCTTGCTGGCATTAACCAACATGGATCTGGATCCTATCTCCCCACGTTGTTTACCAGTGCCAGCAGAGATACATCTTAAACATTTTTTTCTTCCTTTCTTATTTTCCTTTCTCTTTCTTTGGTTTTGTTTATTTGGTTTTAGTTTTGTGGTTGTACTTTTTTTTAAAAAATTCCTTATCTTTTCCTCCTGTCTTCTGCACAGTTTCCCATAGTTTGCATGATCCTCCTTTGCCCTCCGGCTTGCTTCTACTGTCTTTTTTTTTTTTTTTTTTTTTTGTCTTTTTCATTTTTATCGGTACCAGGGATCGAACTCACGACCGCCTGCTTGTAAGGCAGGTGCTTATGCTGCTGAGCTAAATCCCCAGCCCCTCCGGCTTGCTTCTAACCTTTTCATTTTCTTCTATTTCTCTCTTTTCCAACTCCTTCTAAATTTTCTCCAATGAGGGTAAAATTGGCATATGGAAGGCTTATTTACTGCACACAATTTTCTGGTTTGTTTTAGATTTTTTAACATAACCACTAATCTAGTTCATACAGTTAAAGGTGGCAAATTAATAGTAACCTCAGTTTGTCATTTTTTAGGTTGTATTTGATGCTATTGTTGTTGCTGATTATACCACTTTAGCCAAAGTGACATAACTGTTATAAAACAGTTGTTCTTCCTGGTGTACCAAGACTAAGATTGCCTAAGGGTCACAAAAAATACTACTATAGGCCAGTGCCAAAGAACCAGGGGGGCTCAGCCAGGTCTGGTGGCACATGCCTGTAATCCTAGCACTCAGGAGGCCGAGGCAGAGGATCATTGCCAATTTGAGATGAGCCTGGGCTACAAAGTGAGCTCAAGGCCAGCCTAAACTGCATAGAAAGACCCTATCTCAAAAAAAAAAAGCAAAGAAAAACAGAGCCTGTGCCAAGTAGGCAGCAAATTCTCATCCCAGTAAGAGATGAAGAGGTAGGCTCTTGCAATACTCTCAAAATCCAAAAGACAGCTACATCTGGAAGACATCTCAGAAGTGGTCATTACCTAAGGGTTCTAAATAATAGCAATAAAGCTATTCATCATAGGTGATTTATAAGCACCAATCCAGGGATTAAATAAATTAAAATCAAATCAAATCAAATCAAATACAGTAAAATAAAACAGAAAATTAGAAGACACTTAAACAAAATGCAATCACAGACATCCATATCACCAAAGGCAAACAGAGGGGGCAATGAGGTGAAACAACCCGAAAGTCACCCACCTAGCCTCTCTTTTTTCCCTATTCTACAAAAAAAAAAAAAAGGAGGAGGAGGAAAAAGAAGAGGAAGAGAAAAACAGTAAGACATCCCCTACTCTTAGGTAGAAAAAACCAATATAGTAAAAATGGCCATCCTCTCAAAACTGTTATACAGATTTCATGCAATCTCAATCAAAATCCGAACAGCACATCTCACAGAATTAGAGAAAATAATCCTAAAATTCATTTGGAACCAGAAGAGACCTAGAATAGCAAATGCAATTCTAGGCAACAAAGGCAAGGTAGAGGACATCACAATCCCTGACTTGAAATTATGCTACAAAGCTACCATGATTAAATACAGCATAGTGGAAAAAAAAAAAAATACAGCATGGTGCTGGTTTTAAACTGTTATTTCTTTTCTTTTTTTTTTTTTTTTACCGGTACCAGGGATCGAACTCACGACTGCATGCTTGCAAGGCAGGCGCTTATGCCACTGAGCTAAATCCCCGTGGTGCTGGTTTTAAAAAAAAAGACCTGAGGATCAATGGAACAGATTAGAAGATACAGGAACAATTACAGACATAGTTAAGCCACCTTATCTTTGACAAAGTTGCCAAACACATTCACTAGAATGAAGACAGCCTCTTTAATAAATGGTGCTGGAAAAATTGGCTATTCACACACGAAAGATTAAAATTAGACCCATATCTTTCAACATGCACTAAACTGAAATAAAAAATGAATCAAAAAATCTACAGTCAAACAGAAACACTAAGTCTGCTAGAAAACAAAGTAGAACTCTTAAAGACATTGATATAGGCAGAGATTCTCTGAACAAAACCCTGACTGCATAGAAACTACTCCAAAGAATCAATAACTAAAATCTCACCACATTAAAAAAGCTTTTGTACAGCAAGAGAAACCCACCAATCCCCCTCGAAAAAGAGAAAAACTACCAGAAGAATGAACATATAACCTGCACCATGAGGAAAATTTTGCCAGCCCTTCCTCAGAGGACTATAATCTAGAATTTATAAAAAACTTGAAAAAATATCAGACCTATCCCAAATTTAAAGGCCCAATCCAAAAATGAGCATCTCAAGTGAATAGACACTTCTCAGAAGTAGAAATGGCAAATAAATATATGAAAAAATGTTCAACATCATTTTTTTTTCGGTCTTTTTGAGACAGGGTCTCGCTATGCAGTTGAGGCTGGCCTTAAGCTCACTTTGTAGCCCAGGCTGGTCTTGAACTCGCAACGATCCTCCCTGCCTCAGCCTCCTGAGTGCTGGGATTACAGGCATGAGCCACCACACCCGGCTCCAACATCATTTTCATTCAAGAGATACAAATTAAAACAACATTGAGATTCTATCTCACTCCAGAAAGAACAGTTGTTATTAAGAAATTAACCAATAACAAATGTGGGTGGGAATATGGGGAAAAAGAAACACTTCTCCATTGTTGGAAGGAGTGCAGGTTGGTGCAATCAGTGTGGAGATTCCTCAAAAAACTTGGTCTAAAGGTTCCATTTGACCCGGCTATTCCCCTTCTTGGTATTTTACTGAAAGAAGTACAAGCAACATACCACAGAGATATATGCACACCACCACAGTTTGTAATAGCCAAAGTTTGGAAACAGCCCAAATGCCTATCAACTGGTAAATGGATAAAGATGATGTGATTGTTTTATACAATGGAGTACCATTCTGCCATTAATAAGGATAAGCTTGAGATATTCCTAGGTAAATGGATGCACCTTGAGACCATACTCTTAAAGTGAAATAAAATGGACACACATGTAAATACTGCATTGTTCCTTTGGTGTGAGAAACCAAAAGTGTAAATAATAAGAACCAAAGTATATAAACAGATATTGTGAAACAGGAAGAAAATGTTCAAATGGAAGGGGAACAAAGGAAAGGAGTAGGAGAGAGGAAAAGTAAAAATGAGAACGGAAAAAATAGAAAATTTTGTAATGGAGGGAATGAAGGGAAGGTTGGGAAACGGGAAAAAAAATCAAATGTAACATGTACAGGTATAAATTTCCCATGATGAATGTGATCATTATATATACCTAAAATGAACTGTTCAAAATCATTTTTTGGATGAAAAACATATTGTGGGGCATGGCAGCATATGCTTGTAATCCCAGCTCTCAGGAGGCTAAAGCAAGATTGCCATAAGTTCAAGGCCAGCCTGCACTACATAGTGAGACCCTGTGGCCAGAGAAACCAAAAAACTCCCAAGAGTACTAGAGTGCCATTCAGTTTAACCTTCAGTACTGGGGGACAATACTGGAAAATGAAAACTCAGATATACAGGCTACTTTCTTGCCTGCCATTGGTTAGCGATAACCCTTAACAGGGATCAACTTGAAGAATAAAAAAGATCCAACTCATTTCACTCTAGAGCTGGAAGTTCAATGAACAGAATACCATGACATTAAAAATAAGTACTACACCTGCCTGGTAAGCATGAGGTCATGAGTTCCATCCACCGTACCTCCCCCTACCCCAAAAGTACTACAATATATGCTTACAGACCACAGATAGCCCACATTACAGGTATTGTCTTATTATTCTGTTAAATAATAGGTACTATCAAGATTTTTCCTCCTATTCTACTGGGTGGGGATAACCATGGAAAACTGGGATATGATGGAACTTTCCAGTTCTGCTAACCAACCTCTAGCCAGAGCTGCCGGCCATCCTGCTCAGTAGGGCTGCTTTCAGTAGTAGCAAAGTACTGCATGCCATCCAGCAGGCAAGTCCAAGATGTTTTTTGCTTCAGAGAGTCACCATACCAGGCTGGATGGTGTTGGCACTGCAGAAGTTGGGCTTTGGCAGCTGACACAATGACACAGCCTTCTGTCTCTGCTCCACGAAGAACCATCTATGCCAGACATAGAAGCAGTTAAGCCATCAAGAAAGGTAAGAAGGCTACTAAGACTATATCAACCACTGCAGCTGAGTTTAATTCTGGATGAGGTAGCTTCACTTCCATGGTTTTTAGACATGGAAGTGATTGTTCATGCTACCTGCAGAAAGTGGAAAATTTTTGCTCTACCCATCCATTCTTATATAGAGGTAAAGGAAGATGAACAATATGATTATGATCTAGCTCAATGTTGGGGTCCTCTATTAAAGAAAAAGTACCTGGCAGTTGACCAACTCAATAAGGCAGTTTCGGTTGTATATGTCATCCGTCTGGCAGGCAGCAATGCCACACAACTGGTCACTCATACCTGATTCCTCTTCTGTGAATACCACAAACCTATCTGTCTCTTCAATCAGCTTCTGCAACATGTAAGCACCTAACAATGGCAAATAAATAGGAAGTGGGGAAAGGCCACTGTCTCAAAGGGAAAGAACACATCCAGAGTCAAACCTGCAATTTCTCTAGGTAGAAAAGAATTAGGATACATCTTCCTCATCCTGGAACTCCATTCCTCCCCACTTTTGACTCCTGAGGGTTAAATAAGGGTTGGCACTTCATTATTTTCATGTGTTAATGAAGTAACAGATTCCCAACAGCAACTTTTCTAAGGTAAGTGACAGCATTTTTTCTCTTAGGCACCTCACGACTACTCTGGGATTTCCTACGACCATCACCACCATTTTGTTCTCATTTCACATTATTTTACACGCTGCTAGTCTATGACTCCTCCTTTCCACTTGAGACCACTTACTTCACTGTTATCTGTGCCACTGTGCTCTATCTTTGCTGCTTTCTATGACTGTATCTCTAGACCCTCTTCAGTCTCCCACATCTTAGTCTCCCCTAAAATCCATTTTTAGCATATTTTTTTCTTTCACTTCCTTTCCAACTTTCTCTTTTTCTTAAAGACCAGAGGACAGTCTGCAGTAGACTATTCTGCTTGTGTTTTAGATTTTATCTCAATCACATACTCGACTATAACTTTTAGCAGCATGCTTTTTTTTAACCGGTACCAGGGATCGAACTTACAACTGCGCGCTTGCAAGGCAGCCCTTTATGCTGCTGAGCTAAATCCCCAGCCCCACAGCATGCTTTTAATATCAGTATGTCTCACTATCCTCGTCTGTAAATTAATACTATCTTTAAGGTTTTGATGAAAATTTAACGAAACACATAAAAATGTTTTTGCAGAGTACCCTCCACATGGTAAACAATTATTATGTTTGGCTTAAATGCCCAGCTCTATGTTGAAATTCCCAACCTCTGTATCTCTACCCGAGCTTTTAGAATCTCATTTCCAGCTGTTCGTTTGGCCTATTAACTATTCTATTACTGCCACAAATTCACCATGTTCAAATCTGAACTCAACAATCCTGCAATATCCCCAAATCTGTATCTAGCCTATGGCTCTATTTCACCTCCTACAAGCAAAATAATGTTTCTATTCATCCCATCACCTTTCCCACTGCTGTCTACCTAGTTCTAGCTCTTACTACTTAAGACTCCATAATAGTTTCTTACTTTGTCTCTCCACCTTCAGTTTCTTCCTCTCCAATGCTCGTATATTCCCCTGCCTGATTTATTTTCCTAAAAGTAAAACTCTAATATGACACAACCCTATGCAAAACCTTCAGCATTTTACCATTCCCTACTGAGTAAAGATCTAAAGCTTCTTAGCCCTGTGAGTCTGTGATGATCCTCCTTTATCCTCCCTTTCTACTTCCATCATCCCTTTCCACATTCCATTTGTTATTCCTTTGTTATTCTCAACTAAATCCAAGTTTTCACTCTCCTTTGAACATACTGAGCTTTGTCAACTCCATTATTAACACAGGTTATTCAAAAAAATTTTAAATTTTAAAAATAAAAAAAAAAAAAGGTTATTCCCTGTGTTGCTTGCCTTTCCTCCCCATTTTTACATGTTCAAATCAAACTAAGCCTTCAAGGTACAGTTCAAATGTCTAGGAACCCTTCCCTGATTACATTCCTTCCTTCCTTCACGTCAGTCAGAAACAACTACCATATTCTTTCATTCCTTTTATGTGGCAGTAATCACTTTTCACAACCTTCTCAAACTCCCTAGAAACTTGTGTTCCTCTATATTTATTATGCCTTCTCTCTAAAATTACCACATTCTCTGTGAAGCCTTTCTACACACCCTAACACTGATTTATACTATATTCTATGAGGTTTTAGTACTCTTGACTTTTTCTTGTTAGCAATTGTAGCAACTGAACCTAACGCCTTCACACTGAACTACAACTACAGTTCTCCTTTTATTTTTTATTTGAGGCAAGGTCTTGCAGTGTCACTAAGCTGCCTGGCTAAGCTTGAAATTGTGATCCTGCCTCAGCCTCCCTATCATGCACGGCTCCCTTGAACACCTTTTGTTTTTTCTCTTTGAAGGTCTTGTTATGTAGTTCCAGGTTGGCCTCAAACTCAGTGCTAGGATTGATTATAGCATGCACCACCACTCAACCTTCTTTTTGTTTTTTCTCTTGAACATTCTTTTTTTTTTATCTTTTTCTTTTTTATCGGTACCAGGGATCAAACTCATGACCACACACTTGCAAGGCATGTGCTTATGCCGCTGAGCTAAAGCCCCAGCCCCCTCTTGAACATTCTTACAAAGCATTTTTCAGAATGAAATTGTTATGTCTCATCACAAACTAGTATCTGAGCTTCTAATGTCTGCATTTCCAAGACAGTCAATGGTCTTGTCTGATATATTATTAACCTCCAAAAAGGTTATAATGACTCTGAATGCGTAATTCAGTGAATGAATAAATCTTAATCAGAGACAGAGAATTTATGTAACATGCACAAGGTCCTGGGTTCAATTGCTAAGCACAAAACAACAAAGAGGGAAGGAAACGGGAGGGGAAGAATTCTCTTAATCTTTTAGTTTCTTTCTTTCATACATCCTGTTTTGGCCCTGCTACTCATTCTAATCCTCCTAGGACTATCAGATCAGGCCCTTTGATGCCTTAGCATGTAAGGCTAAAGTGGCCTGATATGGAATACTAAATTTCACCATTTTAAAAACCTTCATCCAAGCCCTGGTAAACATCATAAACCTAAAGCTTATACAGAGTTTTGTCTGCCCCAACCTACCTCCTGATGACCCCTTATCAGGCTGTCCACTGAAGCTAGGAGTGTCAACATGAGGTGATGCTAGGGTACTCTTTGGGACACCCCGCTTTGGCTTTTTGGTTGACATTTGGGGGTCAATCTTTAAACCCTTCAGGGCTTCAGTAGAAAGATTACGTTTGAGTACAGCTGCTTTTTTGTAGCCATCATATAAACCAAAGGCAATGTCCCGGTTGGTGGTTGTCCAGGAAATCCGTAAATCTACCAAGTACAGTTGGTGGGTGTGAAAGGCAGGATCCCCATCTCGAGTAGAGAGCTCCTAAGAAACAGGAAAAGGACCTCAGTGTAGAATGAACATTCTCTCACTACTTCTAACCCACAAATAAGAACAGAACAAAAAGTCCATTCTGGAAGAGAAGGAAAGACTCTGGAGAAAGAAAAACTAAGTAGTCTTACTATGCATATTACATCCTGGTGATACCTAATGTATTATTTTATTTACTTTTTTTTTTTTTTTTTTTTTTTGTAGTACCAGGATTTAATCCAAAGTCTTTGCAATGAGCTATACTTCCAGATCTTTTTTATTTTAAAGCAGGGCTCCACTAAGTTGTCTGGGCTGTACTCAACCTTGAGATCCTCTGCCTCAACCTTCCAGGATACTTGGATTACAGGGATGCACTACCATGTCCAGCTCTAATGTGTTTTAAATGACTCGGAATTTCAACTTAAAATTTTTCCCTAAAGGGGAAAAAAGTCTGCACCAAATTTGGTGCTAATAACAAATTTTTACTCTGGTTTCTGGACAAGAGACTACTTTAGAAGGAAAGAGAGAAAACAAATCTTCTAAAAGATGGTAAGAAGTTGGATGTGTTGGAGCATATCTATAATCTTAGCAATACCAATTCTTACAATCTAAGGTAGAAGACAAGTTCAAGCTAAGCCTGGGAAACTTAGCAATTTAGCAAGGCCCTGTCTCAACCTTTAAAAATAAAAAGGGCTAGACATATAGTTCGGGGTAGAGGGGATGCTGAAGCAGCTAAATAAGAGTTTTTGTTTTCTGTGGGTTTGCTGTCTTTTTGAGACAGGGTCTCACTATGCAATTCAGGCTGGCCTTGAGCTCACTTGGTAGCTCAGGCTGATCTCGAACTTGCGACAATCCTTCTGCCTCAGCTTTCTAAATGCTGGGGTTACAAGGCATGCACCACCACACCTGGCTTCTAAGGATATTATATTATACAGTATATTATAAATGACACATATGCTAGTTTATCGCTAGGAACTTTACCAGAAACTTAAATTCTACTTCTACAGCCTAAATTAGGTGCTCTCCAAATTCGTATGTTGAAGATCTAAACCCCAATGTGATGGTATACGCCAATGGGAAGTGCTATAATCAGATTTAGATAAGGTCACAAGGGTGGGTTCCTCATGACGAAGATTAGTGTTCTTATTAGAGACATCAAGGCACTTTCACACACATCACACACCTGAGTGCATCTTCTCTTCTTCCCTTCCTCCCTCATTTGAGGACACAAAGAGAAGCTAAGTCATCCACAAACGGAAAAGACAGTCCTCATCAGAATTAGATCCTGCTGCCACTCTGATCTTAGACCTGTCAACCTCCAAAACTTCATCGAATAAATTTCCATTGTTTGAGTCATATGTGGTGTACAGAATTTTGTTAAGGGAGCTCAAGCAGACTGAGATATCTACTAATGTAACTAAGGTAATAGATTATGTCAGGTGGTACCTCCTCAGCTGTACGATTACTATGCCGTTGGTAGGTGAGGGAAGACAGGCTCATCAGATGGGTCTTTGTTACCAAGGGATCAAGGCAGTGATCAGCATTCTCTTCTGTGGGCGACGCCATCAGGTGAACAGTCACCTGACTTAAGTCACTAACCATCTGGGTCACACTCCACTCAGAAATGAGGCGCCGCATCACTGTGCCTGCTACGAAAAGAGGCATACAGAGCCCAGACAAAACAGTTCAGAATTTAAGTCATTAAGAGAGCAATAAAACTGAGAGGAGAAACGGACAAGGAACAGGCTAGAAGAAATGAAGACAGTCTTTGGTTTTACCTTGAGGTATAAGCCGCTGAGTTCCCAAAGTGAAGACATGACCCTGACTGCACTCAATCTGGATGCCCCGTTGCTGGGCAAATGAAGCCCAGTAGTGCACCTGGCAACAGCGAAGCATCAGACTAAACAAAGGGGATGATTTGAGATCCAATGTGAGAAATAAAGACAGACAGACAGACAGACAGACAGAAAGACAGAAAAATAAAAGAAAACTAGGGATTTAGCTCAGTGGCATAAGCACCCGCCTGGCAAGCACAAGGTTGTTAGGTTCCAGGTACCACAAAAAAAAGAAAAGAGGAGAAGGGGAACAGAAGTTGTCAGTCATTAGAGCCTAACCTGCAGCTGGGGAAAAAGTGCGGTACAGGAAAGCTGCTTATAGTGCTGGCCAAGTTTCTTCTTGCTGGGTTTCAGGTTATTGAAGAGCTTTCCTCTGCAGATAGGCCTTGTGACACTAGTCCACGTTGCCCAGAAGTTCTGCATCCAGCGCAGGGTGCTACTATATAGCAGAATTCGGGGCTGGGATATTGCTGCAAAGGAAAGAATAGATGTATCTTAGCTACTGTTGAAATAGAGGTATAACTAAATCTCTCCCTAGCTTCAACTTTTAGAAGTTTAAAAACCAAACAATACCCAACCTCATATTCATCATCCCTAGAATTATCTTCTTTCCAACTCTTTGTTTTCACCTATGGCTATATGCCCACCCTAAATTCTTTTGCTGAAATTCTACACCCTAAGGTAGAAATTAGCCTCTAGGAGGTGATTAGGTCATGAGGTCAGAGCCCTCCTGAGTGGGATTAATGCCCTTATAAACAGAAATCACTAACTCCGGGACTGTGGATTTAGCTCAGCAGCATAAGCGCCTGCCTTGCAAGCAGGCAGTCGTGAGTTTGATCCCTGGTACCGATAAAAACGAAAAAGACAACAAAAAAAAGAAATCACTAGCTCCTTCTACTATGAGGCACAAAAGTACCATCTATAAGGACTGGCCCTCCAGAGACAGTGAAGATGCCAGTATCCCAGATCTGGGATACAGCTTAATGGCATATGCACCTGCCTGGCAAGCACAAGGTCCTGAGTTTGACTCCCAGTACAAAAAAAAGATGCCAGTATCCAGATTTTAAACTTCCTAGACTCCAAAACTATGAGAAAAAAAGTTTGTTGTTTATAAGCCATCCAATTTATGGTACTGTTTTTTTGTTTTGTCTTTTTGAAACAGTTTCGTTATGTAGCCCAGGTTGGCCTCAAACTCAAAGCGATCATCCTACCTCAGCCTTCCGAGTACAGAGATTACAGGCATGTGCCCCCATGCCTGGCCAATTTATGGTACTGCTAACAGTGGTCTAAAGAGATTCAAACCTCTCTCCCCGTGAAAATTTCCTGATCCATATTCTCCCCCGCCCTTCTATCTTCTCTTTTCCTTTAAGTTGAAGTCCTCAGAGAATAAGCCCATCCTCCATGCCCTCCCTCTCCACTGCCCCAGACCCAAATCTCACTCCCACTGGGTCGAGTCAGATCCATCTTGATGGAGAGATTGAGGTTCTCAGAGCGGAAGGCCCGGTAGGAGTCATGGAGTTGGCCCAAGGGTACCTCAGGCAGGAACTCTGGGGCCCTCAGAGTGACACCATGGTGGTCATGGGGGTTCCCATGGCACAGCCACTGCAGGTCCAGTGTCATGCAGAGGTCAGGCAGGTGAAGGAAGCAGCAGTCGTCATACCTGCCTCACAACGGAGCCCCAACCCTCAGTGACCTGGTCACTTGCCTCCCCCCTTGGTTCTTCCCTTCTCCCTCCACCTGAGACCCTCACCCCTCGTGCCACTCACTTAGAAGCTGTTCTCACATTGATATCCAAGTCACCTCTGAACACAAACTGACCAGGCTTCCAGTGAAAAGAAAGGTGGTTCCATTCCCAGTGCATGTTTTCAGTTGTATTGTACGGGTCCTACAACCATCCCAACAACTTGAGAGATACGCATAAGAGAACCACCCCCGTACCCACACCTGCTGTACAGGCCCCAACTATACCCTCTAACAGGAAAAGGACCCAAGGGACCCTTCACCTCAGTAGCCAGTTGGTGCAGGTTCGCCTGGTCAATGTCCATGTGCCAGTCCCCGTGGAACAGAAGACGACTCTTGTCCCACCAGGGCAAGGGTGGGCTGGGGTCCGCTGAGGGCTTGGTCAATAGGTCCACACACTGGCCAATCAATGTCCAGGCTGGATCCCAGCATGGACCCCACACCACCGTGTACTGGAAGATTTCCGCTGGCACAGAGGAACAAATGATACAGCTTATAACAGAATGTCACCGGCTCTAGTACCTTCATTCCACAAGTGCCTCAACTTATCTTCCACCCCAGCCACCGCAAATATCCCACAGCAAAACCAAATACCCTCTCTACTCACAGTGAAAGTCATGGTAGAACTTCAGTGGGGGCATGTTTCTCTCTACTGCCACATTACCCCATGGAAGTCCCAAGTTCAATATCTGTCGTCTACGAGAGCAAGGCTGACCACTCTGCTCCGTGCCCACGAGTCGACCCATCAGCCTCCAGTCACGGATCTCAAACAAGTACCGTGGATAGTCTCTGATCCGAACTGTTATTACAGGGAATATGCACATGACCATTTTAAGAGGCTGTCTTAGCACTCCTAGGCATTTTTTCCCCCTTGCCATTCCTGTTAGCCGTGTGTATTTACAAATTCAACTGAGTAAACAAGGCCCAGCAGTGGGGGTTGGGGACTTAGCTCAGCGGCATAAGCACCTGCCTTGCAAGCAGGTGGTCATGAGTTCGATCCCCCGTACCGATTAAAAAAAAAAAAAAAACACAAGGCCCAGTAACTGGTAAGGAGCAAAACTTAGAAAGGTCACAGAGATCCTAGAGAAGGTGAGAGGCATGGCACTGAGATCCAAGGACCACAAAAACCTCAAAGATGACTGTGCTAGTTGTCCCTTTATGTCAGTTAAGCGGTTTCTGGGTAAAATTCAGGAACAAAGAAAAAGGGAAGTCCACTCTTCTCATTCCACCCATTCAAAAACAGCCACAGTTCCCAAAAATACTAGTTCCTCTATAACCACTCAGCTTCTTGGAGCTCAGCCAGCCAACAACAGGCTCCTAAAAGTACTACTTACCTAGGAAGGTCTTAACATTGCACTTAAGCATGCGACACCACTGAATGACAAGATCTATTCCTTCAGCAGGAAAAGGGCTGCTGGGATCCAGCTCTCGAACCTGCTCTACCACACGCTCAGGCCCATGGAAGGAGGAATCTGCCAGAGCCACTAGCTCTAGCCCTGCCAGGCTCCATGTGAGCAATGCCCTACGCATGGGTGTGTTGCCATAGAGACGACGAGAGCGCTGGATGTAGATCTCTATGTTTTTGCGTTCCAAAGAGGCATAGAGCTCCTCAATCTTTCGGGCTGGCAATAACTCCCCATGCTGTTTCCGAAGGGCAGCCACTTTGGCATCTAGCAGTTGCAGCCTTTTTGCACTCTCCTTACTTTCATCCTTCATCAGTTCATAGTTATCATGAAGTTTCACTTCAAAAATGTCATCCAGAAAAACCCATGAAAAGTGTTGAACTTTCAAGAGCAAATCAGGTGGTAGTGGGGCAGGGCTTGGAGACGTCCAAACATGAGTCCCTCGATGCAGCCCCTTCAGCCATTTTTGAACTCCCACAGCTTCATCTAGAGTTCGAGAGAAGTCATACTGGTAAGGGAACTCCACTGAGACTGAGCCAAGGGAGAGAAGCCAAACACGGTTCCGGAGGGTCTGCAGAGCAGGAAAGGGGTTCCGGTGGAGAATCATCTCCTCGAGCTCAGGGAGCAGCTGTATTTCCACCTCCTTAAAGTTGAAGATGTTATTGCCATCAAAACCAGCAGCCAGCTCTGGGCAGTAAGCCTGCAATGAGCCTCCATGCCGATTCAGTGACACACTCTCTGCAGCCAAGGTAATGAACTTGTCCGCAGCTACAAAGGCAGTCAGTTTGGCTGTGCTCACCTCCAGTGTCAGGTTTAGCAGCCGCCTTGGTGGAGACAGCTCAGGGAGATGTTCTTCTGTGTCAGGAGTGGTCCCTGGAGTCTCCAGTGCAAGGGATGGAACAGTCTCAGAAAACACAGTGGCTCTCAGTAGGTCTCGGCACTGCAGGATGGCCAGGACATGCTGGTACAGGTACATATGATCAGGGGGGCTCCAAAGTAAGGTCAGCCCTGAACCACACTGAACCTTTACAGAAGAGAAAAGGATGTGTCAGTCACTATATCTCAGAATAGTAGAGATGGCAGGGATTACTCAAGAACTAGCTCTACCAGGAAATCTTTCCTGAATAACTACATTAATTACTGCTTTCCTTTGTTCCCCTTAATATTAATATACTAAGTTACCACTTGTCACTTACCTCACATTACTAGCACTTACCCTTTATAATCTCCCCATTTGGATTGTAAATTGTCTCAGAATAGGTGCCATGTGTTTTAATTTTTAAGTATCTATTATAATACACTCACTATACACACAGCAGGTACTCAATAAATCTACTGGTTTCATGTTTCTGCTCATGAGTTGCCATTTTATTAACACTCTAATAACCACTGCAATTTGAAGTGCTTCATGAACTGATTACATCTTGACTTAATTCTTAAAAAGTAGAATAAAAAGTATCCATTAAGCAGAGCAACTGACTTCTGGCCTCAAAGAAGGAGTAAAGTCTTTGTCAGCTTGAAAAACAAAGTCAGTTCTGAGCATCTAAGTGCATAGGAAAAATTAAAATTCTAGGACAGAAATATTCTCTCAAGTTCCACTTTCTGAAAGAAAGAATCTCTTTAGTTGCCAAAGAAATGTGAAGTCTGAGAAAAAGTGTCCTACATATCACACCCAAAGGAGAAACACACTATGAAGCCTCTCAAAACTTGTTTGACTGAAGCAGAAAGATCACAAGTTCAGGACCAGCCTGGACACAACTGGATATCGTAAGGCACATCTGTAATCCCAGCACTCAGGAGACCAAGGAAGGCAAATTGCCACAAGCCTGGACTACATAGTGAATTCAAGACCAGTCTGGATTACACAGCAATACCTTGTCTCACATAAAAGAAAACAAAACAAACACATGCAGACCAGCCTGGACAATTTAACAATTTAGTGAAACCCTGTCTCAAAAAGTGAAAAAAAAGGGCTGAGGGTGGCTGGGGATGTGGCTCAATGTCAAAGCCCTGGATTCCATTGGGGAAGGGGGGCTCTATTCCATACCTGTATGAGAAAGACACTGGGAAGCCTCTCAAAACTTGCTTCTGCTATGCACCATGGCATATACCTGTAATCCCAGCATTCAGAAGGCTGCAACAGGAGGACTGCCATGATTTCTAGGCCAGCCTAGGCTAGACAGGTGAGTTCAAGGCTAGCTTGAACTACCCAGTGAGACTTTATCTCAAAAAGTAACATAAAAATGAAAATAAAAAATTTGCTCCTATCTTCAGATCACTTCTAGCTCTCAAAAGAAAATGACACCAGATTTTTTTTCTTATCATTTTTGAAATGGTTTTGGCTATGTGGCTCAAGCTGGCATCAAACTAACTACCTATTCCTCAGCCTTCACCATAGCTAGTCCAAAACATTATTCTTGGGGGGGAGGAGGAATAAAGTCTCACTATATAGTTCAGGCTGGCCTTAAACTCACTATGTAGTATAGATTAACCTCAAACTCAAACTCAAGGTGATCCTCCTGCCTCAGCCTCTCAAGTGCTGGAATTACAGGCATATACCACCACACCCAACTAGATCATTATTTTTTAAAAGTTCCTTATTTTTCAGAGATACATACTAAAGTATTTACAGTTGAAATTACACATCTAACATCTTCAAAGTAATCCGAGAGCCTTGCCAGGTACATGTCTCTAACACCAGCTATTAGCAAGCTGAGGCAGGACAATCACAAGTTAAAGGCTAGCTTGGGCAATTTAGTGACAACTTATCTTTTTTTTTTTTTTTTTGGTCTTTTTCCTTTTTACTGGTACCAGGGATCGAACTCACGACTGCCTGCTTGCAAGGCAGGCGCTTATGCCGCTGAGCTAAATCCCCAGCCACGTGACAACTTATCTTAAAATAAGAAAAATAAAAGGCCTGAGAGTGTACTTCACATTCCCTGGTTTCAATTCTCAATACCACAAAACAGTAACAATAATCCCAGAGCCTGGGACAGAGGAAACTGGTACGAGTATAACTTAAACAAGTTGGTCAAAACAAGTTGAATTCATAATTACTGAAGCTGGGTGTAAGAAAGTCTCTAGTTTTGCATATATTTTTAATTCCATAGTTAAAAAAAAAAAAAAAAAAAAAAAAAAACTAAAAATGTACAGAACAAGCTCCCCAAAAAGAAAGGCAGCAAGTGTCTTTTTTTTTTTCTGACGAGATATTTCAAAGAATGAGATAGGCTTTAGGTAGCGAGGAGGGATCTCTCTGGCCCCGCCTTTCCACGGGCATATTACCTCTAGAGAGCGGATGCTGCTGTGATAGGTGAGGGAGAGCATGGAGAGACGGAGCACTGGAGCAGGAATGTCAGGAGCCTTGCAACACGGCTGCATCTTCTCTGTGACTGACTTTACCAGTGCAAGCACAAACCCCTGAATCCCCACAAGGGATGTCTCAGCACTACCCAGGACTGTCAGTGTGTCCAGTCGTACTTCGGAAGCACCTAACATCCAGAAACCATGTGAGCATTAGTTCTCAGTTCTCAAATACCACTTCCCCCATCATTCTCCATTCTTACTTATTCCCTCTATTTTAGTTATCTTTATTCTGGCTTCCCTATGTTTATTTTCCATTTTTTTAAGGGAAATTTTTCCTTTCCCCTCTTTAAATCTGGTAGAGCCAAAGAAGTTCTCTAACTCCTACAAACTGCCCAGAAATGTATCATTTACTATCTAAGACTAAACAGACAAGAAAAATAAAAAGTAACACAACCCATTCTCTTGAAAACATCAAGGCTAAATCTTGTTCTTTCATGTCATGCTTAAAAACTGCCTTTCATAAGCCCTTAAGAACCAGCAATAGGCCAAGTGTAGTGGCACATGCCTGAAATCCCAGCACTTGAGACACTGAGGTGGAGGATCTCTGGGCTACACACAGAGTTTCAGCTTGAACTACACAGGGAGCCCCTGTCTCAAAAACAAACAAACAAACAAAAAAGGAAATAGCAATATACCCAGACATGGTGACATGCCTGTAATTTCAGCACTTTAAGAAACTGAGGCAGGGCTGGGGATTTAGCTCAGTGGCATAAGTGCCTGCCTTGCAAGCATGTGGTTGTGAGTTGGATCCCTGAGCAACTTAGCAAGATCTTGTCTCAAAATAGAAAGAGCTGACTGAGGATTACAATGTTCAGTGTGAAGGCTCCAGGTGCAAAAACAAAACAAAAAAAAGGTGGGGGGTGGGGCAATGAAGAAAAAAAACAGCAAGCAATGATGTGTAACCCCAGTATTCTGGGAGGCCAAGGCAGAAAAATTACAAATTCAAGTCTAGCCTGAGAAATTTTAGTGACTTAACAAGACATTGTCTTAAATTAAAGAGCTGAAAATGTAGCTCAATCTAAAGGACCTGGGTTCAATTCCCAGTACCAGAGAAAAACCAAAAACAAACAAAGCAATGGCAAAAACCCAAGTTACATAAAAATTACCAGCAACTCATGTTTCTAATTTAGAAACATTCTAGATAATCAGCTTCATTAAATGAGAAGGAACACACTGAGCCAGCACAATCTGCTTTGTTATACACTACTCATTTAGGGCTGGGGGTTTAGCTCAGCGGCATAAGCGCCTGCCTTGCAAGCAGGCAGTCGTGAGTTCGATCCCTAGTACCAATAAAAAAAACGAAAAAGACCAAAAAAAAAAGAGAAAATACACTACTCATTTTAGCACAGACTACCTGTCTCACTTACCAACCAGAGAAGAGAGAGTGAACAAGTTCATGTCTTCTACCTTCAGATCCACCTTCCACAGTAATGTCACAGCATCCACAAATGAAGAGTCCCTAGAGATAGCTGATTTCCCAGGCTGTGGACTCATCAAGGATAAGATACGAGACAGACACTGGGCACAAGTGTCTGATGCTTCTACCTGAAGTCCTCGAATAGTACAATCAAGAAAAAGGGTATCTGACTGAGTGCTGGACAGCCCCAGAGGCTGGTTATAGCTACCCTAGAAAAGAAGCAGAAGAACTCACTAAAAGCATATAGATAAGTTTTGTGATTCCCTTATGCCAAGAAATGCTCAGTGCTTTAAGCATGTCAGGATAGGAAGCTATAAAAGCCCCTACTCACCAGTCTCTACTCACCTGCAGGGTGAAGGAGTCCAGGACAAGTGCTTCACCCCAAACATGCATATTGGGTGGGTGTGGTGCCCGCTGAATATGGGAGTCACTGCCCACACGCCAGCAGAGGTGGTCTACAGTTAGGACACCTCGCTGATGGATGCTTTGTGGCCTGAGGTGCTGGTAATCTGAATAAAGGTTGAGAAGAAAAGTTCCATTAAGCTCTGATGGTCCCCCCACTTTTTTTTTTTTTTTTTTTTTTTTTGGTCTTTTTTCAAAAAGGGTCTGTCTACACAGTTCAGGCTGCCCTTGAGCGCACTTTGTAGTCCAGGCTAGCATCAAACTCACAGTGATCCTCCTGCCTCAGCCTCTTGAGTGCTGGAATTATAAGCATGTGTTACCACACCCAGCTCTGATGGTCCCTTTTAATTCTTATTTCATTTTTATCCCAGAGCCTTACCCAGAGAGATGGAATTAAATCCCAAGGCAAAAGGTGGTGTATCTCCAAGCTGAATGGAAATGTTGACATTGGAGATGGAGGTGTTGAAGATAATAGGAGCCAGGATTTGAGGGAAGATTCTACAGAGATAAGACATTATTTTTATTACTGTTGCAGTACAGGACATTGAACCCAGGACTTTCACACTAAACTACAAACCTATCCTTTTTTTTTTTTTTTTTTTTTTTGTACCAGGAACTGAACTCATGACCCCGTACTTGTCTGGCAGGTACTTATGCCACTGAGCTATATCCCTGGCACCTAACCCTTTTTTATTTTTTATTCTGAGACAAGGTCTCATTAAGAAACTAAGTTTCCCAGGCTAGGTTCAAACTTGCAGTCTTTCCTACCTCAGCCTCCCAGACGCTGCAACTACAGGCATGCACTAAGCTAACACATCATTGTTTGATAAAGAAGTAATTCCTACCATGAAGCAGATTGCTGAAGCTCCCAAAATCAGGGTGAGAATTTGGTTTTGATGTAATTCTTAGGAATGGCTATGACTAGAAAGTTAGACTAAACTTGGTCTATTCTGCCAATTTTTTTTTTATTTTTTGTCTTTTTCGTTTTTATCGGTACCAGGCATCGAACTCAAGACTACCTGCTTGCAAGGCAGGCGCTTATGTATGCCGCTGAGCTAAATCCCCAGCCCCTATTCTGCCAATGTAATCTGCAGGAACCTCAGAAAGACATTAAGTTGAACCCCATGAAATTGTCATTTTCTTTTTTCTTTTTTTTTGTCTTTTGAGACAGGATCTCACTATGCAGTTCATGCTGCCCTTGAGCTCACTTTGTAACCCAGGCTGGTCTCGAACTTGCAACGATCCTCCTGCCTCAGCCTCCCAAATTCTGGGATTAAAGGCGTGAGCTACCACGCCTGGCTGAAATTGCCATTTTCAGTCAACATAGTGAACATTGGCATATCAAAAGATTTAACCTAATAAAGTCAAAAAATACCATCTCTAAACCATTAGGTTCTATGTGCCATACAATGGAAGTACTATACAAAGAGAAAAAATGTTCCACAGTTTAGCCATTGTCATCCTAAAACCTACGGCAGACAAGACTCTATCACTTAAATTCAGTTCAACAAATATTTATTTTGTGTAAGGTACTAAGAAAACAAAATGAACACATCTCCCTGCCATCAAGGAGTATGATCTAATGGATAAAATAAATAAAACAGAATTGCTTCCGAGACTAAGATTTAGAAAAGTAGCAAACCATCAAACACATATTTAACACAAGATGCCACTTGTACCAAAAGAATTCACCTGATAAGACTGTGGCTGAAGAAAGATTAAACAGACCTTGTTTTCTTTTGCTTAAGGACAGATGAACTAGACCCTTGAGTCTCCAATGCTACCATGTGCAGCCAGTGAGAAAATTCTTGGTGCCGGTAATGAATGATACATGTGTTCAGAAGTAGAGAGGCTGAGAGATCAATAGTGGTCACCTGAAAATGAGAAAACTAGAACTGTAGGCTTGTTTTATTTCATTAACTTAGTAACACTGTAGAGACAGAGGAGAAAGGAACAATTGTTTTTTCTTTTGGTGTTGGATGTCAGACCCAGGGCCTTTTGTTTTTGCTTTTTTTGTTTGTTTGTTTTTGGTCTTTTTGAGATCTGGTTTCACTATGCATTTCAGGCTGGCCTTGAACTCACTTTGTATCTCAGGCTGGCCTCACACTGGCAGCAATCCTCCTGCCTCAGCCTCCTAAGTGCTAGGATTACAGATGTGCATCACAGGCCCGGCAAAGGAACAATTCTTGATACTACAGTTATACCTGCACAACAGCCTTGAGGGAGTTGAGGCAGATAATGCGCTGGCGACTCTGGGACAGCAACAATCCATCTATAGAAGATTAGAAGACAGGTTAGAGGAGTGCAAAGTGAGGGCAAGTAAAACTAGGAGAATCAAACCAAGGCAAGGCAGTCACCAACACTGTCATTTGGGGCTATTTTCTCTCAGTACATTTCCCTTTCCCCCTTCAATGCTGCTGTTTAGTTAAGGAGATTGTGTAGGACACGAGCAAAGAGACTGCCTGGTCTTTCCTGTTCTGTCAGTACCAGTACCCCTATTCATGAACCTTCCAGTAGGAGCTCAGTGCTCATCTGTGCCATATCAGAGTGTGCAGTGAAGCTTCTCAGAGGCAGCTGATCCTCATCACGGTGGTAGAGGAACTGTAGCAGCTTCAGTGTCCAAGTCAGGTGCCTGGCCAGAGAGAAGATTCTAGCTTAGAAAGACACGGAACGCCATTTTCTGCTTCCTTTCTCCTTACAGGTAAGATCACTGCATCTGCTACACTGGTTATATGTAGCAGCATACAGCTTACATTATCATTCTCCATACTGTGTCACAAAGACCTCACCTCTTTTGACTATTCATGGACAAGACCACACTTGTGTTCTCCATCTTCAACTTCACCTGGTCTGGCAGCTGCTGGAGGAGGTACAGACCAGGAAGCATTGGTTCAGCCAAGTTCTCTGTCACCTCTGAGAATATGAATGAATAACTTAAGAGCCATCCATCTTTAACACTCTCAATTTCTCCAAGTCCTCCTTCTTTGGCCAAATTCTACCAAATAAAATATTCTAAGAAAATGCCCATACAAAGCCACAGGCAAATATACCACAGAACAAGGTACCTGATGTACTCCCTTTCCCAGATTCTAAAAAACAAATAGCATGGGAGCAGGAAAGAATATGGACTTTAGCACCAAATAATTTAAATCTCATTTTGACTACTAATCTTAGACAATTTATCTAACTGACCATCTTGGGCTTCAGTTTCCTTATTTATGAAAGATTGAGGATTTAGTGAGAAAATATAAAAAACACAAAGTACAACTGTAATTTATGATGGGTATCCACTTAAATGTAAATTTTTTACTCATTACAAACACCCTATTTCCTCTATCCTCAGTGTCAAAGGCCATGATGACTAACAACTCAAACTTAAATAAATAGTGGAACCACTGTCTTTTACTACTTCCAAAAGAACCAGGAAGTACAATGATTGGGGCTTTACCTGAATAAGAAACAGGCTTGGATACCAGGCTTCGGCCCTGACGCAGGAGTTGACTATGGAAGAGGCCCTCATGTAGTTCAGCATGGAATGTCCATATACCCACAGTGATAGCTTTCAGGTGTCTACTGCTGATGCCCACCTTGAGACACAGGTCTAGAGCCAGGGAGAGTTCCACTAGGCAGGTGTCCTCCTACAGGGAAAATCAGCCTCTAAGATGTTCATAAGGGACCCACAAAGACACAGAAGCTAGAATACAGGCCCTAAGTGCCTTTACATTGTAGGAGGAAATGAGGGACTGGAATTACAGTTGCACACTCACCAGCTGACCACTCTTCAGAACTTTGCTGTTGATCTTAGATAAGCTCACCTCACAGATTAGCCTAGGAAAAAGAAAAGATTAAAAGCAGTTGGTCCTCTTTGCTTACCATTTACCTCCAATCAAGCTCTGCTGGCAAGAAAGAGCAAGGCAAGCAGAAAGACCACTCTTCAAAGTTCACAGAATGAGAACTTGATGCTTTGACAATGAGGAGAATCTAATATTCATCTTCCCTGAAGCAACCCAAGGCAAGAATGAGACTCTAGACCCTCTTGCACCCAGCCCTTACCTCTTTCCATCACTATCCAAAAGAAATCTGCTTCTACTGATCTGAATGTGCCACAAGGACTCAGAGGTAGCCACCTTGAGAACCATTATGTTTATAGCATCTACATGAATGGAGAATAGCTGAAAGGAAGGAACAAAAATTAATGTCGAGGCAACTCCCTTTCTTTTCAGTTGAGAGAGGCAGATCTTACCATTATGCCCACAAAATGGTAGAAAAATCCACCCACAACTCCAATGCCAAATCTCCCTGGAATACAGTGAAGAATACAGTCAGGAGTGGTGGTGCACTCCTGTAATCCCAGCACTCGGAAGGCTGAGGCAGGAGGATCGCTGCGAGTTCGAGACCAGCCTGCACTACAAACTGAGCTCAAGGCCAGCCTGAACTGCATAGCGAGACCCTGTCTCCAAAAAAAAAAAAAAAAAAAAAAAAAAAAAAAAAAAAAAGTAGTAGTCTCACTTGACAGAAGATCTTCAGTAAGGATGGGCTGAAAGACAGTTCTTTTTGATCCACCCCAGTTCTCTGTGAGAATGGAGCAGACAGGCCAGAAACCTTCTGTAGGTCCGTTCTGATGCGTACTTCTCCAAAGCACAAGGCCACATAGTGTCTGCTCAAAAGAGAAACCTTAATGCTATCCCTCCATAGCAGTCACCAGTCCTCCCTCACATTTACTCTCCAATGTCCCCAGAAACATAGCTCAAATAGCAAAGGATAGCCTCCAAGCAGTAATCAACAACTGTCTCACAGGAAATAGCACTCAGACTAATAAGTAGACTCCAGTAAAAACATCTTTCCCTTTTTGGGCTAAGGCAACACCGTAGAAGAATCGAATTCTGTGAAAACCCTATAATATTCCCCAAGGGGAGAAATAAGGATATGAGGTACTCACGGCAGATCATGGCTAAGGAGTTTGCTGGAAATCCACAAGTTATCAATTTCCTAAAAAAGTGTGGGAGAAAGCTCTGTACCCTAGTTGCTAGGTAAGCAGTGAGCAGCTCAACAAACCAGGAAGGGTTCTGGGTCACAGAAAAGGAGGAAGTGATATCCACCCATTTACTAAATATAGCCCATTCCATTTCTAAGGGTTTTCTGCTTAGCAGTTAAGATCTAGTTCCTCATAATGATGTTAGTTGAACTTGATTATTCTCTTTTGGATATGCTATCCTGCCTCCCCTCTTAAATTAGAACAGTATACTTTTCTAGCTCCAGCTAGCTTTACTTCAGTATCTTTCTTTTGTGCCCTGGACACTTAGTGCCCTACTAACATTTTTTTTTTTTTTTTTTTTTTTGTCTTTTTCATTTTTATCGGTACCGGGGATGGAACTCACGATCGCCTGCTTGCAAGGCAGGTGCTTATGCCACTGAGCTAAATCCCCAGCCCTCCTACTAACATTTTTTAACTGAACAACTTGCATCAATCCCAGTGTTCCCCCAACCGGCTCTAAAATTATCTTAGCAAAGAAATAGCAAGGGATGGGGTTAACTAGGAAAGTTACCAGAATTTTTTTTTTTTTTTTTTTTAGGAACTTCAAGGCTGAAATTCAACTGGATCAACCTCTCCACCATCCCCACCCCATTCACTTCAAGGTGTTTCCCAAAACTCACCACCGTTTGCTGGTGCTGCTGAAACTTAAGGCTGACATTCTGAATCCAGAAAAAGCGGAAGGAGCCAATCTTCAACTCCGCCTGCAGCTTCCGCTGACACCACCTGGTGGCCAACCGTACTACAAGCCACCTACAGAAAAATCCCTGAGTTCATAGGACGTTCTCCCAAGGTTCCCATACCCTCAGTTGGTGCTAGAAGGCCTTTCAGAATAGTATTCTACAGCTAGATTTTCTGGGCAAATCTGCAGTCTCCGAAAGAACCTCTCCAGTACATTCATTGAGGCTCACTAACCAGGACCCTACCCCCGAATGACTCTTCCACCCAGACGAAACCAAATAAACATCTCCACCCTCAAAGAATGGGACAAAAAAAAAGGCAATTCCTCAAATCCTCAAGAACCTGAAGTAACACAATGACCCAACAGGACTCAAGGCGGAGGCAACCACGTCAAATGTGCCATCACATCCTTTCCAGGGGTCTGTCTCTGCCTTCACCCCGCAGACAGGTGTCCGCGGGAAAGCACTGCGAGGCGTCATCGGCCAGCTCAAAAGCAGCTCTCCTGGGTCGGCCAGTCCTCCTAACCGCGTTCTCAGAGCAAGACTGCAGGAACCCTTTGCGCTCAATTAAGGAGACATCAGAGGCGCGTGGGAGACCAATGCACAAGGCCCCTTCCTCCACATACCTATCCAATTCGGAACCTCGGCATTCCCCCATTCGTGCCTCACTCCTGCAGCTCCGCCCGCGCGCCCCGTCCTCGATTCAACCCCGGTCGCCTCCTGCGCCCTGAGTGCGCGCCCCCTCCTCAGTCTCAGCCTGTTCCTCCCCTCCCCCAACCGCTGCGGGTAGAAGCCCCTCACCGGCCTAGAAAGAGGGCGCTAAGCGCAACCAGCAGCAAGACCAACAGCGCAGAAAGGAACAGAGGCATTTAGGTCCGGGTCCGGCCCGGCCTGGCCCCGGCCCCCGCCATGCCGGGCCTCGACGCCGGAACCGCGCAGCACTGCCGCGGGCCGACCAGCCGCGCGCGCAGAGCCAATGCTGAGCCAATGCTGAGCCGAGAAGCGTTGGTGCGCGCGCGCGCCCCGCCCCCCGCAGCCCGCCAACCAGCCAGCCAGCAGTCTCTCTCCCGCGCCCCGCCCCGCGCCCGAGAGCCGGCCCGGACGACTGAGTGCGTGCACGAAGTGAGGGAGTGGCTGCGGAGGAAGCCGCCAGGCAGAGGCGAGGCGGGGCGGACCGTGAACTAGCTGCCAGAGGCCCGCCCTGGGCGCGCCTGGCAGTGTCTCGGTGCTGGGGCTCAGAGTCCCAGTCTGCTCCTTGGGTTGGCGATGACCTGCCTGGCCCACGTCAGCCTTAGGGTTCCACTTTCAAGACACATTTTCTAAGACAGCTAAAGAGTCAATCTGGCCCCTCAGGGACTAGACCGAGAAATCCGTCCAACTTACTATACCCCTGGTTCAGAAGTAATAGTACTTCCATATTCTTCAAAGAGTCTTTCTTGAAAATGGGGAAGCCATGCACTCTGCGGTTGATGGGCATTTTGGTTGTTTCCAAGATTGAGCTATCACGAATTGTGCTGCTATAAACATGGGTGCACATGTATCACTGTGACATGACCTTTTCAATTTTTCTGGGAAAATACCCAGGAGGATTGAAAGGATACCATTCCGCTATAAAAAAGGATGATCTTGAGGCCTTTATAGGTCAATGAAGGCAACTTGAGAATATCCCCATTAGTGAAATAAGATTCACATTAGAAAATACCACATTGTCTCTCTAGTGTAAAAAATAGTAATAACTGACTGGATGGGATCCAAAAAGTATATTGTAAAAGTGAAAGGAAAGGAAAGTAGTCTAAAGAATATAACACTATATATAGTAAGATAGATGAGCATATTACTAAATTTCTGTTAGATCATTGAACAGAAGGCTTTGCACTGTCAATTTTTAAGTGTCTAGCCACTTTTTGATTTGATTTTGTAACTTTAACAACTACTGTTAAGATGACAATGTATAATGTACCAACTAGTGATTTTATTAATTTTTTTGAATTCTGTATTATTCTATTTTTTATTTTTTTAAATAAAAAAATTGAAAAAAAAAAGAAAATGAGGAAGCCAAGAGACAACTGAAAGACATCAGCAATTCCATCTCATTCCACCCACAAGAGAAATCGTGAGGTTTTAACTCATTTACTGCCTGAATACGGATCTGGCCAATTTATATTTACTAACCTATTGTGTAGACCTTTCCAGACACTACTGGAAAAACTTGTTTCTTCAATGTTTGTAGCACGAACTGGGCCCGGAAGTGTAAATACTACAGTAGTGAATACTGTTCTTGTCCTTCAACAAGTTTATCTGGGAAGCAAAACAATTACTCTACATTAAATAAACCTGAAGGTCAACTCGGGGCATGGTTAATTTTATCTACTTCCTTCTCTGTAAAATGAACTGGACAAAGGTCCCTTAGAATTACCATGATGTTATGAGTCAATCAATAGCTTTGTTAGATGGGCCTGCTGGCACAAGCCTGTAACCCCAGCACTCTACCTGGCTCGGGCCAGAGTAATGCCAAATTTGAGCCCAGCCTAAGCCACAATTCAATGACTTAGGGGAACCCTATTTAAAAACTAAATTTTTTTTTTTTTTTGAATTGCAGCTACTGAGCTACATCCTGGAACTTTTTTTTTTTTTTTTTTTTTTTTTTTTTAAGACAAGGTCTCCCTAAGTCCCTGACTTGCCTGGGTTGGGACTGAATTGTGATTCTCATACCTCAGCCTCAGCCTCCAAGAGTGCTGAGATTACAGGTGTGAGCTACCAAGCCCAGTTTGTGTGTCACTATCTGAATGATTTACTAATACCGAATAATTTACTGATTCTAAAGTATAGCTTACTAATACTAAAGAAACCTTAAGACTTTCAAAAGTCAGTATTATGGAGAACTCTGTTCTAGACTCCTAGTCTCCATAAATATCCTTCAAGATTTCTCAGAGCTTCTTTGTGATTCGATCAGATAAAACACAAGCAAGTAACACCCTTTCACCAGCATGTTACTCAAAGTTGCTTTTACTCTTCCAACTAGTTTACTTATCTAGCCCCTGAATCACTTATTTCCCGTATCTTCCAGGGCCACCGCTATTGTTTCAAGGTCATACTTACCTTCCAAACATCATTATTTCTGTTACTCTTTAAAATTAGTAGCTTTCATCAGTGTATGTTCCCTGAATGCTCAGGGAAGGTCCAGAAACTGCAGGTCAGTGTCTTGGAACCCATCTCCATACTCTTCCTTCATCCTGTTTCACCTTTTTTTTTTAAAATTTAGCTAAGATACCTATCACTTTCGTCCTTCTCCCTAGACTGCATGACCCCTACTAGCAATCTCAGAGCCAGAAATATTGTTATTTTATTGACAATACTGATTCCCAAGGAATCAAAACAGTGTGGAATAAATCGGTTTCAAATGTATAAATATCATATTGTCTCCCTAGTTTGAAAAACTGAAAGAGTAACTAAGATCCAAATGCACAATAGATATTGTGAAAGGGAAAGGAAAAGAAATTGCTCAAAAGGAAAGAACAACAGGACAGGGGCTGGGGATTTAGCTCAGCGGCATAAGCGCCCGCCTTGAAGCAGGCAGTCGTGAGTTCGATCCCTGGTACCAATAAAAAGGGAAAAAGACAGAAAAAAAAAAAAAAAAAAAAAAAGAACAACAGGACATGGTGGTACACTCCTGAATCCCACAATTCGGGAGGCTGAGGCAGGCAGATCATTTGCAAATTTGAAACCAGCCTGGGCTACGAAGTGAGCCCAAGACCAGCCTGAACTGCATAGTTAGACCCTGTTTCAAAAAGACAAAAAAAGGAAATAACAACTGGGATATGAAAAAAGAAAAGAGGGAAAATATTATAGATATATACAAGATAGATAACTATACTAATAAGTTATTTCATCAAAAATAAGTTTGTGCTTTCATTGATCATTTTTTCATGCTTATATTTTGTAATCTGAACTACTCTGAAGATAACAATATACAATATATTAACTATTGTTAATGTCCTTTTATTGTTTTGAAATTCTGCATCATCATTTTTATTTTTTTCATTCTATAATTTTACAAAAAGAGCCGGGGGATTTAGCTCAGCAGCACAAGCACATGCCTGGCAAGCACAAGATCGTGAGTTCAATCTCCACTACCAAAAAATAATAATAATTAATTAAATTTAAGTAAAAACAATTGAAGTGGGATAGGGAAGAGAGATAAAAGCAGAGATGGAACTCTATTAATTCATAGCCAGAGTTTACTGAGACTGTAAGTCATAAAAGAAAGCTGGAGCTGGAGATAAGAGTTCAGAGCACAGTGCCTGCCTGGCAATAACAAAGTCCTGAGTTTGATTCCCAGGTCCCCCCCAAAAGAAAACAAGTCTCAATGTCATGCACCATGTCTGGTGTCTCTAAATGTTCAACACTAACATCTTAAAATAAATAGAAAAAAGAAAAACCCAAAAGTTTTAAAAATAAAAAAACCTTGCTAGCTAGGTATAGGGGCAAATACCTATAATTCCAGCACTTGAGGGGCTGAGGCAGGTGGCTCATTGAGAGTGTAAGGCCAGCCTGTTACATAGTGAGTTCAAGGGCAATCTAAACTACAATACATAGTGAGACCTTGTCACCAAAAACAAAATCAACAACAAGAACCTGCTAGTCACTGAAATTCTAGCAGATGGCAACTATCTCTGTTCTCTACTACCATGCTTGGAGGACACAGAAGAAAGCTAAACATGGTGGTACAGCCCTTTAATCACTGCAGTCTAGGAAACTGAGAGAAGAATCTAAATTCAAGCCCAACTTGATGACTTCAGCAAACTCCTGTCTCAAAATTAAAAATTTTAAAAAGAGCTGCGGATATAGCTCAAGGTTCAATACTTAATACTACAAGAGAAAAAAATTAAATAGGTTCAAGTTTTCTGGAAATAAGTGGCACAAAAAGAAGAAAATGAGGCAGAAGACCAAAAAAAAAAAAAAAAAAAAAACCTTTCCCATAACCTTTCAAAACAAGATATCCCTATCCTATCAATCAAAAAAGATGCTATCTTCCAAGAGCTAAATACAAAAATTGTAGCATAATGGAAAAAGACACAGCTAGCATCCTATTTACCAGTTTTAAGAATTCAGTCCACTTCCCCATCCAAATGCCCATGCCCTCCACCAAAAAAAATAAATAAGAAAGAAATACAGGCAATACTTAACTGTTCTGTTCTGTATTGGTAAAACTAATGTCTGTCCTATAATTTCCATGAAGATTAAATGACGTGACAGCTACAACATGATGCCTAGCATTCAGCAGTTAATTAATGTTGGTTCTTCTTTTACCTCTACCCCTTTTTCTCATGTGCAGCACCAGATCCAGACTAGAATACTTCATTAGCTACTCATTATGCTATATTTTTTGAGGGTCATCAGTCATACTTACTCAAAAATTTAATGAGGTGCCTGGGAGGAAATGAAGAGACAAAAAGAAAAGGTTTGAATGTAAGTAAACCCCCTAAAATGGCCCACGATGAAGGTTTCCAGCATCTCCAAAGTTTTAGGACTTGAGGATTAAGTAGATCATGAAACAGCTATTAATAAATTACAATACAGTAACTGACAATAAATTTTTATCATTTTAGAGAAAGAAAAATAGAAGGGAATTCACACACATTAACAATCTATACCAAAAAACAGAAAGAGGCGAGGGGAAGGGAATGTAAGAAGACTTAAGATGTATTATGTACATGTATCAACTCCCTACAATAAATGCTGTCGTTATATACTGGTAATATATACTGGGAAAAAAAATTGTAACAAAAAACTCCATGATGCCAAGCACCTGAGGAGAAAAAATCTCCTAGTAGGAAGAAATTTTCATAGCTTCTTATATCAATATGAATAGAAAGCATCTGTGCTTTACCAGCAAGTCCTCTACTCAGAGCTGACTCAAGTCTGGGAGAACAACCAATTCCAAGGTGAAGGGCTGCAGCTTCCAAACACAGCCATTGCTTTTGATTGTGCATCTTCATCTCCATGGGGGCATAGCCACTGCCCAAGTGATGTGTGGCAAGGATCCGTGGGTGAAGCAGCAACAGATGTCAATGAATACTGTATAATGACATGGCTTGGCACCTCTGGATTCATAGCTCTGCATGGTGGGCTTCTGCCTTCAACAACTCACTGGGCTTCATGAAGATGCCTTCCATGGCTTTCCAATAGTTGTTTTGGCTTGGCTGAGCCATGCCATGTACTTCTTTTTGTCCACTGATGGGTCGACCATATTGTTCTCCCGTGACAGACAGCAGTACTTCGGTGAAAGAATGTTTAAACCTCACCTCACCATCTCTCACCCAATAAGGCCCATTACAGAGCACTGTCCAGTCATCTAGATAATCACCTTCACCTTCCTCACCAAAAGCACTCACTTCCTGGAAAACATAGAAGGTAGCAACATTAGCATAGCTGATACCCAGGCTTAAAAGTAAGCAAAGCAGGGGCTGGGGATTTAGCTCAGCGGCATAAGCACCTGCCCTGCAAGCAGGCAGTTGTGAGTTCGATCCCTGGTATGGGGGAGGGGGGTGTTAGCAAAGCAATGGGAAGAAAGAGAAGCTGGGAGCTAAAGCTGAGCTAAATCCCCAGCCCCCAATTCCCTAGTTTTCAAGCGACCTAGTAAGAAAGTTGGAAAAACACTGGGCTCTAGATTCAAGCAGATCTTGAATCTCAGCTTGATTCCTTCCTATGTAAATCCTTTGAGCCTTCATTCTTGTCCCCTACAAAATGATGGCAATATAGTAAATACTAATTAAACAAAATATAGCAGATTCTCTATATTCCACTGCTCATCTAAATCTCCTTCTCCTTAAAGCCAAATATTTACAAAGAACTGAAAACCTGCTACTTTATAGCTGTAACTTTTTTTTTTGAGATAGGGTCTTACTTTGTGGTTCAAGCTGGCCTTTAACTCACTTTGTAGCCCATGCTGGTCTCAAACTTGCAACAATCCTCCTGCTTCAGCCTCCTAAGTGCTGGGCTTACAAGCATATGCCACCATGCTTGGCTCAGAACCCATTTTAAAACTGGCCAAGGTGGCACATCTTTGTAATCCTAACACTTGGGAGGCTGAGGGAGAAGGATAATTTCAAGATCAAGGCCAGCCTAGACTGGATTCTGAGTTCAAGACCAGTGTGGATTACACAACAAGACCCTGTTTCAAAAAAACAACCTATTTTAACTCGATATACAGATGACTATACTACACAAACCAATACTTAAGAGAGATATATGCATATATATTTATACATATATATGGATTTGTACACACACAAACATTTCTTTGCTCTGTCAGAAGAGGACCTAAAAGAAATAACACCCAAGTATCGATAATCAGTAAGTTCACTTAGAACCTAAATCTTGTTTTTAACATCATTCTGCAAAAAAAAATCTGCTGACTGGTTTGGCATTACCCTGATCCTGGTAGTTTACATACAATATAAGGTACTTGCTTCTTACTATCTTCTGCCTACCTTTCCTTGCCATGGACTGTTTCTCCTCTGCAATGTCCCTCTGCTACCCCACCTGCCCCCAACCAGCTAAACTTTCAGGGGACATAGACCCCTTAGTGTCTTCTTCCTCCTATCCCCTACTCGAAAACAGTTTTGCCATTAACATCTCACGTTGGCAGTGTAAATTTGTTGTATCATTAGTCATGTAATCATGGTCAACAGCAAACACAAATCATGTAGATAGATGGACACTTGATAGGACATGATGAAAACAGCTCTTTGCCTCTGCAGTTTTCTTCCTAAATATCTTTATAAACACACTCTCATCATAAGAAAAATATGAGACAGATTGCGAAAGAAAAGCATCCACCATACACTTGCCTAGCAATCCTCCTACTATCATAACCAATGGAAGTCTAATGAGATAACTAAATGTAATGCAGTACCTGGGACAGAAAAAGAACATTAGGTGAAAAATAAGGGGAACCGTCGCTTCTGGCCACCCCAGCAGAGGTTGCAGCTGCCGCAGGCAGGCCCAGTCCCATCACCGCAACCATGAGCAGCGAGGCCAAGACCCAGCAGCCCTCAGTGCTGCTGATACCAAGCCCGGCAATGGCCCGGGTGGCCTCACATTGGCAGCGCCTACCGGAGGGGACAAGAAACTCATCACAACGAAGGTTTTGTGAACAGTAAAATGGTTCAATGTAAGAAACGGATATGATTTCATCGACAGAAATGACACTAAGGAAGATGTATTTGTACACCAGACTTCCATAAAGAAAAATAACCCCAGAAAGTACCTTCACAGTGTAGGAGATGGAGAGACTGTGGAGTTTGAGGTTGTTGAAGGAGAAAAGGGTGCGAAGGCAGCAAATGTTACAGGCCCTGGTGAAGTTCCAGTTCAAGGCAGTAAATATGCGGCAGACTGTAACCATTATAGACGCTATCCACGTCGTAGGGGTCCTCCATGCAATTACTAGCAGAATTACCAAAATAGTGAGAGTGGGGAAAAGAATGAGGGATCAGAGAGCACTCCGAAGGCCAGGCCCAGCAACGCCAGCCCTACTGCAGACGAAGGTTCCCACCTTACTACATGCGGAGACCCTATGGGTGTGGACCACAGTATTTCAACCCTCCTGTGCAAGGAGAAGTGATGGAGGGTGCTGACAAACAGGGTGCAGGAGAACAGGGTAGACAAATGAGACAAAATATGTATCGAGGCTATAGATCAGGATTACGCAGGGGCCCTCCTCACCAAAGACAGCCTAGAGAGGACGGCAATGAAGAAGATAAGGAAAACCAAGGAGATGAGACCCAAGGTCAGCAGCCACCTCAACTTCAATTACCGATGCAGATGCCCAGAAAACCCTAAACCACAAGATGGCAAAGAGACAAAAGCAGCCAATCCACCAAATGAGAATTCGTCAGCTCCCGAGGCTGAGCAGTGCCGGGCTGAGTAAAAGCCGGCTTAACATCTTTATCATCATCTGGTGTAGTCATCCAGCAAAAAGAATCAAATAGGAAATTCCAGCAATAAGAAATGAACAAAAGATTGGAACTGAAGACCTTAAGTGTTTGCTTTTTGCCTGTTGACCAGATAACTAGAACTATCTGCATTATCTATGCAGTATGGGGGTCTTATTATTTTTATCTAAAGATGTCTCTTTTTGGTAATGACAAACGTGTTTTTTAAAAAAGCCTGGTTTTTCTCAATACATCTTTAAAGGTTTTTAAATTGTTTCATATCTGGTCAAGTTAAGATTTTTAAGAACTTCATTTTTAATTTGTAATAAAAGTTTACAACTTGATTTTTTCAAAAAATGTCAACAAACTGCAAGCAACTGTTAATAAAGGTCTTAAATAATAAAAAAAAAGAAAAATAAAGAGGAACTCCAGAATAAATTATGGACTTTAGCTTATACACACACACACACACACACACATAGTCAATATTGCTTCTTTAGCTATACCAAATTTACTCTGCTAATGTAAGGTGTTAATGGGAAAACAGTTTTAGAGTAGGGGATAGGAGAAAGAAGACACCAAGGGGTCTATATCCTCCGAAAGTTCAAGTACCCATGGAGTTTACTGGTGTTGGAGTTTACTGATGTTGGAGCATGTACTCAGCTCAAGGCCCTGGTTTCAGTTGCTACCACCAGAAAAGAAAGAAAAGAGAAAGAGAGAAAAAGAGTAGAGAGGGTTAAGAACCCAGAGATCAAATAACAAGCCAATTGAGTAACGCAGTGATCCATTAGATACCACCTCACCTGGTTTCCGGAAAGAGGCGAAGTAAAATGGTGACTATGGAGGTTCCGACCAGTGTTGACATGTGTCAGCCGAATGGGCTGGCCACATTTGACAGGGGTTCCTCTTTCACACACTGTGGCAGTCTTCCCCCGAATCCTCCAATAACTATTGCTGTCATCCACAGAGGTTACACCTGTCACTGACTGCTGCCCACTGCCTGCAGTTAAAAAAGAAAAAAAAAGAAAAGAAAAGCAAGTGAGCACAACCTGACCTACGTGCTCTGTGTCTTACAAATTGATGTGCAAGGATGGGGAAGAAGCAATACTTGGTAATACTTTTTCCTTCTACAACATTAAAATACTTATGTAAAATACTAAATGTGTTCATACACCATAGTTTTAATTATAATGATGTTATATTAAGACTATGCCAGCTCCAAAGAGCACTAGATATATAAATACATAAATTAGTATATGTCAGATACTTAAGCACATAATTTTGTTATGTTTGTAATATTGTTCAATGTCTTTTTTCTTTTTTTAAATCAGTCCCGGGGATCGAACTCACGACCATGCGCTTGCGAAGCAGGCGTTTATGCAGCTGAGCTAAATCCCCAGCCCCTCAATGTCTACTATATATTACAATAAATTTTTTTTAATATTTCACAATTAAAGTAAGACAACTTTATGCCATCAACTTTCACCAAGCAGCCAATACAACTCCCAAACTCCTATAAATAGCCCACGAATCAATGTACAGTATTATAAAATATTTAACCAAGCTTGGCAGCACACACCTATAATCCCAACACTCTGAGAGACTGAGACAGGAGGATCAAAAATTTAAGCCCAATCCAAGCAATCTGGCAACTATTAAGACGCTGTTTCAAAATAGCAAGCGAAAAAGAAAGAAAGAGCAACTGCACAGTGGGTGGGTGGGCAGGCAGACTGGGGATATATAGTTCAGTGCGAAGGCCTTGAGTTAAATCCTCAGTACCAAAAACAACAGTAGCAGCAGCAGTAGCAGCAAAACACTCTTTAAGTCATCTAAATTTGGTGGCTCCTTCCTTAACTGGTGCAAAGCTTCAGGATAAAATACTGGACTAAAGGGCTGGGGATTTAGCTCAGCAGCGTAAGTATCTGCCTGGCAAGTGCAAGGTCATGAGTTTGATCTCCGGTGCCAAAAAAAAAAAAAAAATTGGGCTAAATATGTAGCTACATGGTAGCCAGGCATGATAGCATATGCCTGTAATCCCAGCACTTGGGAGGCTGAAGTAGGAGGATCACTGCAAGTTCAATGCCAGCCTGTGCTACACTGTGAGACCTTGTCTCCAACAAATATATATATATACATATACATATGTGTGTATATACATGTATACACATATGTATCTATAGACATACATATGATTCATAGCTAATACATATTAAGCATTCACTCTGGCACTAACCAAGTTTTCTGCTCACATGTTATTTAACACATGCATCTGTTCTCTAAGTTAAGCATTATTATCCCCATTTTACATTAGAATGCATTTTACATTAGTATCTCCATTTTACATTAGAATGTTAGAAAGGATGAATACTATGCAGTTCTACCAAGGATAACTGGAACTAACACTATTCCCCACTTATATTCCACAAAGGTTACTTTTCTTCTTCCTGCCTATTTTCTGTCAAGTTACTCTCCCACAAACCAGTTACTCTCTCATAAACTCCAGAAATACTTTTCCCTAGACCTCTCATTCATACCACATATAGTATTCCCAGATAACTTCCTTAAATACTCTCACCTGTTCCTTTCTCCTTTGACTTCTTGGGCTCTACTGATCAAAACTTTTTAAAGAACTTCCTTTTCACCATGTAACATTTTACAATTGTAGGTACTAGCTACATGGGTGAAAGAAACAAACTATCAGAGTTCCTCTATACTGCTTCTCCCACTGGGAGAAGTGAGCTCAAAGCCATCCTGAACTGCATAGTGAAACCTTGTCTCAAAATAATTGATTTGTGGCTCCATTCATTCAGCATAGATTTAATGAACATCTTATTCTAGATATAGATGACAGTGAATCTCGCAAATTACAAGGAAGAAAGTAAAAAAGACAAAAGAGAAAAAAGTTTAAAGGCTGGGGAGTTAGCTCAGTGGTAAATTTCAAAGCTCTGGGTTACATCTCTATTGCTGAAAAGAAAAACAAGAACAGCTAGCGAGATGTGAGGCGCATCTAAGATAACTTGGATGATGCTATTAGCTGAGAGAAGTCCTCTCAAGCAGGCTGGACTATAGTTCATGATCCAGGGTGGGGAACCTGTTTGACCGGTTAAATTAAGAAAGGAGCAGAGGGGGGTTGGAGATTTAGCTCAGTGGCATAAGCGCCTGCCTTGCAAGCAGGCAATCATGAGTTCGATCCCTGGTACCGATAAAAAAAGAAAAAGACAAAAAAAATAAAAAATAAAAAGAAAGGAGCTGAGTTGTGCTCATTACGATGTCTTAATTCTCCTAGCAACTATTCAAGTGACAGTCACTATATTTTAGGCTTATTTTTAAATTTGATCCAGTTTTCTAGTTTGAATGTACTGAATTAGAATGGAGATAAGAAAGTAGGTTTCGAATTCTGTTGGAGCTCAAAAGGGGAATCAGTGCTGAACCTGAGATAGAGTTAGATATACAGCATTGGGCAGATGGTTTGTGGTGTGATGAGAGTTGATGAAATTGCTCAGGATGAACTTCCTCAATCTGAAAGTTACAGTAAATTCTGTGTCAATTTGAAGTACAGGCAGTACTAGTGGAAAATACAAACGTTGTACTGAGTACTGAGTCTCAACAAGTGCCTAAAAATTATTGATGGAAATAGAAACAGAACTTGGTAGTTGCAAGGTATAAGGATTGAGATGGGATAAAAAAGGTGAAAAATGAAATGTAGAATAAAATTTAGTTAGCAGGGCTGTGAGGACTGAGAGAACTGTGAGGCGGTAACTAGAAGTAAAAGGCTGTTAATTTGCCTTTTTTTTCTGTTCTTTGCCTTTTCTTTAGAAAAGATGTAACAAAATATGCTAAGCCTGGTGGCAGATGCTAATATGCAAAGACTGAGGTAGCAGAATCATGAGTTTCAGACTAGTCTAGGCTAGGTAGCAATTTCAAAGCCAGTCTGGACTGCATAGTGAGAAACTATTTTTTTTTTGTACTGGGGATCGAACTCATGACTGCCTGCTTGCAAGGCAGGTATTTATGCCACTGAGCTAAATCTCCAGCTCCCCTCAGCTCCTTTCTTAATTTAACCGGTCAAACAGGTTCCCCACCCTGGATCATGAACTATAATAGTCCAGCCTGCTTGAGAGGACTTCTCTCAGCTAATAGCATCATCCAAGTTATCTTAGATGCGCCTCACATCTCGCTAGCTGTTCTTGTTTTTCTTTTCAGCAATAGAGATGTAACCCAGAGCTTTGAAATTTACCACTGAGCTAACTCCCCAGCCTTTAAACTTTTTTCTCTTTTGTCTTTTTTACTTTCTTCCTTGTAATTTGCGAGATTCACTGTCATCTATATCTAGAACAAGATGTTCATTAAATCTATGCTGAATGAATGGAGCCACAAATCAATTATTTTGAGACAAGGTTTCACTATGCAGTTCAGGATGGCTTTGAGCTCACTTCACAGCCCAGGGTAGTCTCGAACTTGCAACTCAAGTCTCCCATGTGCTGGGACTATTGGCATGTGCCACAAATTATTTATTATGTAATAAAAGTCAGTTTCCTCTGCAATGTCTGCTACTGCTTTAAGTTTCTTATAAGAAAGTTAAGGCTGAGTAAAAAGGAGCCAAAAGATAGGCGCTAAAAGAATATATAAAGTGTGAGAGTTGGAAAACTGAGGGTTGTAATAAAAGATAGGGTCTTGGAGTTTGAGACTTCAGGGATACAGCCCTTACTGTAAATTTCTGTATGTCTGTCCCTTCCACACTGAATGGAGACAGCCCAGAAAAACTGAAAGTAAGGGTTTTTTGGTACCGGGGATTGAACCCGCGACCTGTTTATGCTGCTGAGCTAAATCCCCGGCCCCTGAAAGTTTTGAATCCAATCCTGTCTGTCATTCACTAGTTTATAAGAATTTAAATAGGCCATTTACTTTCTCTTAGTTTCCTTATCTGTAGGGAATCAGAGTAACAGTACTATTTATCGCGTTGAAATGTTTAAAATTGGGGGAAAGTACAGATGCAACATACGTGGCAGGTATCTCATCGTATAGAAGCAGGTATTACGACTAAGTTGCTTAGTTCTCCACCTCACATGTTGTGAACCTCAGAAACCTTCCCAGGGAACCCCTACCCTTTCAAGATCCCGCCCCCTCCAGAGTCTACTAGGCCTTTCCAGCTCACTCAAACCCGGTACCCAACAGTACCTGACCCATAGCGCACGTCGTGTGAGTGAAGTCGGACATTATGGCGCGTGTTGAGTAGCTTCAGCACAGAACCGCAAGTAACGACAGCCAGATTGGATGCTCCCACAGCGTTCCATAAACCCCCGAACAACAACAGAGGTACGACAGCCATCCTAGCGGGACCTCAAACACCTTAATCTTCGAAGAAAATTTAGCCCCTCCCCGGAACCGGAAGCTGATGCAGAACTACCGAAAAGAGGAAGTGAAGAAGACCTTATCTGATCTTTATGGTTCCTCTGGCTAGAGCGGCCTGAGGGGGACCCTCTGAACCAGGTTGTCTTCGAGTCCCTCTCTGTGTTTCGAGGTCTGTGTGACAGCTGCTTTCCTAAATCGCTTTCTTGGGGCTTCCGCATTCTCTGGACTAAAACGTCCAAGAGAACCAAATAAAAGAAAGCAAGCAGTGGCCCGCCCACTCCCAGTGACAGGGAGCCGGAAGTGACGTAGCACGTTGACGCAGCAGTGGCGGCGATCGCGGCGGAGGGGCCGTGCGGTGGGTCTGTACTATCCTTTCCCAGTCTCGGTTCGACGACTCCATTTTCCTCAGTTGGGGTTTTGCGCACCAGAGAAGCGGCGGGCCGCAAGCAGGTAGAGTTCAGACTGGAGAGTGTGTTTCTCGTTTGGGTCAGGTGGGAGATCGGGCTCCTAGGGCCTGGTCCCATAAGGGAAGAGGCAGTAGGGAGCCGTCTGCGGGAAGAAGGGGGCCCCCAGGCCTTTTCTACTCTTATGAGCGGGGAGGAGGAAGAAACGCAGGGTAGTTGCTCTTAGTCTCAAGGCTTTTCCTAACACAGTAGCACTTGAAACCTGTAAATTGGGTGGTCTGTTGAATGAACAGGCTTCGTGGGATTCTGTCTTTCGGAGCTTTTTGAAAAGTGGGCCACGCGAAAGGACTGGGAATGGAAAGGATCTAGGGCTTCTGACCTGCGATCAGGTGATCGAATTATTTGTTTTGGGGTTGTGAATCCTGCCTGGCTTCATGCAACTCAGTTATCAGGCTAGGGAGCCATGCTACATTATAGCGCTTACAATATTGTTGAAAAGTAGAACTTTTTGGAGATAGTTGTAACCTTCATCTCTTTCTGAAGTTCAGACGGCTTGTAGAAGTACCTGAAGCCCCTCCATTTTCTATAGATTCAGTTTTTCAAACATTTTTCCAAACACCCACCATAAATATCAGTGTGGACTAAGTCTAAACTTTGCCTTCTTACTGTATTTGTGTTTTTCTGCTAGCACTCTCTTGAGCTAGCCAGAGCAATTAATTTCCCTGGGTTGTCACAAGCACAGATGTTACTTTCCCTTTCACGGGAGGCTTAAGCTTTTAAAAACATTTTCATGAAAATTAAATGTAATATCACAAGGAGCAAGGGAGTATTAAATTATTATGTTACAATGTGAACAATATTGAATTTGACTCATTTCTTCAGGAAAAAAGTGTAATTCCACTGCAAGTTACTAATTTTTAGTCTTCAGAATTGTTTGGTTTTTGAGTTGAGGTTACCTAGGCTTCTCTCAGACTCCTGAGCTTGACCTTCCAGTAGCTGAGATAGGTACACGTCACCATGCCTGGCCTAAATCTTAAGTGTTTTAATTGCAAAATCATGACTGCTGTCCTATTAACTTGAGAATTTCACGTTCATTGCACTAGTACAAACCGAGTTTTATTCATTTGGCTTACGTGGCTACTAGATTAGGTTAACATGGTGTCATCACTAAGAAGTTTTAAGAGATTAATCACTCCAGAAAGTGATACAGCTTACAGAGACTGGGTCATATTTTGTATCTTTCCCTGCAGAGGAAACCACAAAAAAGAAAGCTTGCTTATTATAGAAATATTATGGCCTTTGGAGGAAAATTAGTTTGCCCTTGCTTTTATGTTCTTGATTTCAGTAAATGGTAGCCATTGTCTATACAGTGCATAACGTTTGTTTTCCTCTTCTCTTATTTCCCAGCACAACCAATCCATGAATCTATAAAAGTGTGTTCGCAGGGCTGAGGATGTAGCTTTGTGGTAGAGCACTTGTCTAGCATGCACAGGGCCCTGAATTCAATCCCCAGTACTGTAACAAACAACAGGAATAGACATACACTGTTCCTGTCAGCAGACAAATTGTTTTCTAGGATCCCTTATGTGCTTCTCCACTTACCATCCTAATTTTTAAATTTCATAACCAGATTTCCAACTGTGCCAATTCGATTTTCTTACCTTTTACTCGTTGTTCAGATTATTCCAGAGTCCTCTCTCTGACCAATCCATTGGAATTACTCTTGTCAAGGTCATCAGTGATTTCTATGTGCCAGATCCAGTGGATACTTTGTTTTTAGCTTCCTAGACTGTATGACACAATTACTCCTTTCTTGAAACTGCACTCCTGGTTTCACTGACATTATGCTCAGATTTTCTCCATTTATCTGGCTGTTGCTTTTCAGTCTTCTCTGCTAGCCTCCTGTCCTCTCTACCTATTGTCTTAAAAAGGAAAAGAAAGTAAACTAGGTTTTTCTCAGGATTTAATCTTGAGTCCCTTAGGGAATCGTGCTTCCTTTAAGTGATCTAGTCACCTTGGTTTCAGAATTATATCTCAGGCTGCCTATTTAATTAGACTGTCTTAGGTACCCCAAAGCTAACATAATCAAAAGAAAATTTTGGTTTTCTCATCATTCCAAACCTGTTGTTCTCCATCTCGCTAAGTGGTACTTGGCATCTGCCTGGTTACCAAAACCAGACTTCTAAGAATCATATAAATTCTATACAAGTCCTGTAACTTTTACCTCCAAGATATTTCAAATCTGTTTTTCATCTTCATGGCTACCACTGTATTCTGAGCCACCATTATCTTTTGCATGAATGATCAAAATGCTCTCCTAGTTTTCCTTGTTTCCACTTATATCCTCCTCCAGCCTATTTTCCATGTAGCAGAATCTTGTCAAGTTATATCATTTTCCTACTGAAAACTCAAGTGCTTTCCTTAGCTTTCATGCCATCTTTAACAGACCCTCACTTCTCTCTTATTCGTCTATCTTCACTGCGTCTACTGTAATTACATTGATTCTAGAGCATCACTGACGATATGCCAAGTTCTTGCCCATTTTTTCTCCTGGATCCTCTGCCTCGGCTTTGCATGCTCGTTTTTTTTGTTTGTTTGTTTGTTTGTTTTTTTAATCTGTTCTCGACATCTCAGTCTACCTAAATTTACCATCTCAGAGATATTTTATTTTCCTTAGTAATTACAGCAAGGTTGACTTGTTTATGTTTTGTCTCCTCTGTAAGGATACAGGAATCCTTGTCTTGAACAGAGTGGGGACCTTTACTTATACATTTCTAGCATATGATAGATATTCATTAAATTAGTATTTGTTGAATTACTAAGTACAATAAATCAGTTCTCTGTTCAATACCCTGCAGTAGCTTCCTGGCACTTTTAGGATAGAGTCCAAATCTTTAGTTTAACCTACAAAGGTCTTTATGCCTTTACCTCTGACTCACCAACCATTCTCCCTCTGCCCAGATCAGCCCTCTGTTGATGCCACTGCCTCTAGAAAAAATCAGCTCCTCCTCTTCACCTTTTTTTTTTTTTTTCTTTTGAGACAAGATTTTGCTAACTTGCTCAATTGCCCGGGCCCGGCTCAACTTTGCAATCCTTCTGCCTTAGTCTCCCAGAATGCTGGGAGGAGTATATGAGCATTCTACCATGCCTGCCTCTGTGGAACTCTCATCTTCAGTTCTTTAAAGACTTGAACTCTGGGGCTGGGGATTTAGCTCAGCGGCATAAGTGCCTGCCTTGCAAGCAGGCAGTCGTGAGTTCGATCCCTGGTACCAATAAAAAGGAAAAAGACAAAAAAAAAAGACTTGAACTCCCGCATATAAATCACCAGACTAGGCCAAATTTGACTACTTCATTTGTTTCTCAGGTTTTAATATACACATGGTCTGTGTATAGTTTTGTGTTATAATGACAGATAAGGCTTTCTGTAGAGACCCCTGCATTAGAGCAAGAAGTGTGTCTTCTCCAGTATATGTGAAACTCAAGACTCAATAATGTTCCTCCCCATGTTGCAAGGGTTCTGATTCTGGTTACATAAGTCTATTATTTCTGCTCTTCTTTTGTCCTTTTTTTGTTCCCCCAAGGAAGTCAGGAAAGAAAAAGGATAAATAGTATTTTTAAGTTAATTATATTAAAAACCATTATTGAGTAAAGAGTATGCTCTTCATTGAAAAGATTCTAAGCTGGGTACAATGGTGCCCATCTGAAACTCCAGCTCCTGGGGAGGCTGAGGTAGGAGAGTTGCAAGTTCAAGGCCAACCTGAGCAACAGAGGGAGATCCTGTCTCAAAAATAATGAAAAAAATCTAAGGATGTAGCTCGATGGTAGAATACCCCTATATTGCTCCTTAATGCTCCAACCTGCCCCCCCAAAAAAGCCAAAAACCTGAGATTTTTTAGCAATAAACACAACATGCATGTGAAAACAATAGTACTACCCTTTTCTGTATTTTAATTTTGTATTTAGTATAGTTAGTCTTTTTCATAATAGTTCTGAATCTCAGATTTTAAAAAAGGTAAATTCTGAAATTTTTATTTACTAAACTTTCTCAGGTTTTTAAATTTCAAATTAGATTAGCTTCGAAATGGGCCTATTGCCTTGTTCACACAATGTAAAATGTGAAATGACTTACAGTTTAAGCTCACAACAGACTTCTAAGGCTGTTCCTCAACCAACCAGTCCTTTTAAGCCTTAGGTTTTGCTCACTGTTCCCTTTTTCTAGTCCCCATTCTTAACTCCTCAATAACACATCATCTTTTCTGACATACTCCACAATCTCTGTTTTCATGTTACTCTCGTCTTCATAGAGTATGCAACTTAATACAACACTAATTATGAAATGTGTTGTTTTACTTTTGCAGTCTGGGGATTGAACCCAGGGTCTTTTACGTAGTAGACAAATACTCCTTCAGTCAGCCATACACCCCCAGATCCAGTCATGTTTTTGTCATGTCATGTGTTTACCTTTTTTTTTGTTTTTTGAGATAGATTGGTGAACTCCACAAAGGTGGAAAGCATATTTTATTCATTGCTGTATACCCGAGGCCCAGCACAGAGCTTGACCTTAAAAAAAAAAAGATTAATTTATGTGGCTGGAAGCCACAAAGTAGAGGGAATTAATAGCGTAGATCTCTTTTCAC